ATTGTTAACATAATACAGTATACTGTAGATATTTCATAGTCATATTCAATACACTTGGCGACCAGTGAGTACAACACAAGACGGTGATATCACCGCGAACCGTACTCAACGACTGACGGTTTGCTTGATGTTTCCCACGGCAAAAAACCATTTCTGATAATTATTAGATAACGATGGTTTAACTGTGGCTGATTAGTTATATTTATATTCTACACATAATTTTCTCGTTAAAATTGTAATAACTTGGGGTTTATCAGTAAAATATCTTTGTTATGATACTACTTTGTTACGTGCATAATTTATGTGTCGTTTTAAGTTGTTTGATGATTTTTTTTATGTTTTATGATCCTTTTTACCATTTTTACATATTTTTTAAATATGGTGTTGTGGGTAATGAAAGTGTTCGGAATTTAATGAGGAACCATATTTAAACATTAGTTTTTAACAAATAATAAAAATAAAGGAGCTAATTAGATAAAACCGGCATTATGTCACGTTAAACCTGCCTCCTACCAGGTCTGAGTTGGAGACCAAAAACCATTGTTCTTTTGGGCCCGAACCATCTCATTTGGGCTCGGACTTGACTCGTGAACCCACCGGGACTAATGATCAGAGCCGGGACTATCTGTAATTGGACTCGTGAACCCAACTTTTAAAACCGGGTTTTATCCCTGCAGGGTCAATCCATATCAAGTGATCCAATGAGAGTTGCTTGACCATTTTTAATATTTTTTATTTTTTTATATATTGTTCCCTCATGTTTTGGAAGTTCAAAAATGATTTTATAAAATTTTTATCCCTTCCAATTTTTTTGTAGTGGCCATTTTTGTCTTGCAGCGCACGGTGATTTTTGAGTTTGCAGACGTTAACGCTAACGAACATATCTTTTTACCTACTTAAGTTACACAAATGCAACCAAATTCACTTTGTTCATCATATTCCCATCTTTAATTTTGGTTATGATCATAATCTGCCTAATTTGTACCCATATGGGTGAAAAAAATGTTTAAAAACAAGCAACGGAACGAAATAAATTTCACTTTTTGAAGCCTATTTTTTCCATGAAGGGTTTGTAAATTACTGATAATATTTTTTATTCAATTACATATACTAGTGTACTCTATGTAGCTAGAGTTATAACACTGATATATGTTTCCTTTAATTTTGGCAATTTTTTAAAAATATAGATTTTTCAATTTTCGTAAAGTTTGGAGCTTAATATCTCTGATGGGACATGGGATAAAAATTTGATTTTTTCACAGGATGTTCTTCTGTATATAAGGAAACTACAGTAAAAGATTTATCATTGATATTTTACTGTGGTTAAAGTTATGAATTTTTGGAAACGGTAAAAAAACGCATGTTGTTTAGTGCAGTTTTTACTCGTCTACAGGTTGAATACTGTATTTTCTCACATTAAAAAGCAAAACAATTTACCTGTTTTTAAATTTTAAATAAATTTAGAATTTTTAAGATTTATAACTATATTAGGATTTAAAAATAATAAATAATTTATGAGGCTTCGTTGTGATAGAATAATATTCTGTTTCTGAGAAAAGCAATCATCATTAAAGATTGATAGTACGAAAAGAACAGTTTATGACAGCAGATAAGGAATAGGACTCGAATATCCAAAACACTTAAAAGAAATTTAGAATTGTATTTTGACAAGGGACCAAGTACATCTAATACAGAGGAAGTGTTAGAACAGACTGAGGTTTCAAGGGCAGATTATTTGGATTTAATTACTAAATTAAAAGCAAAGTGTTTGATCTCAACCAAAGAAGAAAAAGTAAAAATAATCAGTTTACTACCTGATACCTGGTCACGACAAAAGATTTGTAGCGAATTTAAAGTTTCCGATCGATTGGTTAGATTAACAAGGCAATTAGTAAAAGAATAAGGAATCTTGCCCGTGCTTGGGAAGAAGAAGGGAGTAGGTGTTTCTCAAGAAACTGTTATTAAGGTACAAGCTTTTTTTGAAAGTGAAGAAAATAGCAGGATGTGTCCTGGAAAAAAAGATTGTACTAACGTAGTTGTAGAAGGAAAGAAAATAACAAAACAAAAGCGTTTAGTTTTATCAAACCTTAACGAACTATTTGTTGCTTTTAAAGCTGCTCATCCCGAATGTAAAATAGGTCGATCTAAATTTTGTGAATTACGACCTAAATGGTGCATTTTGGCAGGGGCGTCCGGCACACACTCTGTGTGTGTCTGTGTTTACCACCAAAATGTAAAATTAATGATCGATGGTGCAAGATTAAACGTTGACTACAAAGATTTACTGGAGCTCCTAGTATGTGATATTAACAGTTATGACTGTATGTTAAGTTTGTGTGATAAGTGCCCAGGACAACAAAGTATAATCGATATTTTTCATGAATCTGAAGAGGACATGCCAGATCATATTCAGTTCAAACAATGGGTGACAACGGACCGTGCTGAAATGATAACAATTTTGAAACCACAGGAAGAGTATTTTGAATCATTAACTGAGAAACTTGAAAACCTGAAAAGCCACCACTATATTTCCAAAATACAAAGCAAATTCTTAAAAGAAAAGAAAGAGAATCTTTTGGAAACTGAATGTTTAATACTGGCAGATTTCGCTGAGAACTTCACATTTTTGGTCCAAGATGAAATTCAGGGGTACCACTGGGTTAATGATCAGGCGACTGTACATCCGTTCGTGGTTTACTTCAAAGATGAAGATGGTAAGATTAAAAGTCACTCTATTTGCATTTTAAGTGACTATTTAGAGCATAGCACACAAGTTTTACATGTTTTTCAATCATATGTAATTAATTTAATTAAAGAAAACTTGCCTAGAGTTGAAAAGGTCATTTACTTTTCTGACGGAAGTGGTTCCCAATATAAAAATAAGAAAAACTTTTCAAATCTCTGCAACCACAAAAGGGACTTTGAATTAGATGCTGAGTGGCACTTTTTTGCCTCCTGCCATGGCAAAAATGCATGCGATGGAATTGGGGGAACAACAAAACGTGAAGTTAGTAAGGCCAGTTTACAAAGAACCTCAACAGATCAGATTCTAAGTGTAGAGAAGATGTACGAATTTTGCAAACAGAACATCAAAGGGATAAACTATTTTCTTGTCCGGAAAGAAGAAATTCTGACACACATCGAAGAACTTAAAACCAGATTTGAAAACTGTATACAAGTCAAGGGAACGAGGGGTTATCATAAATTTTATGGGGTTTCAGAGAACACAATAAGGTGCTTTATAACATCAAAAAGTGACATTTACGAAGACCATTGCATATGCAAAATTGTACCATTGACCCTAGAAACTGACGACTTGGTGGCTTGTGTATACGATGGGCAGTGGTGGTTGGCACAAATTGAACAATTAAGTTTGGAAAATAGTGATGTGTATGTGCACTTTTACCATCCTGCTGGACCAAGAACAACTTTTAGACAGTCTGATAGTGACAAAGTTTGGGTACCTATTAACAACATTTTAAGAAAACTGTCATTTCAAGAACTCAAAACGGCAACTGGAAGAGTATATAATATATCTCAAAAACTGTCTGATGAAATAAGCATTCTTCTTAATGCTCATTCCAACTAGGAAAACATGAAATAAATGTAAGTCCTTTTAATTTTTTAATGATTAGTTTGTTGTAACGCATAACACATAATAAAATTGTTGTTCTATTTTTTGTGGGTTTCTTTACATTTTAAAACCAAATATTTAGCCTAATTATATAATATTAGCCAGCAATATGTAAGCCCTACTTGTAGGCCTACAGTTAAAAACATTCAATTACTGAAGCACAATACAATTATGAATCTTTAAAGGCCCTTAATTGAATAGTTTTTACCAAAGTATTTATATGATTAATACCGTCACTGAAAGGGGCATTTATACGATTTTAAATTTTTTTTTAATAAAATTTCTAATAATATTTGTTATGTTTATAATGTTATAGTTAAAGGGGTAAAGTATTTGTTATATATTTAAAAGTGGTAAATTGTCTGCCCTTTGAAGCAATAAAGGTCAGTATTTAACCTGTAGACAAGTCGCTACTACACTAAACACTATGCAATTTCTTGCCGTATCCAAAAATTCATAACTTTTACCACAGTCAAATATCAATGATAAATCTTTTACTGTAGTTTCCTCATATACAGAAGAACATCCTGTGAAAAAATCAAATTTTTATCCCATGTCCCATCAGAGATATTAAGCTCCAAACTTTACGAAAATTGAAAAATCGATATTTTCAAAAAATTGCCAAAATTAAAGGACACATATATCAGTGTTATTACTCTAGCTACATGGAGTACACTAGTATATGTAATTGAATAAAAAATATTATCAGTAATTTACAAACCCTTCATGGAAAAAATAGGCTTCAAAAAGTAAAATTTATTTCGTTCCGTTGCTTGTTTTTAAACATTTTTTTCACCCATATGGGTACAAATTAGGCAGATTATGATCATAACCAAAATTAAAGATGGGAATATGATGAACAAAGTGAATTTGGTTGCATTTGTGTAACTTAAGTAGTTAAAAATATATGTTCGTTTACGTTAACGTCTGCAAACTCAAAAATCACCGTGCGCTGCAAGACAAAAATGGCCGCTACAAAAAAATTGGAAGGGATAAAATTTTTATAAAATCATTTTTGAACTTTCAAAACATAAGGGAACAATATGTAAAAAAATTAAAAATATTAAAAATGGTCCAGCAACCAAATTATTTTTTATTGGATCACTTGATATGGATTGACCCTGCACTAATTGTGTGCCGCCTATCAGTTTGGTCCGCGGCTTATATAGTCTCGAGCTCGTGAACCCGATTTTTTAAGTCGCCGCCCAAATACCGGTTATTTCCGGATTCTGGGCTCGGACTACGATAGTCCCGAGCTCGTGAACCGACCCTTATACTTCCAAAATCGATGATTCAAACAATTTTTGTCTTGTATATTTTGGGGAAATTGTAAGGTACTAAGGAATAAAATGACAATTCTAGCCTCTTGGATTGAACTTTTATTCCATTGTATTAAAAAAAATCAACAAAGTGGTTGCGATGTCCTTCTGATGGAAAGTACATTCCTCGAGGTGAATATCCTAGTGCTGCTTTTTCCTAAACGAACATCCTGAAACAAAGTTTTTTTATTATCGAACATATTGAAACATAACAGCCTTCTCCGTCTCCATAAGCTGGCAAAGTTCTCCCTCCACTTTCTATTTTCCTTCACTCAAAACATTAACAATATTTGAATTGAAATTTGAGTTGTAATAATAAAGTTGTAACATTTTAATATACATTAAAATGTATATTAAAACACATGTGTGTTAGGTGTTGTATGTGTATTGTATTTGTTTGCAAAAATATCCTACAAATATTAATTAAATCTATACTTAATAAATACGCAAGCAGGTTTTTGGTGAAAATTACTCTTCCAAAACTACTGAACCGATTGACATGTTTTTGGTGTCATTGGAAAGAGCGTAACGCAAAGTTGTGCAGGAAACTTTCTTTTTAGGTAAATAATAAGAGGGTGAGGCCCTGAGCCCTTTAAAGTTTTGTATTTCTCAATAAGATTAACATGGGAAACAAACATTGTTATAAAACTCCAGCTGTTGTCAGAAATTAAAAGTGAGAAGAAGAAAATATGTGAATTGTAAACAGTCAATAAGTTTGCTAATTTAACAGTTTGCTACAAACATTTACTGACTCTGGTTGAAATGAAATATTTAGGAAGTCATAGAACAGCACCAAGGAGAAGAAATAGAAATAATGTTTTTATTTAGAATTTATAATCGTTATTATGGACAACCTAATGCGGCTATGAGTAAGGCTATTTGTAGAAAAGACTAAAAAACAAGAAGATCTGCTTTTGAAAAATGATAAGATATTTACAAGAAATTTTGATTATATCTATCTATTATGTACATCTTGAGTATTTCCATAATCTTTTGAGTCAAATCTTTTAAAGTCATCAGAAATCATGACTGTTCATTCATTTTATTCATTTTAAAATAACCCCTGTAATACTTAGGAATTGCTCGAATTCGAGCAACAGGGACACTAGTTATAAGATAAAGTAGGGACAGATTTTATTGAACTAATACAAACTCAAAACTCATAAACTAATACAACTACTGTAATAAATTGAATTGTCGAAAATTTGTAAAAAATCCTGAAAAATGCTTCAATAGTCGGGGTTACGGCCGACTAGAGCATTGAAAAGTCACCTCAAATGCATTTATCATTGGGGTTTTCCATGCCTTTTTGCATATTTCCATGACTTTCAATGACCAGAATTTTTTTCCATGACTTTAAATGAGTAGTGGTGAAATAACTGTGCAGTTTATCAAAGGAGACTTTTTTGTTTCATACGGTAGTTTCCCTTTCATTTTAGGTGAAAAGATGGCACCCTCCATAAATTTTACACACCCTGTGTTTATTTGTAAAATATTGAGGGATAAAGAAAGCAATACAATTTAAAATGGCCTACAAAAAAACAGCTGATAGTTGCATAGTTGTGGCGGGGTCATTAACTCTCCAAGCGACCACGAGCTGCGCTAGCGTGGCGACCCCTATAAAATATAAATATGGCGCAGCACATCTCTCCCTAGTGGAGTGGAGAGTAATGCAAATTAGCCGCCTGGGGTCGTAAAAGGTTAGCCCAGGGTGGGATAGTCCCTGGAATCGAACACCGGGTGAAATAACCCTTAATAATCCAGTATATTCAAATGCTAGGCGTTAAGTCAGGGATAAATATCCTCAATCCCTGATAATTTCTCACGATGTGGGATATTGCCCAGTGGAGTGGAGCGTAAGGCGAAAATACCCTGACTAGGCTATTTGCGTTAGGCAAGGATGCGGGGTGGAATAACTCTTTGATTATCGAGTAAATTGGAACACTAGGCATTAAGCCAGGGCGAAAAATTCCCTAGACTCCTGAACGTCGTAAAACATTACCTCAGTGTGGAATAGTCCTTGAAAGTCAATTACTCGATTTATCTAATTTAGTTATACTTTAAATATCATGGATTTAATTCTAAAAGTGAAACACATTTTTACCCGAAGTTAAAGATTTTAGTTTTATTTTCCGTGTTGAAAAAATAATAAATAAATAACAGTGTTCCTCTACTGAAGTCCAGAATATTAATTATTTTGAACCAGTGTTCCACTCAGTAAACCCAATCTTTGTAAATTTGATCCTTTGTTTACTGTAACTTAAATGGGCTATGATGAATGTGTCATTATATTATTTAAAGCTGATGCTATTTACAGAAATCCAAGCCCAAATATTGTAATTAAAAATATAGTTATTATTGATTCATAATAACTTAACAATCCCATGCATTCCAATTCATGTGAGTTATCTGAGGGAGAGTAGTGTAATTTTACTCCTTGACCTACTGCACCATATTGCACAAGCCAGACATTCTAGGCTAATAGGCCAATAATATAACTGTTCAATTCCTTAATTTGAGCAGAAAAAGTCACTTATTTCCTAGAATTTGCATTCACCCAGACATTTAACTAATTAGCATTTTTTTCCTGGCTACTTCCATATTTGGGGGATTTGCCAACATTACAGTTTAGTACAGTATCCTATTTAAGTTTTTAGCATTGTAATTTTGGGTTTACCTTCAGTTAATCTCGCCCTTCCACCTGTGGGCTGGCAAAGGATTGTGGAGCATCCAGCACAAACAACTACTGTCTGTGCATGACTAAACACTGTTGTGATCTTGTAACATCCTGAAAATATCACAACATGTTAGACAATACTGATTAGAACTAATCCACAATTACAAAACAGACAACAGAATATAATAATAATAATCGGTAGGTACTAAAAAAACTATATCAAGAAATTATGTTAGTGAGGCTAATTCGCTGAAATGGAATAAAACACTCTAGACTGAAATATTGCACAAAATGTATGGATTGAAAACTCGCCTTTGGCTCGATTGTATTGATTTATTATTTTTTTTTTTATTGATACTGCTAAATGCTATATTTTTAAAACACAATTGAAGAAAATGCCAAAATTGCTGTTTAAAGTTACAGTCGACTCTCTGTGGTTAGGTTGCCTTCTAGTGAGTCACCAACACTTCGATGTGGGTGGCTTATTTGTGAAAGAAATCAACAGGATAATACAATTCTCTTTATATCTTGCCTAATATTGTAAACAAATAACATAAGTCTAATTTATACTGTAATCATGATTACTCCGGATTTCCCTTTACTGTAATGCCCTAGCATTTTAAAGTGATTTAAACTAAACCAGATCATAACATGTAAAAAATGCAAGATAGTCATAATATTTATCATTTAGCTCAAAAACACATCCGTGCAAGTATTTGTCTAGGGATTAACATAGTAGGGCCTCTACAGACAAAAGTTTAGTTTAGGTTCACGGAGAACAGAAAATCTATCAAGGTTCATTGTATACTAACTAAAATTAAAACAGTCCTTACTACCCAATCTTCTTTGAAAAACAACTTAAATAAGTTATCTTTGTTCCTTTTTTTTATTAATATAAGGTCTTTTAAAATTGAGACAAGAGGCCAGTGGTAACACACTGTAATATTTTAATTAGTGTGCTTTAAATTGTCTAAAAATAAGTGGTTTATGAAACTTATAGATAAGCTACTACAGATTACACATGACACATGCTAGAGACCACTGGAAAGTATGGATTGAACTTTGATAGGCTAATCCGGAGTAAGTTCCCTATCGGAGATGACTGAACAACGAAATTCTGATGGTTTTTCCGATCAGAGGGAGATGACAGTACAATAAAATTCTTAGGCCTATGATTATTTATTTATTTTATACGGTGTAGGCCAACTTAAACCATTTTTACAAATTATCATGTAAATCTAAGATGGCTTAGTTTACAATAGCACTAACTTAATCCAACAAAATAAAGATAATATGGTACTTCCTTTAAGTAATGTAGCATGCCAAAGCAATAAAAATAACATTATCAAAATTAACAGGGAAAAAATTGAAAAAAAGGAAAAAAACAGGCAAAAAATAACACGTTAACAATATAGGTCTAGGTAGGTCTAACAAATACAGCAATAAATAAGTCAAAAAGGAATAATCAATGAAACTGTTGATATGATTCAGAGAAAATGCAGTGACCGAGCATAATTTAACAATTACAATAAAAATGGCAAAATTTCATGGTACAATGTGCAAAAAATACAAAATTGGATTAAACTAGGGGTCAATTTAAAAAATGGATTCTAGATTCCACCGATTCTTGGCGTTGGAACCGGAATCGAGAATAGACCGCTCAAAATGGGTCGCCGGAATTTTATCCCCCTGGGCAAAGCTGACGTCACTATGACGTAGGAACCTGAGTGGCCAAAAGTTTGTTCGCGGCCGGAATTTTACCCCCGCGGATTTGGAAGTCCAAAGAAAATAGCCAGAGCGTGTTTAATTAGATTAGCGATAAAAACCGGAATTTTACCCCCTGTCCATATAACTAGCGTTTGGACAACTAAAGATGGTACGGGCCGGATTTTAACCCCCGGAATTTTACCCGCCGGAATGTTACCCACTGGCTGATTTTAGAAATTGAATGATTGATTTTCTTATTTCTGTTTTTAATTAATTGTAAACATTTCATTATTTAGTAGCCTAATCATTATTTATTTATTTTTAAAAGAAATGTTCGAAACAATTATCATTCAGTTGATTGTTTATACGCCATATTAACCAACTGTTGGCTTCAAAGATCGAATCCTAATACCAGAATCTCAAAATTAAAATTAAAAACTTGTTCGATTAGTTAATGTTACAAATAAATTAATATACAGTAGGCTACTTAATAATGAAATGTTTACTATTAAATTAAAACAGAAAGAAGATAATTAATCATTCTCACTAATTTATATATCACGGTAGATAACCATAATGTCTACACGACCGGGGAAGATGTTCATGATTTGCCATGATAGTGGGAGATGATATTATGTTCCGTAACCACTGGGTTATTCGGGGGAATTGCCAAGTCCGCGGGAGACATGACGATATCTAAACGACTGCGGGAAATAAACAAAATTTCACCGCAATCGTGGTAGACAATTTAATTTAACTCATGCTATATTGTTAATCAAAATTCTTGTATCTAATCAAATCAAACTAAATATAAATATGATATATTTAAAATGATTTATTATAATAATTTTTATTGTTTGTATACAATATTTAAACAAAAGATAATTTGAAGCGTTACACTTGTTTAGGCCTATTTATTTTGATGGCAAACGCCATTTTTGCAATAGGCTAATTTTAAATTGTCATACAAACATGCGACAAAATCATGTTGTTGTAGGCCCAATCTCATTTTTTGTTAGGTTTTCTTATTGCCATTTAAAATTGTAATATATTTATTTAGACCCCTCTAATTAAAATATATAACAAAATGGCGTAATATACTCTACTTACTACACAGAAATATTTTTGGCCCAGCCCACCTTACCTCCAAAATATACAATATGGACCTTGAGTAAAAGAGTAAATGATTCTCCAACAAGTTGCAAGTAGAGTACAATGGCAAGATAACTCTGCATTCAAAATCTGGCTACACACCAACTTATACACTCGTAAATTAACCACTATATTCATTTGACAAACTGTTAAAAAGAACCAGTAAGGGAATGATAGCCCACCTACAGTACATGCCATGTCATTGCCAGTTGGTACAAATTATTTTGAAGGTTACAAAACCCACAGCCTTGTCCAGTCCAGGTTTTTTTATATAGATTTGGATATAGTAGTAGCTAGGTATAGCAGTTAACAAAAAATTAGGTATGGAATCTATCCGACTACATTGGTCAAATATAGAGACAAATAAATAAACTCAAAGGCATTTTTGGAAGGGAGATAAAATTACCAGTTGACTGAGTTGACCCAATATCAACTAAAGCCTGGTTTACACGGGTAGAGTTGTGGGTAGAGTAGAGTTTCTAGTAGAGTAACTCTACCCGTGTAAACACCCACTAGCGCCTAGTAGATAGTAGGTGGTAGAGTTACTAGCAACATGTGGCATAGTAGCTCTACTCTACTTCCCCCACTACTGCCAAAATTTTTACTTTTCTGCACACTATACTTGTGTAAATGTGGCGGATACTGCCGCGGAGGCAGTAGAGTGGGGTTTTCAGTGGAGTGACACTGTCTTGTAACTGGTTTAGAACACTCATTTTGGGAATGGAGGCGGAACACACAGTTCACAAACTATCACAGGATTCACAGGGTGTATACTATTTTATTTAAGTGAAATTCCAGGTTTTTCCAGGTTTTTCATCGTTTTTCAAAGTTTTTCCAGGTTCTCGCATATCTGTTTGGTTCCACTTAAACTATAATCAATTTAAGACTTGCAGCTTAAGTATACAATATTACATAAAATTTGTTTCAAAGTCCAGTGAGCTAGTGTTGAAAAATAATAATCCTTGTTATAGTAATAATTTGCATTATCATCATTACTTAAGGCCGCGGAAACATCGTCTCTCTCGATAGCAGCAAAATCCTGAATATTTCCTGCGGTCGTGTGGTCTCTTCCCACAGTGACGTAAACGTCATCACAGTCTTACATCATCATAGAAAAATCCTGGACATCTCCCGTTGTATGTATACATTATCGCCATCTCTTGCGACCACGTAAAAGTAATCGTCATCCGCGATCGCGGCAAAATCACAAAAATCTTCCGCGGCCGTGTAGACACCATCATCGACTCCTGCGGTCACGGGAACGTCATCGTTGTCGTCCGCGATCGCGGCAAAATCATGAACATCTGCGGCCGTGTAGACATAATCATCGTCGTCTTTCGCGGTCACGACAAATCATGAATATTCCCTGCGGCAGTGTAAACATCATCGTGGTCTCCTGCTGTCACGGAAACGTTATCGTCATCTCTCGCGGTCACGGGATCGTCATTGTCATCTCCCGTGTTCACGGAAACGTCATCGTCATCCGCGGTCACAGAAACGTCATCGTTGTCGTCCGCAACCGCAGCAAAATCATGAACATTTCCCGCGGACGTGTAGATGCGTCGTTTCCCGCGGTCACGAAAACGTCATCGTCGTCACCCGAAATCGCGGCAAGACGCTTTTTACGACTGCAATCTTCTAATCGGTCCAAAAATCCCGGCTTTTTCCCGGTCCATTCAAATTCAATGTTATTTCCCGGTTTTCCCGGTTGGTATACACCCTGTATTATCAACACTCTACTATGTGTGAACAGTCGCTTGCTTAAAATCGTTAGGGTGGACAAGAAAGTAGCTCTACTATAAACTCTACACTACCAACAACTCTACCCGTGTAAACCAGGCTTTAGAACCAGAAGCGATAAATTATTTGGAGGAGTTGGTTATATCAAGGTAAGGGGATTGATGGTTTTGCTAGAAATGTGAGTATAAACTGAAGGCGTACCTGGACATTTGACATCCATGAAGTAGGAGTTTGGGTGCTGGACCAGGCGCTTGAGTTTGTGTTTCCTCTTCTCCTCCGCTGGAGAGGGATGAAGCAAGTCTCTCGCAAGCTAAAGGGAAAAGAAACATTTCAGTTTTTATTATGAAACTAGGGATTAATTTACATATTTACAGTTCCACTTGACTAGTAAATGTCATCCGTCCTACCTTGTTTATTCTTATTTTGTATATTTTTACGGCAACATCTTTAAGAGTGATATTCAAACAATAAAAAATAATGGTATACTTGGATTCAGGATGTAAAAAACTAACTTCGTTTGGAGGCAAATATGGTGTTTTTTTTTTTTTTGCTGAGCCTAGAGTTTTATTTTGTAGATTTCAGACAAAGATGTAGGCCTAACTTAGCTAATAATGCAAACAGCAGCTGTCAAACTAGGTTCTTATTAAAACCTCCAAGTGTCTATAGTAACAAGCTCTTAATGTTAGCCTAATATAGGCCTACTAAAATTTTTAACACATTCTAATGAAATGGCGACCATGGGAATTATTTATAGTGCCACAAGAATTTATTAAAATGTATCTGAGAAACTTTGAAGGCTAAGTTATATAAAACTAAAAAATTAACAATACATTTTCTTCTAAGCATTTTTATAGATTATAAAAAACTTAAAGTTCAGGTTAAAAACAAAGTTTAAATCAAATTGTCTAGTTCTAAAAGTAAATATTTTAAGCCACTTTGTTTAAATTTTCAAAATAATTGTTAATGGTGATCTGAAGGATAATTTGCATCAATATCACTACGTACTTCTCCAGGATCATTCAACCAGCCTTTCGACATCACCTAAATCTTCCTCTAAATAATGCATCACGCATATCATTGCATATGGTACTGTCCATTTTTTAACAACGATAATGTAACATAACACTCCAGTCACCGGTGTGAGGTTAACCAAGTCGTTTACAAATACGAACGTCATCTGCCTCCTAGGACAAGATCAGCACGAAAATGAAAAGTGTCTAAAAACAGACATCAGGACAAAGCTAAGAAACTGCCGAAAACAATGATACCAATATCGATTCAGTCAGTCCAAGAGCCTTTGCAATAAAGCATGTTTGTGTGTCGAGACATAACACCGCAGCGGATGTGTAATGTGACGCTACAGTGACATAAAATACAAAATAAATCTAGGCCTAACTTAAGTATCTACCTAAGTAACTCTCTCGAGCACCACAACAGTTAAAAATTAGCTAACAATTACTTAGGCCTATATCTATATAAATGAAATTATAGTTTTGTCTGTACATTGCTCAGAATTATATTTTTAGGTTATTTTTACGTTTTATACGTTAAAGAAGCAGAAACAAGTCTTATCTCTATTTCTGTCTGTCTGTCTGTCTTTCTGTAACACTCAAGATGGCATTTTACGCTATCTTCTCCATGAAAACGAGAGTACCTATCAAGATCCAAGTCATTTTAATGTATTCACTGGATAGGCGAGAGTGTCTTTAGCCATTAAAATATGGCCTCACTACTTTGTAAATAAAACTACGGATGTTCAAAAATGCCTTTTTGTGCGATTTTTGCCAAGTTTTCAGTCAATATGTATCACATAATCTATATCTATAAAAGAGGAACTATGCATATGTGTATATATGTTGTTCATGTATATACGTTATGGACTCCGAAACCGCTCGACAGATTGTAATGAAACTTTCAGGCATTATTAAGCATCTTTCAAGGATGGTTCGAGTGAAGTTTGATGATGATCTGTCAAAAGGGCTCTGCCCCAGAGGGTTTTAAGCGGGCCAATGTCAGACTTTTAGATCTACAATGTTTACAACTATAATTTAAAAGCAGATGTTTACTTTCACTAACTGTTTTGTAGGTTTGAATAATTACAACATTCTGTAACATTCTGGCATTAAATAGGAAAACTAAGTAGTTTTTATTCTGATCGGACTCTCGGGCTCCGCCCCAGTGGTTCTGGAGTTTCCCATGTTAACCTTATGATTTTTCATATTTAAAAGGAATTAATGAATCTTAACAGCTGTTTCGATTAAACAAGTTAGTTCTATTCTATGATGTTCAATAAGCATTAAAGTTACAAGGATTACCAACAGGGTGCAGCACTATCATTTTTTTTTTAATTTATGACAACAGCTAATTTGCAACCAAAAGGTGAGTGAGCGTAGCGAACGAACATCAACCTGGAGGCGAGTTAGCGTAGCGAACGAGCTAACCTGAAAACAAGTGAGCACAGCGAACGAGCTCCAACCTAAAGGTGAGTGAGCGTAGTGAACGAACTTCAACCGGGACATGATTGAGCCATGCAACTTATGAACTTATGGTTTAACTTATGAAGTTAAACGGGGCAAAGCCCGTGGGTACAGCTAGTTATTCAATAAGTGTATGTTTATTGATCTAACTTATATAGTTCAACAAGTAACTTAAGCTTGATTTAACTTACTAACAAAGACTTCCCATAGGCTAATTTGTTAAGTATAGCTTGAGTATGAAATAAATTTGTTTTATTCTACGCCAGTGGAACTTTTAATTGAAGTCAAAGTTAGGTAATTTACGCTTAACTTAAGTCAGTTTAGTTTAAACAAATAAGGGAAAACGGTTCAACCCAATTTAAGTTTAAGTTAGTGAATGTGCAGGGAATCGTTGATAACAGGGTACTTTTCCTGTTAAAGGGAATATTCAATGACCTATTACGCTTATCAATGATTTTTTCGATATATCGATATTTTAGTTTTTGATCCAAAATAACAATAGAGGTAGGTACTATCGAATTTAAACATTACCAGCTGACAACTACGATAAATAAATACTGTTCAGTATCAACAAACAATTTGAAAAAAAAAACTAATCTAATTAACTTATATTCAAATGAAACTGTTCTAAACTAACCTTGCATTAAGTTACTAACAAAACTTGATGTACCGGTAGCCTAACATTTCAAAATTCTGTTTGATATTCCCTGCATGTCTTTTATTGTTATCAAACGGAATTTTATAATGGTAACTTACAGCAAGTTTGGTTGGTTATGTAACTAGGTTAGTTTGGAAAAGTTTCATTTTTTAATCCTTTTTGCCTAAACAAAATCAATATTTTTAATGGGTTTAAAGATAAAAACAGAAGGAATAATGGATCGTGAAGGAAAACAAAAACATCGATATAGGTAAGTATAAATATCGAAAAAAATCATTGATAAAAATAAATGTTCGCTTTAACAGGAAAGTATACCTACCGATAACAGTCCAATTGTTTAACTAAAACCTGTAGCCTATAGGCCTACTCAAGCTGTCGCTAAATATGGAAAATGGATTGAATTTAGCCAACGAACTAAGGTATTTAACCGGGAGAATATTCCGTGTTCTGCTAGGCCTATGTTGGAAATCCCACTCCATGGAGTACATACAGACTTAACTTAAACAGGGTTTTCACAAAGTGAGCTGGCGTAGTACTTATACATCTAGGTCTTGTGTATGAGTGTAGGGCCTACTGTAAAGTATTACGTGATGTTGTAATATGGTCTGTTAGTGAACTTTTTTTTAGTGTGGGCCTAATACAGTTTCTTGACTGGGCTACCCAAATGTCGATTGAAACTACCAATTGAAAAATTAATAATCAATATTTTTAACTACAGTAGGCCTACCCCCTCTTAATCGACCTTGCATTAACCCTTTGCGGTCGAATAGCGAGTATAGGTCGCCGCCCGCCATTTTGCCGTCTGCTCAAAAATGGCAACCTACAAGGACCCAAAAAAAGTAAATTCAAAAATAAAAAAAGTTAATTTTTTGGTTGAATGGTGAGTATAGGTCACTGGGCGCCATTTTCCTGACTGCTTGAATGCAATGGCAAGCTGAATTCGCCGGAAAATGTGGAAAAAATTTGAGCTCAAAGGGGTTAAATCTGATTATCCGCCCTCGATTGTAAAATATTACAATAACCAACCTTTGTTTTAACTGACCTTGCTTTTAGAGTAATTCAGTTTAACCGCCGCTTTCTAGAAATCTCTGCATTTCCAGTCCTATGCTCGGCGATTGGAACCATATGCGCTTAACTTATCTCCACAGGATATGGGTAAGAATATGTTATATTTTGTACTTAAATCCCAAAAAAATTATGTTTCTGAAAACAGCTGTTACTTTTTTGTAATATAATCTAGAATAAACAAACAACACAACTTGTAGGGAGGGCAGGGGAGGGGGGTTAACTACTACAAGGTCAAGATAGTTTTAAAGTGAATCTAGCCTAAATGTCTTTTTTGTCGCCGAGACGTCTTGTAGACACCATGCCTAGATTACTAAACACCATCCCAGAAAAACTCGCTTAAACATTGTAACATGGCAGTTTACTATACTAACTTAGACACCTCACCAAGATTATTAGACACCACGCCCACATGACTAAAGACCATTAGCAAGATTATTAAGACACCACCCCCAAATTATTAGACACCATACCTAGATAACTAGACACCAAGCCCATTTTACTAGACACCATACCTAGATTACTAGACACCATTACCAAGATTAGTAGACACAAAGCCCAGATAACGGTTAGGTTAGGTTATGTTAATCTAGGTAATGGTGTCTAAGTAGTAAGTTAATGGTAACTTAATGGTGTGTAGTAATCTGGGTGAGGTGTCTGGTATAGGAAACTGCCCTGTCCCGATGTTTAAGCAAGTTTTTCAGGTGTGTCTGGTAGCATATTCTAGGTGTGGTGTCTACAGAAAGCCTCGGCGAAAAAAATTCATAAAGAAAGTTGTAGTGTTGATATCTACTTAGTAACAGATTAAACACGTCTAATAACTTAGAACGTTTTAGGTGAGTTGGGGAAAGTGAATAGCCTATTTACCAAAAATCAAATGAAGGTTTTACCAAGCAAATCGATAGTTTTTTATGTTAGCGTAGACCAGTTAAGAAACTGTACCCGATAAATGTTTTGGTTCAATAGGCTATTGAATTGTTAACATGATGGAGGGAGTCCATTATTTGCAGTGTTAACAAATCTGAGACATGAAAGTTTGGCCCCTCCAGGAAATAGCCTAGGCTAAGTTAGCTTAAAGGAGTTAGGAATTAGCTTATTTCATTATGTGTAGTTTAAAACATGGATGTTTAAAATGTAGGTGTACTAAAGAGAACGTTACTCAGGTGATAACAACTAAGGTTCTAATATAGGATGAGAGGTCAGCGATGTTGTTGTACCTCGTTAAGGACAGCATGTCAGTATTGAGGTTAGGTTAATATTTATAGAATAAGCAAAATTAACTTAAGGCTAGGCAGAATAAAGTCTATGTTCTTTGTGAAACGCGTAGATTTCAGAGTACAGTATAAAGGAATGTTTATTTTAATAACAGAAGGAAATAAGGATTACGACATTTTGGGAAACTACGTAGCCGCTAATTGCATCCAGAAAATGCCTTCGTCAACTTAATTAAATAGGGAAGAGATATACAACTTGGTTAAGCTGAATGTAACACGCTTACTTCGATGCAAATTGAATGTATCGAAAAAATTACCATAATTTATTTTAAAACCTTATAAACGAATAAAATAGACGGAAACAACTCACAGGCATAGTGAAAAACAACACACGTGAACGTAAATCCACTGGAAGAAAGGAGCCGGAAAGCAGCAGCGCTAGCCTGTTTGCTGAAGATGTGTTAACAATTGAAACTACGACGGCCAAAAAAACAAAAACAGGATAAGTCAAATAAAAAAAAGTCATGCCCCATTGATTATAAAACGAAAAGTTATTATGGCATTGCTCATGATTGAGTCACCAGACTAACCAACACAACACGGAATATAGGTAATTGATCCATGATTTCACTCATTAATAGATTGATTGTTGTCGTGTCGTGAAAGAGGTGTTGAGTGTTGGACAAAAGCAAATTGTGTTTAGTATTTTTTTGGAACTGACCGTGGTTCTTTTTAAGCGTACTGTACAACCACGGCCGCCTTTAACTACAGCCTACACTACAGATCAGAATAAAAACTACTTAGTTGTCGTATTTAATGCCCAAAGAATCGGTGTACCGAATTTCAGCCTCCTAAGTAAATGGGAAGTGGGAGAATTAGTGATGAGTGAGTGAGTGAGTGAGTGAGGGCTTTGCCTTTTATTCTGATTACACATTTTCTTCTGCATCGTGTCATGTTTTGCAATATGATGTTGTAATGTGCAATGTAATGTAATGTGTATGTAATGTTAATGTGCAATCCAAATCAGTGGAAAATCCTAATATCACAGTAACTCTAAAAATTATTTCTTATGGAGTTAACTTATGTCTATTGTATCGGTTGGACTCTGCCTTTTTTTACCCCTTCTTGGAGATTGTACGTAGGCTTGGTGTTTTTGGCCTCTAGGGACCTCAAAACGAAAAAAAATCGGCCCCGCGTCCCCAGGTCTTACCATGAGTACTACGGTAATAGCTTATTCCCTATATGGGAAATTCGGTAAAAGGCAAAGCCCTCACTCACTCACTCAATCACTCATCACTAATTCTCCCACTTCCCATTTACCTAGGAGGCTGAAATTCGGTACACCGATTCTTTGGGCATTAAATACGACAACTAAGTAGTTTTTATTCTGATCGGGCTTTCGGGCTCCGCCCCAGTGGCCCTGGAGTTTCCCATGTTAACCTAATGATGTTTCATATTTAAAAGGAATTAATGCATCTTAACAGCTGTTTCAATTAAACAAGTTGGTTCTGTTCTATGATGTTCAATAGCATTAAAGTTACAAAGATCAGGGTACAGAACAGGGGGGGGGGGTGCTGAACAGGGTGCAGCACTATTTTTTTTTTTTTATTTATGACCAGCTAATTTGCAACCAAAAGGTGAGTGAGCGTAGCGAACGAACTTCAACCTGGAGGCGAGTTAGCGTTGCGAACGAGCTAGCCTGAAGGCAAGTGAGCGCAGCGAACGAGCTCCAACCTAAAGGTGAGTGAGAGTAGCAAACGAACTTCAATCAGGACGTGATTGAGCCATGCGAACGAGCTTATCTTGAAAATTAATAAGTTAAACGGGGCAAAGCCCGCGGGTACAGCTAGTTAATACAATAAATGTAATTTGCCACATGAAATTCAGAACCTCTTTTTAAAAACATTTCAACAACAAAATAGTAAAGAAAGCTAAGCTAAGCTAGGTCTAATCAAACCGCTAAGGGAACTGATAAACTGAGGTGGGACCTAGGAGGAATCCTCCTAGGGTGGGACACGGGACGGGAGCGGCGGGAGAGCTAAACAGACAACAGATCGCATACGTCATTAAGTAAAACTAGTTCTTCTTTATCAGTGGCCAGTTTTTTAGTTGGTAAAAAGTGATCAGTCAGGCTGTAGACGCTTGTGAATTCGTGGGGGACATCCCAAATACACTTGGGATGTCATACAACGTATGTATTTATGTAGGCTACCTATGTATGTGACAGACATACACTAAAATACACATCCCATATTTGGGATGTCTTTATAGACATCCTAAAAGATCGACACTGAAAATAGTCCCATCTTCGACAGTGTCGGGTCTGACTTAGGGGAGGTACGATTGATGCATTAGTTGAAAATTCCTCCTTGAACAGCGCTGTAGTAGAGAGCGATTTGACAATGAAGGTTTACTAATCGCAAAAATAGTTCTGTTCATAAAATAAAATTATAAATGCCTCGAATTCAATTTTATTATTTTTAATTATAAAATTAAACTATCAAAACCTAACCGAACTAACCAAACTTGCTGATGATAAAATAATATAACAAAAGTTTAGTAATAGAAAAAATAATTCTGTTTATTAAAGAAAACTAGAAATTGCTCAATTAAAATTGTATAATGACTTAATAATAAAATTAAACTGTCATAACCGGACTTAACCAACCAAACTTGCTGATAATGAAAAAATCTTGGACAAAAAGTTAATGCCACCAGCTGGATTTGAACCCGGGACCTTTAGCATATCAGCCCGGCACGCTAACCATTAGACCACCGAGGCCGATGACTACGGCTCGTTTTGTTACGGTAATGGCGTTCCCTCAGCTAATAAGAAGCCCACAGCTGTCATCGTAGCCTCTTCTATACCTCCCCTGAGTAAATACCTGTCGGTCATATGAGATGTCAATAAGATAGTTTTGGAATTCAGAAATCAGATTTTTCGGTTTTACGATCATCTCGCCGCAGTAATAAATCCTACGGTACTTTTTTAAACTTTAGGAACATGTTCCTAGGGTCTGTAACAGACTATTAAAAAGGAACTGAATAAATGTAACAGTTACAACAAAAGCATTCTTTAGTCTGCCCTTCCTTCCCCACGTGTCTTGCTAACTAACTATCGTTTGTTTATTATTATTATGGTGTTTTCACCCTGCCGTCACTCATGTTATAATTATCTCCCTCTTCATAGTTAATTAACTGTCTAAAATCAAATCAAATCATACCAGCATACAATATTAAACCCTTTTAGAAGGTCGCCTTTGATTGGATTGCTTTGCCAGAGCTTAAACATTTCAAAATACTGCAATGAAAAAAATGGTATATCAGTGTTAAGTATAAGTTTGGGCAAATGAGTAGATCCCTACCTATTTCCCCCAGAGGTTGGGTTCGTGTGACTTTAAAATTTAACCTTTTTCACTTTTAAAACGCTATTGCTCATAATGAAATTAAAAGTTAAAACCTTTAGGCGTGTGGACGAGTTCAATATGAAATAATTACTTTTGAATACCTAAGTTAGATTCAAAAGCTTTATTTGCCATTCAATACAAAATGTACAATAGGCATTGTCTCATACATTACATAACTTAACTGCTAAAATAAATAAATAAGATCATTCCAAATAATAAATTACAAAATGCAAACTCACACAGCAAACCATGCATAAAAAACAAAACAGTAAAGTAAATGATAAAAATCAATAGTTGTATGAATTAAAAGTTGTATTAAAGAACAATGTTAAAACTGACTGTTTACAAATCAAAAATTAATAATAATAAATCCAACATATGTTTAATATTTAGTTAAAACAACTGTCTTTTATATGGTGGTTAAGACCATAAGGAAGAGTAGACACTACAACAGCAAGCCAAGCAAAACAAAACAGCAAACTTACATACCTGTTACAGGCAAAACCATCCAGGTGAAATGGGCTTAGCCCTTATAGCCTCAAAGAAATCCTCAATTTTGTAGAGGATTTAATACCAACCATTTTCTTATGACCATACAAGATTTAGAGGTACACAAGGACCGTACTTCAATCGGTAGGCTGTTAAAAAATTTTATGCCTGAAACAGGAAAACATTTCTGAGTCAAACTTAGCTATGACTAGTCAAATGTATGCTATTGGAACTTCTTGTGTCATGTGTGTGTACCTCCTTGTTTAAAACAAAGCTACACTCCTCAGACTTGATGGCAATTAAACATTGATAAATATATAAATTAATGACTGTCATAATCTGCAACTGTACAAACAATGGCTTACAGTGTGCATGATAGTGTGCCCCACATATAACTCGCACTGCCTTTTTTTGCCATATCAGGATTCTCTGAACATGAGGGGAGTGACCCCAGAGCCTTGTCCCATACAAAATGTGGGACTGGAAAAAAGAGAAGAAAGCGAGTCTCACAAAATTAAGGGGAACTTCACACATGAGCCTCCTAAGCAGATGAGTGACTCTACTAAGTTTAACGCAAAGGGCATCGATGTGATCACTCGTCCAAAGTGAAACCCAACAACTTTACTGTGTTACCCTCAAGTACTTTCTTGCTTAGGCTAAACAATATCCCTTGTGTTTTTCCCTCATTAAGTGCTAGCTTATTACCAGAAAACCAATCTGAGGCTGCATTAAACAACACATCAACATTATTACACGCAATATAAGGATCAGGATGGTTCATAAACAAAGTAGTGTCATCCGCGTACAACAACATGTCATGAGAAACACAATGATACAGATCATTCATGGCAACAATGAAAAGGAAGGGCTCTAACACTGAGCCCTGCGGGACTCCACATCTGACCTCAATGGCACTCGAGTTGCTACCATTCCAACTTACAATCTGAGACCTATTGTCTAGATAAGACACTGCACCACCTTGAGGACACTCCCCCCAATGCCATACTTCTTAAATTTCTCAATTAAGTTGTCATGAGGAACAGAGTCAAACGCACGAGATAAATCGCACAAAAGAACAGCAGTTGACGACTTGCTCTCAAAAGCTTCTAAGATTACTTGAAGGAGAGAATCTACAGCCGTAACTGGAGACCTTCCCCTCCGAAAACAATGTTGAATAGGGGCAAGGAGGTTATTCCCCTCAAAGTGGTCACAGAGCTGATTCAACATGATCACCTCAAATACTTTACCAAACACCGGTATTAAAGACACCGGTCTAAAACTCTGTATTACATCCCTAGGGCCCTTCTTGTATACTGGCACTGTTCTAGATACTTTCAGTACATCAGGAAAAACACCCTGCAGAAGGCAGGAGCTAAACAGATGGGCCAAGATTGGAGCAATCAAAATGACAATCCTTTTCATAAAATTAGCCGACATAGAGGATTTAAAGCTATTAACAGTATTTACAATATCTAAGGCATTCACCATTCTCCACTGGAAATTTACATGGGCCAATGGAATGCTATCTATGTAATTATACTCATTCACAGGAATCCCCTTACAATATCAGCCACTGAGTCTACAAAAAAGTGGTTGAATTCCTCAGCAGAAGCAAACTTGCCATCAACACCCAAGGAACCAGCTCCATGTTTATTGATCAGGTCCCAAGCAGCCTTACACGGGTTAGCAGCCCTGGATATTTTATCAGCCGCTGCAGCCAGCTTCGCCTCTCGTAGCTACGATAGTTTCTTCGCAATTCACGAAGATAAGGAGTAACACCGGGTCTCCTATTGTAATCCGGGGTAGCCTATTGTAACTAAGGATGTACTAAAACTTAGGCCTGTAGCAGTTGTTACCTATACATCCTACTTTTTAAGGTTTTGCAGATCTTACAATGACCATCATACAGAACAAACCCTCTAACTTTATATTTTTTATTCAAATTTGAGTATTTTAGAACTTGAGCTATTTATGAGCCCATAGCGATTTTTACCTTAAATCGAGGCAACCTTAAAATGTGAATTTTAGGGTGAAGGCGTTTGCCCCAAAAGTTCCAAAGGAAAAAGAGTGCTTACTTAGAATAGCCTAATTATTTTGCTAATAAAACAAAGTTTGAAAAAAGTATGAGTGTAGTTTAAGTTCATAATAACCCACACTTCTTTATGGAAACATCAACTATCAACTCATGAGTAGTAAAATAGTAGATACTAAGTTAGACAAAATAATAGTACAATAGGAAAATAGACTAGCTTCCTGTAGGCAAAGCCCCGAGTCACGAATGGCTTGGGGAGGGACGAGGGACTATTTATCAGGAACGGTTCCATCCAAACTGTTCCACAGAGCGAAACTTAACGCAAATGTAATAGTTGCAGTTCCAAAAAACAGTAGGATTTATTACTGCGGCGAGACCAGCGAACACATAACAAAATAGAAGCGCTACTCGGAGCGCAGGAGCGTGGCAGTCTGACTAGCCGACGAAACGGACAAAGATGGCGGCGCTAGCCTAGTCTCGGCGTCTGCAACGCGCTGGTCGTCTGCTATGCTTCGAGTCAGGGTTGTTTACATAGGCTTTATTTAAATGTAAAAACACTTTTGTATAAAAACTACTTAGGTTTTTCTGGAGTATTAGTATATTGTTGGAAATATCTTAAAGTAAATAAATTGTTTTACTTTATTATTGCCGACATAAAATTTATCTAATGAAAACCTTTACCCTTAAGTTCCTATAATGAATTATTCCTAACTGATTAGACAAGCACAAATTCGTTTAATCAGAGTTTACTTGGATATTTCCAAAGTAATGGTTTAAGAATCGATAAGGTTGATGTTAGCCTCCAGATTACCAATAAAAACAAACATAATTACTCTATTTTATTGATAAATTAAAATAACAATAATCAGCATGTACTCTGGACGGATAAAAAAAGAGTAAACTATAAAAGAAATTAAAACTGGTCTTAATTTAAGTAGTGTTACACGTTACGAAGTAAATTATTTATAAAAAAAATAATTGAATAATTTATGAAGAAAATGATAATAATTCTTTTGAGTCTAGAATAAAATAAGAGATTTATAAATCTTAAGTTATTGTAATTCTTTCTGTACTATAGCTTGAAATATATTAGAGGTAAGTAACCTGCCTGCTCTACTAGCCTCACTTAAACGCGGCTTCAGGCTGTGTATTGATCACTCAGGGGTTGATTTTTAAAATATCGATCACACAGTAAAAATTTGTGATTTTTTTCTCATTTGTATTAGAACAATAACACAATCTGCCTCATTGTTAATTGAGGAACAAACCATGAATTTATTACTGGCAAAGGAGAACGTACACTACCTGTTGTAAATTGTAATCGTAGGCATATGGTACAAACTATTCGACCTATTGTTTGGTCCAAAACATAAAAAGTCAATACTGGAAATTGTAAATGAATTAGGAGTGAACATTGTACAGGGATGTCCCGTTAATCCTTATGTTACTCCGAATGGATTTCATTTGCAATTTCTTAGATTTCCCTTTTACGACAGCCCATTCCAGTTTTTGGGGTGTCGGGTCATTCGGGTTAGTTCACCCGAGTTATGACCTTCAATTTCAACTTAAATATTGTTTTGATTTTACGTGGCAATCGCAAAAGAGAAATTCTTTAACACACACAAAAGTAGGGTACTACTAATGACTATTTTCCGGAAATTACTAAGTGGTTGTAATTTATTTCACTTAGTTAGTCGTCAGTTTAGGCTTATTGAAATATTTTTATACAAGACAATCATAATACTAAACGTGTTGTTTAGTTTTAACAAATTAAAAAAAATTAAATGAATGAATTTATTTCCTATATTTCAGAACCCTGTATACAATTATAATTGTTGAAATATTAAAACTGGTCTTTATTCAAGTAGTGTTTCCAGCTGTAAAATAAATTATTTATAATAAAAAAAAAACTGACAATTCCAGAATCAAATAACAAATATTGTATCTGCCCGCTGTAAAATATGGGGCAAATTCAGTTTGAGCAAACACATAAACAAAACAATACTTGTACTTAAGGTAACGCTGTTATACTGGAGAGTTGGTGCGATGGTGATAACCTACATCCTGATGAGAACTAGTCAAGTGATTGTTCTTTTACAAAAATAGTACACATTTCTCAGGATATGAAATAGACAACAATCATTTTTGTTTAGTAATTAAAATGATTGCTCAAATATGTTACAATGTTAGAGTTCGCTACTACTATAAAATAAGTAACGAAAGTCTTCACAAAAATAAAGTCAGGCAACATCTCAATAAAACTGTAATTTTTCTGGGACAATAAATTGAGTGTAATTTTACAAACATTTGGGAAGTTTTATTTAACTTACATAATTACCTTTAGTTTATCTTGGATGATATTGAAAGCAAATTAGTCCTTAAAAAGCTGTGCTAAACGGTTGAAAATTCTTCATAGACAATATATTTGAAAATGTCTTTAATATATACAATATTACAGTACAACAGTATAAATAAAACATTAAAACACTGCACACTAAATTTATAGACGACGGCCCGGCGGGGCAGCGGTTGTGGCGCGGAGCAGCGGCAACGGCCCTCTTGTACCTGATATTTTTAGAAAACCACGCACGATAAAAATTTTTGGCGAATCGGATAGTTAAATTTGGTTATTTATCCACAACTTTCCCGCTGACGAAATTACTCTGACCAAAAAATAAAAAATTTCCTCGCTATACAACTTTTTCATGTCTGAATGTGAAAAATTAAACTACATAAGTAAAACAAATATTTATAAATCAATTACTATCATAACTAATAATTTTATATTAACACCATCGTTATCATCAGTATCAGATCTACAAGTGTGCAAAATTTCAGCAATTTTTGTCAACTATTAATGTTGTTTATGATCGTGTATTTGTCGCGGGGTTTTTAATGCGAACTGTGCTCGTGGGTCTTGGATTAAGGCTGTATGACGGACCAAGATGGCGGATTTGGCCACTCTGTCAGTGCATTTGGTTAAACGCCGTGTCCTCTCTATTATTATTATTATTATGTGCTCGCTGGGCGAGACGGTCGTTTGGTTTGGCTTATTTTCACTGTCTACTGTCAGTGTCAGTAAGTTCAAGTTTTCAATCTTCTTCTTTTTTTCAGTTTTCAGTTTGTCCGTCGTTGGTCGTTGTTGTGTTTGTCTTTTGTCGATACTTTGATTCTATGAAGTTAGTGAAATAATTTCATTTAGGCAAGGGTGTAGTATAAGTAGACCCTAAATTATTTCTTCCAACTTAATAGAATACGTATTTTTAACGGCCGCTCTTTGATAAGTTCTTACTTCTTAGTCTTAGTTGTATTCTTACCCGCAGTGTTATTGTATGTTAGCCTACACCCTACACTTACAAATATAAGTTTTGTTTCTTTCTAAAAAGTATGGTTGCTGATGAAGTTTTGTTGGAGTTAATACACGCAGAACTTGTGAATTATGCATACAATAAAGCAGATGCATCTAAGGACAATGACAAAGACAAAAAGGTAAGTTATAGGCCCTAACTCTATTAACTTATAAGAAAAAAGAAAAGAACTAACAAAACCATAAAAAATGGGCTCCCTAGTTAGGCCTAGTGCCAACCTAATAATTGAGGTTAGGACTTTTACAGGTGCATAAATTGATCTGTAACTTAACACGTTCAGTGCTGACTAGGCCTACATCAATTGATGTAGTCGCGCCACGAGCGCTCCTATCGGCCTACATCAATTGATGTAGTCGGGCCACGAGCGCTCCTATTGGCCTACATCAATTGATGTAGTTGCGCAACCACCATTATGTTAGTTCAGTTTGAGCTCAGCCAATGCCGGGGAACGTTAAAATCGCTGCTAGTCTGTAGCTTAGAATGTGAGCTTTATTTTGGTGTAGAGGTTGGTACTAAAATTTCCCGTAAAATCCCGTCTGACTATGCTTTTGTCCCGGCTTCGGGGAATTTTGTCTCTTCAAGCCATATTACAAAGCCACTGACTACCGATCCAGGCAGTGCTGTTACCTTTGGGTGTTTTAGGGAACTACGTCCAATGTCGGGGTAACGTAGTACAATCACCGCTGCTCTTTTGTTATTCGTCATATTGAAACATTTGAATGCCAATTGCGTTTGCTGTTATGGTGCCGTGCCTGTTGGAATGCCTGCCGCACTGAACGTGTTAAATTACTAGCTAGCCTACAGTAACTTAAAAGACAAAAGGGTAACTTACAGTTTCTTAACTGAGCTATGCTTACTTAACTTAATTTCGATTGAAACTATCAAATTGAAAATATTCATTAACTTAATAATCAATATTTTAATAACTAGCCTAAGTATATCAATTAATGAAACTATGTTACTTATCATAACCTTACCTAACTATGGTAACCAAACTTGCTGATAATAAAAAAATCAAATGAAAGTTTAGGGTAGGCCTACTAATTGAATCGATAGTTTCAATTGATATTTACTTACTTGATACTTGGTGATCTCCCACTGGTAGCGCAGCTGTGCCGTGGTCGTCAGTTTTTATGGCATATTTTTCTCTCAGATACTCTTCAATAGAATAATATGGCCTCTTCAATAAATAATCTTTGAATTTTCTCTTGAATTCATCTTGATCTTCAATGTTTTTGATATTTAGAGGGATCAAGTTGTAGATTAAGCTTGATAAAACTTTGGTCCGTCCTTTACTAAACTTGAGTTGACTTGATTTAGATGAATGTTGTTTTTTTGCCTTGTTTAGTAGTTGTGTATTGTATTGTTTTGTGGAAACGTGTTCGGGTTCTTCTTAACTATTAGGGCAGATTCCAAAATAAATATTGCTGGCACTGTAAGGACTTTTGCTTAAACAAAAAGGATTTTACAATGGGCAAGGTTTGGAGCATTATAAATGATTCTTTATTCTTTTTTGAAGAAGTAGTATTCTGCTTACACTCTGACTGTTTCCCCAGAATAAGATTCCGTAGTTGACAATACTTTGAAAGCAACCAAAGTAAATTTTCATTAAAACATCATTAGGATATCTACAATTGACTTGAGCCTTCGAACCATATGGCACACAGCTGTTAATCTGGGCGAAATTTGTTGGATATGATCCTGCCATTTAAGATTGTCACTGATGGTTAAGCCTAAATACTATTATGGCTTTTAAGAGTTTTAGACAGTCTGAAAAAAATCTATGGTAGCAACGTTTTTATTCCATGTATTATGAACATGAGAATTTAGTTTGATTAAGTTGGGAATTTTTAGAATATATGATACAGAGTCGAATAAATAAATGTTAATCACTGTTGAAATTTGTAGCTGAATGAACAGGGGTTTACAGTATTCCTGTAGGGGTTCTCTAACCAACTTCTTTTGTAAGACTAAAATCTCTATCCTACTGCAATTGCCGTAAAAGATAATATTGTATCTAAAAATGTCCGGATTGATAATAAGCAAAGTAGGCGGTTTTAATATAGGCCTAATTTTGATCCATACAATGTACAGTAGAACCTCAATTACTAAAACCTTAATATCTCGAATTTCTCAATAGGTATTTAGATTTTTTTTAAATCCCCTTGAAATCCACATTAATCATAATGTTAAAAGTACCTTTATAAGTCGAAGTTTCTAATTATTTAACCTCAATAAGTCGATTTTTAACAACTTTTAAACGGTAATATTCCATCTCTACAAGTTGAATTTTCCCGTCATCGAGCCTCAGTCACTCGAAGTTTACCTTTATAAGTCGAAGTTCGCACGAATGTGCCTCAATAACTTGGAAGTTTTGCCTTACAGTACAAGTCAGTAGTGTTTTGATTCCTGTCGAGACGTTAAATCCAACTTCCTGTGTTTGCTTCCAGTGTCTGTTTGGCTTGGTAGGCCTACTGTAGTCTGCCAGTTGTTAAGATAGTTTTGTGCGCGTCGGACGTCATGTCGTCGGTTAAGCGTAAGTGTAAAACGTTGACACATGATGAAAAAAGAAGAGTTATTAAGGCAGTTGACAAAAGGATTAAAGAAAAAAGTGGAATCGCTGAGGAATTCGGAATTCCGCCTAACACTTTATCAACAATTATGAAAAACTGGGAAAAGTATGAGGCCGTAGGGGACTAACCAATAAGAAGAGATGTAAAAACGGTGAGTTTAAAGACGTGGACGAATGTGTTTTAACGTGGTTGAAACAGTGTCGAGATAACATACCTGTATTAGGACCGATTTTGCAAGAGAAGGCCATTCAATATGCAGAGAGCTTAGGAAAGAATGACTTCCGCGCCTGCAACGGATGGTTGCATAACTTCAAAAAAAGAAACAAAATTATTTTCAGAAAGGTTTGTGGAGAAAGTGCTTCTGTGAACTCCAATGTATGTGACGAATGGAAAACAGAACTAAAAAAAAACTGACTTGAGTCATATTTGCCAGAAAAAATTTACAATTTAGACAGAACTGGCCTTTTTTTTAATGTCTGCCAGACAGAACCCTGCCTTTTAAAGGTGATTCATGTAGTGGTGGGAAAATGAGCAAAGTTAGAATAACTGTGTTGCTTTGTGCCAACTCCGACAGAACAGACAAACCGAAGCCCCTTGTAATAGGAAAGGCCATCCATGCTGTTTTAAGAATGTGAAAAGTTTGCCGACAGACTATGAAGCAAATCATAAAGCTTGGATGGTTTCTGGGTTTTTCAGTTCTTGGCTGAAAAATATCGACAAAGCCATGAAGAAGGAGAATAGAAAAATTATTCTCTTTATTGGCAACTGCTCAGCACATGAGGACATGAAGAACGTCAAAGTCCAATTCTTACCACCAAACACAACCTCTAAGTTACAACCACTTGATCAAGGGATCATTAAGAACTTCAAAGTGAACTATAGAAGAGAGGTTGTCAAACGATTTTTGAGGGATATGGATAACGAGTCAATGACGCAGATTTATCTACTCGATGCACTATGGATGATGTCAAAAGCCTGGAACTGTGTGACTTCGGCGACTATCAAAAACTGCTTTAATGCATATGGTTTTGAAGTACCCCAACACACCACAGGAAATTAACTGGATGAAGTACAGGATGAACCTTCTATCGTGGACATAAATGAGACAACGGCTGAATGGACTGTAGCAGCACAGGCTCTGAATGTTGAAGAGTTGGCGTTCGTGGACTTCGTAGACTTTGACGACGACGTTGCTGTATGCGGGGAGCTGACTGACGCAGACATCATTACATCGGTTGCTGGAGGTTCGAGTTTGAATGCAGTTTCTTCAGACGAGGGAGAGGAGGATGAGGGCGAATCAACACAGCCAGACCCAACTCTTAAAGATGCTCGTGCTGCAATTCATGTGATTCGGTGTTTTTTTTAGAAAAAGTCAGTGATGAGTGATAGTGTTGTGAATAGCATCAATAACTTGGACATACCATTGGACGCAGTAAACATCAAAGGTAAACAAGCAAGAATTGAAGATTTCTTTCATCCCGTTTTGCCAAATTAGATGCAGTAGGCCTACTTAAATACATTTCGAAAAGTTAAACTTGCATTTTGTTTAGAATTTTGACAACACTAGTATTTTCCCTTTGAATATTGCTCGATCTACATACTTTTTTGTATGTACAGTATTGTACCTATTCAGTATTTTTGTTTTTACAGTAGCTTGTTTTACAGTAGGCCTACATATAAAGATTTTGATTAACGTTTGCTTTTAACAGACATTATACACAGTAAATGTAGTTCCGTGTATGGTTGATACTATACCATAGGCCTACTGTATTATAGTTTTGTATTTTATACAGTATTTAAACCAATTTTTCTTTGTTATTCAACAGGGTTTTTATGTACTTTATCAAACTTATTTCCAAACTTATTACTCAATAATAAATAAAGTACTTTATGTGCATTAAAACTGTTTTATATTGCTTCTACAGTTACTCTTCAGTACATATAGGCCTAAATACAGTTTGAGTTTGATTTATAAAGGTTTAGGTTGTAAAAGTCAAGTTATAGAGGCCGTAACGTTACATCACTGTCACCTCAGTATCTCGAACTTTTTCGTATGGCACCTTCATAACTCGAACCTCACTAACTTCAAAAACTTGAAAACTCAAATTTTTATCATAACCTTCAGATTCGAGATATTGAGGTCCTACTGTATTAGTTTAGTCATAAGACAAATTACTCTGAAAGCTACGTTACTTTTATGCTGCTCTATTACTTCCTTCATATCCGCTTCCAATACTTTAATTTTATTATCGTCACTGATGACATTTTTCACCACTGATTTAGGTAGGCTACTGTGGTCTTACTAGTATTATTAAGGGGAGACTCAGAGTTATCAGATAGAATCTTCAGCCTCTAATGCACTGATAACCATATACGTAACCTTAGTTTTTCCACAATCATTCAAGTGCAACCCATGCCTTGTGTAATGATATCGTTTCAGATTCCTCAGATCCACAACAAACAGGTTCTTAATCCTAGCACTTGGTTCCATGATATAATTATTTGCTGTCACTAAACAACTTAAGAATAATAATATAAAATTGTGTGCCAAAGTCAATGGACTAATGAGAAGATTTATTCTATGCTGTTTGGAAGAACAGAACAGCTTCATAAAAACTAACAATGACTGGCATGGTATACTCTGTGTGCAGACTGATTTGATTGTCAGTTGTCAGTTCCAAGTACCAACAGACGACCTCAAGTCGGAACATGCTCAATCACAACACTACTCTTGAACCCATAATTGTTTCAATTATTCAATTAGGAAGTAATTAAATGATTACTTGACTATTATTTAAGAATACACATAATAAGTTCGCAACAGTTATTTACAAATATGTTTCATGCAATCTTAAACGTGTGAATTGATCAGTTAATGCAAACAAAATCCAGCATGCATAACCTAGTCTTTGCAGAAACGTAAGTAATTACTGTTCAAATTAAATAATAAATTAAATGTATCGATTGAATATGTAGTAGAACTCACACTTAGAAAGTTAATTTGTACTGAGAGCCTTGAAAACAACAAAAAACTGATTTTAACTGTAAAAACTTGAACTCACAAACAGACAGACTACACCAATAATTCGATAGCAGACAACTATTATAAACATACTCATGTACTACTTAACATATGTATTAAATTGACATTATATTACAATTTTTTTTGTACAGGATGTTGACTTTTCAAGTTTGGAGTACACAGGATTTTTAACTGGATACAGAATGATTGAAAGGTGAGTAAGTCAATCCAGGCGAAAGGCATTATTTAGGACTACTGTACCTATAAGCAATTACAGTAGAACCTCTTTAATCCAAACCCCTGTAATCCGAACGCCTCATTGCTGTACATTCACAGTACAGTAATTCTTTATTGTATACTGGTACTGTATTTATTGACATACAGACCCTAATTGTTTCTATTGTAATGCACAGTACTTTTTGTTCACTATGTATGAATCAGCTTGTTTTTCAAAAACGTATTCTACTTTATAAATCATTTTTCACTTTTCCCATAACAATTACGATAAATTTTAGCCACGTTTCAGTTATTGTTATGTAAAAACAACAATAAGTTCTGTTATCCAAACTATTCAATAGTCCGAACTACCCCCAGCCCCAATTAGTTAGGATTAAAGAGGTTCTACTGTATATCTCTTTAACAGAAGTACCTGGTGCAGATACATTCCATCCATTCCCAAACTCCACACTGCTCACCTTTGCTACTTCCTTCACCACTCCCTACGCCGTGGACCTGTTTTCATCTCTTTCCACAGTATTTTTGATACATTAATCTAATTGCCACAAACATTCCCCACACGCCTTTACTACTTTCACAATTACCTGTGTCGTGGGCATGTTTCCATCCCTTCTCATAGCATTTCAGTATTGCAGATACGTTAATCTAACTGCTACAAACGGTTTCCAGTTCCCACACTCCACACTGCTCGCCTTTACTACTTCCTTCACCTCTTCCTACATCGCGGACCGGTTTCCCTCCATTCCCATAGCATTTTAAGATTGCAGATACCTTAATCTAATCGTCATAAACAGTTCCCACACTCCGGAGAGCTCGCCTTGACTACTTCCCTCCCACTTCCAACGTCTCGGACCTGTTTTCCTCCCTTCCCATAGCATTTTAGGATCGCAGATACCTTAATCTAATTGTCATAAACACTTTCCACACTCCGGACTGCTAACCTTTACTACTTCATTCACCACTTCCTACGTCAAAGACCTGTTTCCCTCTCCTCTCACGGAATTTTAGGATTGTAGATACCTTAATCTAATCGTCATTCACAGTTCCCACATTCCGGACTGCTCGCCTTTACTACTTCCTTTATCACTTCCTATGTTATGGACCTGTTTCCCTCCTTTCCTATAGCATTTTATGATTGCAAGGTACCTTAATCTAATCGTCATAAACAGTTCCCACACTCCGGACATTGGACTGCTTGCTTTTACTATTTCCTTCACCACTTCCTACGTCGCGGACCCGTTTCCTTCTCTTCCTATAGCATTTTAGGATTGCAGATACCTTAATCTAATCGTCATAAACAGATCCCACACTCCGCACTGCTAGCCTTTACTACTATGTATCGATTACTCTTCAGTAGGCTATAATCTTTGCTCAATAGTAACAAGTGATGTTTTTCCTTTTGTACTGTATTTTGTAATTTGCTAGTATACTCTGGTTAGATGGCTTATTACGAGCACATGTTACAAATTACAAGTCTTTTGTTTACTTTTTTCTTGTTATTTAATTCAACCAACATGGTTACTTAGCAACCCATAAGACTAATGTTTAAAAATGTGACTCTCAGTTTCATTTTTCTACGTAATTAGATTTTTGTTGGCAGTTCTAACTGCAGTAAACTCGTTTTTAGGCCAGAAATAAACTACATACAACATTTGAAGAAAATCGTCGAAGCCGTTTTCGAGATCTTTGTGCAAACATACATACATCCATACATACATACAAGCAAACATTGCTCGTATTAGAGTAGGGCCTATAGGATAATTGTAGCCTAAAAAAATGCTCAGTCACCTGATTGGGATTAAACTTATAGGCTATGCCAGGTTCAAGGAGAACAGATATAAGAGCTGTGTTATTTCACAAGTATACGTATATATTTTAGGAAAAAGAAAGTCTATATTTTTTTATTTTTTTTCATCCTAGAAACCTACTACACACATCGACCATTGAATCCTGAGCAATGTGCACGGTAGATCTTGTTCAAAATAAACATAAGGTACCTATTGTTTATCAAATGTTGCTGTTTACATGAGACCTCAAAAAAGTGCTTGACCACATGAACACTTTTGAATCAAAGCTTGCCTGTTTCAACATCTACAGCATCCTAAGTTATTTTTTGGCCAAGGGGTTGCTTTTTCCTCAGTGGATGGACCCTGTTTTTCTCAAATTTTCAATGCGCCTGAAAATTGTATTTTGGACTAACTATATCATGGTGTCTAAGATGAAAGGGACTAAAAATGTCGCACTGCTGTGATAGGCTCGCCATTTTGCATATACTCAATCATAGACTATATATGATCGAGTAACTATTATATGATCATGATGTTTACCATCCAATGAATTATGGCTAATAAAGTGGCATAATCTACAGCAATGGGTGACACCCCTTCCACCTCGTGAAAATAACTGTCGCACGTTTACTATCCGTTTTAAAATCATCAGGTTCGTGTTGGTCACCCTGTATAGGGTTCAAGTATTAACTGGCTTTTATGATTTGTTTTAGCCAGCACTATGGAGATTTAGCACCTAGCATAAGTGTCTTATAAGTGTGTTTTAACAAAACTGCACACCATTGGTTTAGAATGAAATTTATGTTTTTACAGGTTAACAAAAGATTGGCCCAGATTTAAAGACGAATTAGACACTGTAAAATTCATTTGTACTGATTTTTGGTCATCAGTCTATAAAAAGCAGATTGACAACTTGAGAACCAATCATCAAGGGGTGTATGTATTGCAAGATAATGCCTTCAGATTCCTGAGCAAAATATCAGCTGGATCTCAATATCTGGAACACGCTCCTAAAGTAAGACCTTTTAAAACATGTATGGTAGTCTAATGTTGTAGAACGCAAAACTAAAACTTAAGTTAACTTAACTTGTATTAAGTTACGTTTTAAGCTTCCTCCTAATTTCATGTTTATAAACACCAGTACCTACCTGTTTTTCTTGCATTTATTGTCTACACACTTAAATATATATATATACTAGCTGTACCCTCGGGCTTTGCCCCGTTTAACTTCATAAGTATTTGCATGGCTCAATCACGTCCTGGTTGAAGTTTGTTCGCTACGCTCACTCACCTTTAGGTTGGAGCTCGTTCGCTGCGCTCACTTGCCTTCAGGTTAGCTCGTTCGCTACGCTAACTCGCCTCCAGGTTGAAGTTCGTTCGCTACGCTCACTCACCTTTTGGTTGCAAATTAGCTGTTGTCATAAATTAAAAAAAAAATGATAGTGCTGCACCCTGTTGGTAATCCTTGTTGTAACTTTAATGCTATTGAACATCATAGAATAGAACTAACTTGTTTAATTGAAACAGCTGTTAAGATTCATTAATTCCTTTTAAATATGAAAAATCATAAGGTTAAATCATAACAAAAAAAATCATAACATGGGAAACTCCAGAGCCACTGGGGCGGAGCCCGAGAGTCCGATCAGAATAAAAACTACTTAGTTTTCCTATTTAATGCCTAAAGAATCAGTGTACCAAATTTCAGCCTCCTAGGTAAATGGGAAGTGGGAGAATTAGTGATGAGTGAGTCAGTGAGTCAGTGAGGGCTTTGCCTTTTATATATTTAGATATATATATATATATATATACTATGCACCATACCCGTGCTTCGCAATGGGAAGAGAACGCTTATTCCATAGATCTGCTGTATGTAAATAAACTTTTAGAAATCCACTAAAAGTATTAACTTAAAATATTAACTGGCTATTTTCGTTTCCCAGACATTATTATTTGGGAAATAAACCATACAAATTCAATAGGTTTTTATAAACATTTTGGGAAAAAGAAAGTCAATAAGATAATGAATTACGCACTTAACAAATAAAACTCCTTATTCACACACTATCTAAATGTATTTATTAAATTAAAAACATAAACATTAAACATAACTGTAAACAATCCTAATTTGACAGTTCTAATTTTATATCACAGCTGCTTGGTTGAAACATGTTGAAATTAGCAACTACTGTTGTCATAAATTTAGACAATTAATAGTGCTGCACCTTGTTGGTACATTTTGTAACCTTTTAATGCTATTAATGCTATGTTAAGATTCTTTAATTCTATTTAAATATGAGTACTCTTAACTTTAACATGGGAAACTCAAGAGCCACTGGGGCGGAGCCCTTTTGTCGGATCTGCACCAAACTTCACACAAACCATCCTTGAATAATGCTTAATATTGCCTGAAAGTTTAATTACAATCTGTTTAGCGGTTTCCGAGTCCATAACGTTGTTATTTGTTAAAACAAATTTGTTATTTGTTATATACGTGGTGCATTATAAGAAGATTTAAGTGATTTTGAAGGGCTGGTTGATGATCCTGAAGAAGTAGGTAGTGATATTGATGTAAATTATCAGCCAGATTCCTAGCTATGGTTAGGCTATGCATTCTTAGCTAAACAAAACGCTATGTACCGAAATCTGTTTTTTGCCCATAACTTATTATTTATTTGCAAATCTACTTCCTTATATTATTATATTTTTGGAATCCTCATAAAATTTAGAACAAAGTGGCTATTTTCAAATATTTATATGCCTATAATTTATACAATTTCATTGAGCGCAAACTTATTTTTTATTTTTTTTTATTTTCCAAAATATTTTTTTTTACCTAAAAAATTTTTTGGAAACAAATGTTCCTTATGTTTTATGTATAATATTGAAGCCCATGATTTTCCAATCAAAATGACCATGCTATTGTTAACTTCGGTGTCCTAAAATTCCTCCTCTTTGTGATCAGCACTGGTTCTGTTTTGTGTAGGGTCAATTTGAAACCTTTATCTTCTATCATTTTACCCTGTAGTCATAATTACTTCACTAGGCACAGTTCTAGCTGGGTCTCATTTGCCGCTACCACAATCTGGATTGCATCATCTACAAAGCCAATAATCCTGGCCCCGCACTCCATTTCCAGGAAGGCATCATATACCAGGTTCCAGAATAGGGAACCAAAGTTTTGTCAAATTGTAATACTGATAGGCGGATGCGTCCAACAATTTTTGTTAGATGTTTTTGTTTTCATGAAGTGTATATCATGATTCTTCACAACTCCAGGGATGAAGAGGATTTTTTAAACTATTTGGTCGGCTTGAAAACTAATCTTTTTGTTTCTAGACAATAAAACAGATCATTTACAGTACAAGAGGTATTTAATATTTTTTCGTAAAAATATAATTGTGCACATTAGGCCTTAGTTTTAATTAAAAGTGTTATATAATCTTTAACATGTGCTTAAGTTGCGTGATTATCTTATTCTCATAATTTATATGCTGAATGAACAGCCTACATTTTAAACTGTAATTTTGATTATCTGTGGTGACCCCCCCCCCCTTTATTTTGCTTAAAAGACTGTACTGTTACTGTAGTATCAAACTGTTAATTGAAATAATTAAATGCATATATAAATTTTTCAGTATGTGACGTTTACTTGTGGATTGCTGCGAGGTGCATTAGCCAACTTGGGGATTGTGTCACTGGTCACCGCCGAGGTCCAGCCCATGCCAGCTGTTAAGTTCCACATCGAGGTCAAAAGGTCATGACAGCTCCACAGGGGAAAAACCCATAAAACATAAGTTTTGTTGTAATATACTTCATCAAATGAACTGGTTCTTGCAAAACTATTGTTTAATTAGTTCTAAGTCAGACTCTATTTATTGTAGACTCTGCTTGAGTTTCTCACTACTAATTCAGTCCGATATAAATTTCAAAATAAAACACCTTAACTAAACACATAGCCATAGGCCTGATTATACATCAATGTTTACACAAGTTCACTTAAATATCAAGTACTATTTAAAAACCATTCATCACTACTTTGTATATGCGGTAACTGTTTTTTTATATCTATTTTTTTGTTGGATTTGATTTGAGGTGTATCAAACTTTTGATTACAACGTTTGTGACTCCATAATTATTTAGTGTTTTATGTTTGTATATAAAAGATTATAATATGATTGTACAATGTACATGTATTATTTATGACCCTAATCAGTGGCGGATTATCCATTAGGCACCATAGAAAACTGCCTAGGACCGCAGGCCTCAGGGGACCGCAGACAGAAAAGTGAAAAAAAAATCCTCAAGGTCATATTGTGTTTATTTAGAATTAGTTTTTACTGATCAGCGCATACCATATAGGCATACTTAAAGCATGAAACACAACAGTGTAACTCAGGGTGTCCACATTCTGGAAAGTCAGGGATAGTCATGGAAAGTCATGGAAATCCCCAATGATAGATGGATTTTAGGGGACCTTTCAATGCACTAGACGGCCGTAACCCCGACCATTGTAGAATTTTTTAGGATTTTTCACAAATGTTCGACAATTCAATTTATACAGTAGTATTAGCTTATCAGTCTTGAGTTTGTATTAGTTCATTGTTGTACCTATTGTACTCCATTGTTATCTATTAATACATATTTAAGTATTTTCTGTAAAATAACTTGTCTAGGCAGTATTATTGTGTGTGTATCAGGGCCGCGTTAAGGGTGAGTAGAGCTCAGGGCAAACTCAAAAGCAGCGCCCCCCTTTTTTCCTAGTGCGGGTGGGCAGTTGTTGTATGGTGCCCACCAGGTTTAGTTAATAACTCAATTCATTAACAAATATTGTTTTAGGCTAAGTTGTTAGCTATAAAATTGTTGTAAAAATAGTTTGAAAAAGCTTAAAAACTAACAAATTAAAGCCAGTTTCTTAAAATTTCCCGGTGGAAAACCCCCCCATCCATCGGAGGGGCTATTCCACACCCCCCGAAAGATCCTGCCACCCCAGTTAAAAGTCTGTCTGAAATGACGCCCATAGGGGGGGGGGGGGGCAAGTTTACATGTGCCTAGGCCCGCTGAGATCATAATCCGCCACTGGCCCTAATAAGCTGCTATTTTTATTCACCTAATTGTCTAGTAAACATCTGCTAGGTAAACAAGGAAATACATTTTTTCAGATTTTAATGAAAACTGACTGCATAATAGGTTCAATCTTCATTGTTCAAATTTTTATGATAGTGACGTAGTTAGGCATTTAAAAATATAAATCACTGGCAGTCATGCCCGTGCTTCGCAACGGGAAGAGAACGCTAAAGAGAATAATTATATTATTATATTCCATAGATTTGCTGTGTTGTTAAGTTATGTAGCTTTTTGTATTGTTGTCAAGCTGGAGGAGGCATTTTTAGAAGAGTTTTATCAAAGAGAGCTCACAAATTGGTTTAGAGAAAGTGGTCCAAACCCATATGTTTAGTGGATGTGCCGAGAATTTAACCCGTCCCTCCCGCACCAGTCTGAGACTCTTTTGTAACCGCTAGGTCTTATTTATAACAATCAAAGAGTTACAATTGTAATGATTCGAACTTCAACTAATCAGCTGTTCAGGACAATTTAATTGTTGAGTGGTGCAATGTTTCTTTGCATCACTGTCAGTGGCAATATGAGGTTATAAACAAAAAAATAACCTCTCTTAGAAGTTATGAGTACGTAGAAGTTTTTAAGACACTCGCCAATGCTCTTACCTTCAATTTTCTACTTGTGTTGTTAACACTAACTTTACGCAATCGTTGCGTAAACTACTATTATTACATATTATAGTTATATTGATTCTGTTAATTATACTTCAGTATATGCAATTTTTATATGACTGTAGACAATGCCCTACTACCTTAAGAGTTCAACAATAATACAAAAATATGAAATCAATTATATTAATCAAGTTGAATTCAATAAATGACAGAACAAGTTTCTACGTCTTTTATTTTATTAAATAAACAAAATTAGTTATGATGCTGTGCATGCTGTTCTTCACAAAGAAATCCTTTTCTTACTGTTGCCTTGTTGGAGATATTGCAAACAAATAAGTAACTATTTTATTCAAAACCTGAAACATTCAATTTATAATTTGTAGAAACTATGGAGCAGACTATGGAGGTTTGGTATTTGTATCCATGTCATGAGCTATACGCTATACTACAGTACGGGCCACGAAAGTCTGCAGTTGGCGGCAGTCAATACCAAGACGTAGTGCGACGTTGCAACATTGTCCCTTGACTACCACTCGACCGCCATCACAGGCCGCGGTGACACTAATAAAAAAATATACTAAACAATATTTTTAAATCAGCTTGTATAAATGTCCACCAATTTCAGAGCAAACATTTATGTACATTAACATAAAAAATGCAATAATAATGCAAACATTTATTAATCAACTATTAGATTTGGCAACAATACAAATATTATTTAAATATTATTTTTTTTATTATTTTTTGGTTTTCTTATTGGCTCCTTCAAAGTAACATAGTAAATAAGCTCCTCCCTCAACTGCAGACTCTCGTGGCCCACACTTGATTCCTGAACAGATTAATCAAGTTGATAGTTAATGCCTCACAACTTTTTTTTTTAGTCCTGCTAATCCAAAAAGATGGAGCTATTTGTAGGAAGGAAGCTAAAGGATGCTATTTGTATGGATCCTTTTGGTTCCAAGAGAAACTAATAAAACACATTTTTTAACTAGGAGGAAGAATAATAGGTTTTAGAGTTATGTCTTGATTTTAATTTTAAAGAAAATAAACTTATAATCTTTCAATTTTGCTTACTAACGAAAATGCATAGTACAGTCTTACCTAAAGTACCTAGAATTTAGTATTATTTACAGCATCTTACATTATGTGAAAAGCAAACCTATCAAAAGTCAGTAGGTGGAATTCCGCTGCTACAACTGATGTACAACTTGTTATACTGATTTTAACATTTTATAACAGAATTTAGACCTAACGTAACATTACAGAGCACTGAGGGCAGATCAAGTAGGAGCAGAGTAGATTATTGATTTCCTTGACTCTTGACACATCAGAAGGCTATTATGGCTCATTAAAGTCATGTATAACAAATAATATTGACAAAACATCGGATAAAAAACTGCCTAAATCTGAAATTTGCAAATATGAAGAAGGTTTGGTTTTTGTCAATTAGTGGGACTCTACTGTACTTATATGGTTCTCAAACTTGTCTCGCTAACCAGTAAATGACAGGCTAGAATGATTGTTGTTTTGTGTTTGAAATAAAATCATCAAATAAATGAGCTATACATCTCATTGCTTACTATTATTATCAAACTGACGTCAAAGTTGATGCTTCCAAATGCAGAGAAATGCATGTTCCTCTCGTTTATTCTTGTTTCAAATAAACAAACCTGAAAAGAACAATTTTATTTTTCTTTTAATTTGTATGTTTAAATTATACTAAACATGAATCTATGCTCTAAATGTAATCCTGTTTATATTTCTTTTTGTGACAGGACTATATAGAGGGGCGGCTTCAGAACAGATTCTAGGAGAGAGCCATACCTAGAATCTTGAGTTCCACTTAACCCCCCCCCCCCCCACCATTTATATTTCAATAACATGATGGTATGTGTACATTGCAGGCTTAAGTATGAGTACCAGGGGACCGAGCACTGCTAGAGGTGTTTGATTTGTTTAAGAGGTTTAAAAAATAAAACCTATAAGCCTACAAATATTTTCAGTTTTGCCACGATTAATTAAGTTAAGCAAAGTTAATTCGTTTTAGGTAAACATTCACTCATTCTTAATTTACCTAAAAAGTTTTTTTATGTGGACGAGCAATCTATATTGAAAATTTCTACAATGAACTTCAATGCTTAAGCTCATGATACATAACATCCGTTGACTGTTATTGCGTTAGTCACTGGGTATCGCGGAACATCGCATCACTTCTGTCTACGCATAGTCGACAACTAATAAACGGCCTTGGCATTTCCTCTAGACTTTTAGTTCAATATTAGTGTATGATGTTTTGCGGTAAAAGACTTTACGTTTTTAAACAGTCGTAATTATCCATTTGGTTAGTAATACATCATACATCCCAAATTTATATATAGATATATATATGTATGTATGTATAATTAATGCTCAATAGCATTCATAGGAATGTTCTTTTCCTTTGTTCTGTATTTTGTAATTTGCTACTATACAGTAGATGATTTGTTACAAGCATAATATGTTACAATTCATTTGTTTACATTTTTGTAAAACTGCCATAGCTATTTGGCAGCCCAAAAGACTAAAATGTTATAGCTACTTACATTACAAGTGTAGTAAGAGCGTTTTTACATCACGCAGGTGAAAGTTGTGCAACGAGCGAAGCGAGTTGCATAATTTACCTAAGTGATGTAAACACGCTCTTGCGTAACGTGTAACGTACAAGATTTTACCTGACCCGGCAATATACAGGAGGTTACGAACAATATTTTTCATTACCCATTTCACTCATCTTATAACAGTAAGATTCATTTACAAACAAAAGCTAGGTTAGGGAAATTCTCCAAAACATAACAATAACAATAAAATTCAAGCACACAGCTGATTTCTAGCGTTAAACGTCGTTGGCTCCATAGAGTTATATTTTGTAAGTTATCCACTCAATGTTATTTAAATGGGTTTCATTACATCACCGAGTGAGTTTTTTGATACTTTACATCACTCGAGTAGTAAGGAAGTTGTATACATCACGCTTAGGATAGGGAAGTTTAACATGGCGGGTTAGGTAAAAAATATTAAAATTTCATTTTAAGTTAAAAAAAGACAAATAATCTCAGAACCTAGTATGGATATTGTTTTTAGCCTAAAACTAAGATATTTCTAACAATTTGGAGGAAATCATTAGGAGCCGTTTTTGAAATCATTGTGTGGAAACGTTACTCGTATTATAGTATAATAATTGCTCATATTAGGATATATAAAGTTAATAACAAAGTTATAATTAGCTATGTGTCACCACATTTTGAAGGTCGTTTCGTTATCAGTAACGGATCCTATACAAAACCAGTTCTTGGTACTGGTAACCTCGCCACCGATAACGAAATAGTAAAGCTACTCGTTTTTAAACACAGAGGCTGTCTTTAGTCTTGTGTCAGATTAGGTAGTCATGCCCGAGTTCTTAACTAAAATACTGAATTTTAAACACCAGGTCAACTAGAAGTACCGGTAGTCAATGTAGTAATTTATTGCCAAAATATGGTACTGGTTTATCTAAATATTTAATTCCGTAAGCGAATCGGTCCCCAGGAAATATTTCGAGTTAGGAAAAAAGTAGCATGTCTGTTGACTATTCATTTTAAAGCTTAAGGTCCCAGGATGGTGGGAAAAATATCAGAAGTGTCAAAAATTACCCCTGCTCTGCCCCACAGGCCGTCAAAGATTCAGTCATTTTCTATATAATTGAAGTACTGCTACAGTGTTTCTATGAACCGTTTTAAATATACCAGCTTATGTAAACAGAGCGTAGTTCTTGGTTTATTGATTTTAGTGTTCTGTTTTTAGGCTAGAATGGAAATGCAGTGTTGAATTGTATTGTGTTAGGGGAAATACTTTAAATACTTTTTATTGAAATGGTCACCATACAAAGTAGGTATTTTAAGCCAAGTATGAATGGAGATGAGTGTAGGATGAGTGGCGCGATCTGGTAGTCTTGTTAGTGACTTAGGTCGACATATTCCTTAGACACAGCTCTTAATTAATAGCCCACACAGCTAATGGCAACTAAGGGACCTACAATTTATAGTGGAATCCGAACCACGTTTTTGCCTTGGTATTAACAAATTGGTCTAATTATCAGGATAGTACTGCGGATAGTCGTAGTACTTACTAGTGTGGACGTTAATCCACACCAGGGAGTATCGTATCTACAGTGCATGCCTATAAATATCCACAATTCGTGACCTCCTAGTAGCTGGATTACAGGACCGCCACAGTCCAGTCAGGAAGACTGTGACTGAAGTAGAGTATTTAGGAATGGTGCACTACAGCATAGGGAATGGTTAAGGACAGGGCGGAAAAATAATATTGTTTAGTGGAGATTTTAAGCAGATACCGGTACTGGTACTGCCTGTTGTTCCAAGCAAAAAAAGGTTCAAATAGTATAACATAGCATACACAGTATATTATATATAAATGGAGCATACATAACATTAAAATCTGGAGGTGGTTTCTGTTTCTTTATGTTTCTTAAACTAACTAAAATATGCATGTCAATATTATATATAAATGGAGCATACATAACATTAAAATCTGGAGGTGGTTTCTGTTTCTTTATGTTTCTTAAACTAACTAAAATATGCATGTCAATGCCTGTGAAAAGGAATTTTGTGATTTGCTTTGAAAACTGGGAAACCGAACCCTAACCAGTGTCAGAGTATTTAGTAATCAATCGACGATTTGTTTTTTAACAGTATGTAAGTAACAGTAAACAGTATTCACTCACAAACAATTATAAAACTCTGGAAGGAATTAAATTATTTATTGAAAATTTATAACAAACACCAAGGCGAACAGAGAGAAGGTGTTCACTCAAAGGATATGGTGTACAGGGTGGTGCACACACACACACACCATATACAGGATATGGTGCATCTATCCTGAGATATTGATAAATTCATTCTTAGTTTGTTTATATATTACAATATTATTTACATTTGAGAATTTTTGGGACTTTAGTTCCTACAAGCCACTAGTTAAATTTAAATTTTAATTTTTATGAATTAGATCTGCGCAGTAGTATACATTCTCATAATACTAGACATAAGAACGATTTAAACTTAACCCAACATAGGCTTAGTTTTTTTAATTAAAAAGCTACTAATTTTGGCTCTAAATGTTTAAATCATTTACCTGAAAATTTAAAAAGCAAAATTAATAACCAAAACTTTAAGAATCTGGTTAAAAATTATTTGTTAAAAAAAATCTGTTATTCAAAGGAAGAATTTTTTGATTCTAGTTGATTATTTGAGATATTCAGAGCTATATATGTAAATGTATATACTTCATGTAATTTAACTTAGCATATACAAATTTTTAAGTATTGTTATTTTTTCAGTAAGTTAAATCTAGTAAGTTATAATTATTTTACTTTACTGTGACACTATTTATGTATGTATATACAAGATAAATAAAGAAATTTGACTATGACTATGGGTCAGTCTCAAGGCTTAATACTGTATGTGTACTACAAACCATATTTAATATCTTCATATCCAAATTTCCTTTGGTCTGAAGTTCATCAAGACTCCATTTCAGTGTTTTTACCTGTAAAATTAGTTCCATGGATTGATTCTGAGTAATAATTCAGGCAAATCATACAGTTTGAGCTAAAATTATTTGAATAACACCTATATATTAGTCTAAATATCTTTTCAAAGAACCACAATAGAGTTATTTAGGCTGTACAGAAAGTAAGTTACGTTTTGGAACAAAGTAAGAAGTTTGTTTAAGAAAAAAGTACTGCATACATGAAAGAGCAACTCAAATACAGTACCTACTATTTTTTCGATATAGTCCCTAAAAAAAAAAAACTGAGGGTCTTATATCATAGTGGTGTTATTCTGAGCAAGGTCTGGATGGTGATTTGAGGGTAAATATTTCATGAATGAATAAAGGAGATCTTGTCTGCGATTTGTCAAATTCAGTCTGACATTAACATGTAAAAACAAAAATTTGGAGGTCACTAGTTTGGCCATTTTAAAGTCAAATGCACTATTTCTGGGCAAAACATAAAAATTTTTTACATTGTTTTATTTGTTACTTTACACTACACACTTAACTGTAAATTTCTATGGATTTGAAGTTGTTGGATTTGTTGATTTTACGTAAGTTAATGTGTAATGTACTACTGTATTACATGCAGAAAAAATATATGTACTAGTATGCCCGAGGGGGGAGGCGGTCGCCCCCTTCGCCCCCCCTCTGGATCTGCCACTGAATAGAGCAGACATGTGGTTCCAAAAAGAGGGAGCTACAGCGCTCACAGCTAATGATTGAATGGCAGTTGCACGAAGGATGTTTCCTGGAAATTTGATTTCACGTTTCGGCAATATCCACTGGCCTGCACGCACCCCACATCTCTCGTGTGTGATTTTTCCCACTTGAAAAGTAAAGTTTATATCAATAAACCCCAAATGCTAGGAGACCTGAAAGCTGCAATACAGGAAAAAATTACAGCTATTTCCAGCGAGACATTGTCAAAAGTAATTGAAGACTTTGAAGAAAGACTTTTGATGTGTATGAACGCAGAAGGATCTATCTGAAATAATCTTCAAAAAGTGATCAGTTCATACAAACAGTGCATATAGTTATAAAGTCATAAATTGGATGATATAAACATTGTATTGATGTGAGCCCATTCTGTATCTTATCAAAATAAAACTAATTATACTGGTTTGAAATTAATGCTTTCTTTTTGCACCACAGAGTGTTCATTATGTGAGTATAACTCAACAGAACTCGTTGATAGTCACTATTATGTACTGCATTTCAGAATTCAACTTTAGAATCATAACGCTTGAGCTACAATAAGCAAACTACTGTATTGCTTCTTTTTTTTCAAATGGCACAAATTTAGTTAGTAACCATTTGAGTTACAAAGAAATTTTTTAACAGTTAACCATGTTTTTTCTGACTCATGATACAGTTATTTATCAACTAAATGGACACTTAATTAAGTTTTTTTACAAATAAATATATTATTTGAAATAATAAGAACAACAAAGTACTGATTTAAGTCCCTGAATATTACTATTTTAAAACGTTTTTATTAGCTCGCTTTCTTGTCCGGTACAAATTTTGCAACCGATTTTATACTAAGTTCCCGATGAGCCAGAGACTTGAAACTTGAAACATAGCTCACAAATGGATGACAGTGCAATATTATATAATTTAATTGTCATATTTCCCTTGGGCTACGCCCCATGGGCTTGTTTTTATTAACTCGCTTTCTTGCAAATTTGGATACTTCCCGTTGAGCTAGAGACTTGAAACTTGAAACATAGCCCAAAAATGGATGACAATGCAATATTGTATCATTTAACTTTCATATTTCCCTTGGGCTACGCCCCATGGGCTTGTTTTTATTGGCTCGCTAGTCGCTTTCCTACAAATTTTGATATCAATCTTAAACGAAGTTCCCGATGAGCTAGAGACTTGAAATTTGAAACATAGCTCACAAATGGATGACAATGCAATATTATATCATTTAATTTTCATATTTCCCACGGGATACGCCCCATGGGCTCCACATTTTCCATGTTTACATTTTGAAAGAATGTAAACATATCAATTAATTTAAGTCAGCTGTAAATAAAGGGTGTCCCAATAAGAACGCCGGATTTGAAATGTTAACAAACCATATATTTTCTCGCTAAATTTACAATATGAAACACGAATCTTAAAGCATAATATCTCCATAATAATATCTTAAGCATAATATCTTAAGCATAATATCTTAAGTATAATAGTAATTGAGTATTATGTCTTGTAAGTGCCAACCTGCTGAATACTGACAAGCTCGACATCTCTTGACAAAGTTTTCCATCACTTTTTCACACACTTCCTGTTGAATTCCATTAATGGCACGAATCATTTCCTCCTTCAAGTCTTCGATTGTTTGAGGGTTATTGGCGAAAACAAGCGACTTTAAATATCCCCAGTCAACTGAGCCAATTTATTCGAACTTATAAACCAATCTTCGGACAGATGGATCATTTTTGGTGCATTGTCCCGGCCGTAAATAGTGCGCAGCTTCCGTACTTGTAGTGCACTTTAACTATGACCACGCGTTGTTACGTCGTGTAGCGATTCATGACTACAAATGGGACCTAATACGGGTAACATCGCTGATAATTTGGGAATTCCTATTGAAATACAGATAAGGATAAGACGCTCCTCAAATCCGGCGTTCTTACTGGGACACCCTTTACTTAAATTTGACAGTTCGAAGAGCAGAGGTTAAGAGGTACAGGTTCTGCTCCAGATATATTCTAAAATAATATAAAACAAGCATTTTAAACTAAAGATAAAACATATGATTATAGTCCAGGAAATTTAGGGATAAAACTGCCATTCGACCTAACAAATTCGGACTAAGTGGAAAATTTGCACAGTTGTTTAGTAAGCCTAAATAAATAAAATATCAAAAGTCCCCATAAATCCCGGCTGTGCTTCAGCCGCCATCTTGGAAAATGGCGGCCAATTTTCACTTTTTTTACAATATTTCACAAACTATTGGTATTAGAGAATTTTTGTCAATGCAAAAGTTAAAGAACGTCTAAAAATACATATTTTTTATATTACAAGGTTTGCTCTATCTCTAATGGTTATTGAGATAAATAATAAAAATAGTATTAAATTTCAAATTCCCATGTTATTCTTATAGAGGAAAATAAAATTGTTGCAGTTTGCTTATTTATGGAAATATTTGGATCAAACTTGGCAAATTTATTTATTTTATACTAAGCTATTAATATTTAACATAAATACACACTTTAGTACCCTCCCTATAGCAGTAAACCTAGTACACGTTAAATTTAAAGTTACCGTATTTAAATAGGGAAGATATATTACATTTTTAGGATAAATTTTTCGTATAAATCCAGACAGGTAAATGGATATTCATTTGTAAATCGTATTAACAATCATTTTTTCTTATTAGTATTATGATTTAAAGCTCACTAACTAACTATCTTGTCACTACTATGTAACTACTCAAAACTTACACGGTACGTTATTACTCCCGGTATAATTATTTTGTCGGTAAATATTAGGAAATTCAACCTTAAAACCCGGTCTAAATGCAGCTGAGCACAGCCGGAATTTGTGGGGACTTTTGCCATTTTCATCAACTAGGCTAACTGTGCAAAATTTCAATTTAGTCCGGATTTTAAGGTTCAATTTACTAATATTTACCGACTATACCGGGAGTAATAACGTACCATGTAAGTTTTGAGTAGTTACATAGTAGTCACAAGATAGTACATGGGCTTTAAATCATAATACTAATAAGATAAAATAATTGTTAATATGGTTAACAAATGAATATCCATTTGCTTGACTGGAATTTTACTAAAAAATATATCCTAAAAATGTAATATATCTTCCCTATTTAAATACGGTAACTTTAAATTTAACGTGTACTAGGTTTACTGCTATGAGGAGAGTAATAAAGCGTGCATTTAAGTTAAATATCATTAGCTTAGTGTAAAATAAATAAATTTGCCACGTTTGATGAAAATATATCCATAAATAAGCAAACTGCAACAATTTTATTTTCCCCCATAAGAATAACATGGGAATTTAAAATTTAATACTGACTTCTATTATTTATCTCAATAACCGTTAGAGATAGAGCAAACCTTGTAATATAAAAAATATGTATTTTTAGACGTTCTATAACTTTTGTATTTACAACAATTCTCTAATACCAATTGTTTGTGAAATATTGTCAAAAAAGTGAAAATTGGCTGCCATTTTCCAAGATGGCAGCTGAAGCACGGCCGGGATTTATGGGGACTTTTGATATTTTTTTTATTTAGGCTTACTAAACAACTGTGCAAAGTTTTCACTTAGTCCGAATTTGTTAGTTCGATTTTCCTAATATTCTTCCACTATTAGAGATAATAAGGTTTTGGTTTGTTGTATTAATAGTCAAAGGTTATATATTAACAGGCCATATAAAATATATTTAACATACTTACACATTAAAGACTAAAAAGTTGAAAATAATTTATAAATAAAAAACTTTTTTAAAACAAAAGGTTTTTAAACACACTAAAAAGTAGAAAATAATTTATAAATATGTTGAGAGTATAAATACTTGTAAGATTTAAAACGAAAAACGTTGGGTGCATGCAATTAATTGATAATAATACATTAGGCCTAGTTCAATAGGTGAAGGTAATTGTAAATTATCTATTGCATGGACCCCACGTTTTTCGTTTTAAATCTTACAAGTATTTATACTCTCAACATATTTATAAATTATTTTCTACTTTTTAGTGTGTTTAAAAACGTTTTGTTTTAAAAAAGTTTTTTATTTATAAATTGTTTTATATTTACATTGCTCTAACCTGATTGCTTAGTTGATGGCTACGGTAACACACGCATGCCATGATGTATAAAGGGTAGTTCCAAGTAACAAAACTAGACAGTAGGCGTAAAAATTGCAAGCCATTGACATCTGAGGGATCTGCCAAGACATCTGATAACGCTGCATTAGAGTAAATTACATCTACAGATATCGTTACTATAGACATAGTCAAATACGGGATCCCACAACTCTTGGATATAAGGTGGATAAATGATTCTATCTCTAAATATTTGGTCATCAGCAATCCCAGACTGGCCACAGAAGGCTTTCTTGATCTGAGCCTGATTTGTTGATCAATGGAAAAACAGAATTTTTCTGCACTAAGAATCCAAGTGTAAATCAATCCATTGGTAAAAAGCATTCCAAAACTTTGAAAAATATCTAGAAAAGTTAAGAACGGTGACAATGTCATTTGTTTGAAATTGAAGAATATTTTAGAAGGTAAGAAAACCATCATGGGAAAATAAGGTGTATAACATTCAATGGAATTTAAAAATAGTTGTTGATGATCGAGAATCAGATGAGAAAATTTGTTCAAAATTAGATGAACTGACATTCTTGCCATCACAAGCCAAAATATAAAGTACATCTGAATGCTAAGTACAAAGACCATAACAATTGAAACCATATGCCGATCACAAGAATAAAACTTTCTACCAGTTTGGATGGACACAAGAGTGCAAAATAGCCATAGCAAGTAACTATAGATCAGCAGGACCCAGCTTGTCGTGAAGGCGCTGTCTGAAATCAAAACAACTATTTAAAAAGAGCCAAGTTTCAAACAAAAGTTTACAACATTCCAAAAAATGCTAGTCGAGTATAATGTTTTCACAGTTTTTCAGTGTTTACAACAGAAATTTTGTTTTTTAAAAGAATTTGTAAAGATATGTTTATACAGTATTTCTTTTAGGCCACTGAAATAAAAACACATCACAATAAAATGTTTAATTTTGTTAACAAAAATCCTGTTGTCAAAAAATGATGTAAACAATTTGTTGTAATAATCTGGTGTAAATCAATGCAGCTTTCAGCAACGTTCACAAAACGTGTTTTGAACAAAAGTTTCCAACGATCTACTAAATGTTTTCAGTACTTAAATACATCCAGATTTAGTTCTGTTCAAGCCTTCAGTGATAAAACAGTAAACGTTTAAACTATTCATTATTTTGTCATTGGCCACCAGATCTGTTAAATATTGAAATGTTATTAAGACATACCAGATTTTCTGTGTCAGCTCTGACTAGTCGTTTGTGGTGGATGACCGGTGTTTTAGATTTTTTAAAGCCACAATAATCATATTCATCAGGAATTAAGTGAAGGAGTGTCTCGGACTTCGGTGCAGGAGGGACAGCTTCAATTCCCAGCACACCCCCAAAAACTTTATTTCTCCCATTACCTTATCTTGTGAGATGCCACTGGTGTGTAAGAAAAAAGACGATTTATTCATCTCTCAGTGTCGTCAAATAGTTCAAACATTTAGAACATGAACCAACACAATAGGAAAACACAATAGACCACATAACTACAACTAAGCCATCAACAGGAACATTCTGATCATTGCGAAACATTTGACCCGTTGATAGTTGTTGTGTTTTGTATTGTGTTTGTTCATGTTCTAAATGGATTAACTGATTGACAACATCGAGAGACGTATAAATCTTAAACTCTGATGGATGTGATTAGGTATAGCTTAAAAAACTGAAACCTGGGTCATCCACTACAAAGAGAGTCAGAGATGAAATGGAAAATCTAATATACATGCTTAAAACATATCATATTTTCCTTAAGTTATCTATAAGTATAAAAAAGGATGTTTGTATATATATTTGGCAGTAATAAACTCAGACACCGCTGAACCGATTGCCACGAAACTTTGGTACATACGTGTAGAATTTCATGGAATAGGTTTATACACCATCAATTTTGTGATCCGTCCAATCGGCTCCGCCCCAGTGGCTCTGGAGTTTCCCATGTTAACCTTATGAGAAATGGAATTAATGAATCTTAACAGCTGTTTCAATTAAACAAGTTGGTTCCTAAAGGTGAGTGAGCGTAGCGAACGAACTTCAACCAGGACGTGATTGAGCCGAATAGAAAGACCAAAAATATTGTCTACCCAACTAGCATTAATATAAGAGCAATAATAAAGAATCGGTTATCCTTTGTACTATATGTGTTTCATTAGTTGTCGTACGTATTTTAATTTAGTTATAAGCACTTCATATACAATAAGACAATTAAACGTTACGGTACTTAAATTATAAATAGTCAAAGGCAAGACAACGTCTGCCGGGTTCAGCTAGTTAGCTTATAAATAAGTTATCAGTGAATGAATAGACAATCAATAATAAAAGGTAACCTAAAATTTTAAGCTCATAGATGTTTACTCAGCTTTGAACAACACTTAACTCTTGAGAAAGCTGTTAAAGTACAATAGAGAAGACATTCAATTGTTTTGTACAACCAACCTTTTTTATTTAATTTCAATGGACTGAACTTTATAGGTAAAAACCCCATAAAGGTGCCAACTCTGAAGAAAAACAAACAAGTGAGAAATAATATTTTCCTGCCACTAAAAATTATCATCTAAACAGTTCAAAAGTTGATTTGAAGAAACTACCGTACTTGTAAGGCTAACAAGAATAACTCCTATGAATGTTATGACAGCTATAAACTAAGATAATGAAAGTTGAATTGTTTGCCCGAAGAACATCACTGATAAACAATTCATTTGATTACATAAAAAGCAATCCATTAGGTTGTATAGTAATGTTCCATACCTGGGTTGATAAGTAATTCCTGTAAGGACAGTCAAGGAAAGTAGAAGCTTTGGCTAAAGATATACCTACACTGCCATGAAGTAGTCATTCAATTTAAATATTAAAGTTGTTACCATTAGTTCTGTAAAGCCATCAACAGAGTGGGTTGTACAATACAGTTACTGTATCTTTCCTATACAGGGAATATTAAATCAAACTGAATATATTCAACTGTATTCTTTTTTTAACAAAAAAACTGCCACACCTGGTCCATATAGATTAATTATTGTCTAGTTCAGTAGAGCTGGTCTAGTGGTTAGAGCGCGGGACTTCGGTTCCCTAGATCCCGGGTTCAAATCCCACTGATTACCAATGGATTTTATCTAAGTAATAATGCCGCAACCCCTAGGTCTAGCCTGAAGTAATGTGAAAAACAATCCCGGGCTCGTGCCTAGCATCCTTGGACAAAAAAAAGTACCAAAGTGAATGTTAGAAGAAACAATGTCCGAGTTTAGTGTGGTATACTAACTAAATTAATACTAAAATAGTCTTTCTACAATATATTTAAAAGATAAACTGTTAAGTTTTGCTCCAAAGATAGTTTTATACGGTTCCCTTCCTTATAAAAAGGGTTATTCTTGTCATAGTAGCCAAAAACACAGACAACGTTTCAGACAATGATTCCGAGGACAATGGTAGAGTAAACACACTGATCAGCAAGCACAATGTCTTCAAGTCATGACATATGTCTTGTTCTCGCTTGAAAATTACTATCACTGGCTGCCAGTCTCATTGTGTATATACGACATTCTGTAAACACCCCAAGACACTCATACTCATGTTCTACGTCTATTCACATTTCTGCTTTCACATCCTGTCAATGGACAACGCCTTTCAATCCCGAGTTGACCCCCATCCCACAGATGAATGACAGAATTTGATTTGTACTAACAGGAGTGACTGATTTACTTCACAGTTTTCAGCTACTATTACAAGACTACAGTAGACTCCCTCTTATCCAGACTCCTCAAGACTGAGGCCAGCCCGGATAACGGTTTTTCTGGTTAAACCGATGTCCCCAAAATCTCATTAAAATGGACCGTTTAAATGCATACTCAATACAGTATTTGACTTCAAATTAGGAGAGCATTGTATTTAGACACGTAATCACTGGTCTCAAATGTTTCCCACGAGAACAGTCGTTTCAGTATCGCCCACTTCCTGCCAATCTAGTCCAGTTAAACCGATGTGCTGATAAAAATTATCCGGATAAAGAGATGTCACTTCTACCGAGTGTGGTCTGGTTAAACCAATGTCCGGTTAAAAGGTGTCCGGATAAGAGGGAGTCTACTGTACTCGTCATATAGGGGTGGGAACCGGTTTTTCACCAGGTAATTCATGTGTTTTATCCGGCTATCTTTACAGACTGCTATCTAACACGTAGACCTACTTGGCTATGTAACAAGTTGGCTATAGTAGGCCTATTCTTACAAGCACTTAACAGATATATTCCCATTAATTGAACTTGGTATTCATCTTAATCCAATAGAATAGTCTTGCCTAGGAATAGTCCTTGACAAGAGCTGTTAGCAAGAGCAAACTATTCTAATTTTTCAATGTAAGATTCATGTTATATGGAGATTTTTTTGTTACAATTATCATGTAGTCTAGGCATATCATAAATTTCATCAGGTAATTTCCTCTTCATTAATTTAGTAAACCTTTGAAAAATCTTCGTAATCCAACTAACGAAGGGCTTGTGATGATGAACCACAATCAACAGCTGAAGCTAAGGTTGATAGACCAGCTTTCTCATTATTTTAAGGATTAGTCTTGGTTTCCATTAAAACCCAAGTTGAAACTATCGATAAAATAAAGAAACTAAATTCATTACTAATTCCCCTGTCAATCACTTGCAAGCATTCAATAGCCTCTCTTGTCACCGGTAACGTTTAATTAAACGTCGTCTGCATCTAGGGATTTTATTTTGTCTGACAGTAATCATAGAGTAGCAAATGAAGGAATTGAGAGCCAAAAATGTGGATAACACTCAAATAATGGTCTCCATGTCCACACAACGTTGTAATAGGTAATGAAACTGCTGTGACCAGCTGTATGAAGCCAAGAGTGTAGTTTGGCCTAATTTTCTTGAAAATTTCATTTTGAAAGAGGTTGTTTCACGTACGGTTTTGATATAAATCACTATCTCAATCAATGTTAATGTAGTGAGAAAAGTAGCTAAAATTCCGCTACAACTACCTACTTAAAAATGTAGCTAGCTACAGCTAAAGCTACAAAATCTTAAAAAGTAGCGTGCTACTGTAGCGACACTAGCTGCTTCCCAACACTGGTCTTGTCTTAGGTAATCTTCCGTATAGTAGTACATAATAATTCACTCTGCTCATTAAAATTGCATTTGTAAACAAATGAGACACGATATATTCCTCTTAAAAATTGAGAACCTTTCTGTATCTACCTAAAATGCCTTGCTATATATAGTTCTGGAAGAAATGCATTTTTGAATAGCTCTATCAACGTGTAAATAGTATAACCCCAGTGTCTCTTAAATGGGTACACTGTACTTAAATTTGAGCATACGAAAATTTGAACAAAGCTCCTTAAGAAACAAAAAAACCTATAATATTTTCTATTCTATTATATAAAATCAACAAATTAAGAGCAATACAAATATTAAACAAATCATCAAATCTGATTTGTTATGTAGCTTTATTATTTACAATATTATTATTATTATTATTTTCGTTTGAGATGCGGACAAACCTAAGTGCCTATTTTAACCTAAATTTGAGTGAAGGATGAGTGTAAAATGGAGTGTGATGCATTGTGTAGCTTTCTTACTGACTAAGACTTTGTCATCCCTTTCAATTATATTAATTCTTCAATTATTTTAATATTAGAATAATAGTAGTTAGAAGACTATTTTAATATTAATACAAATACAATATTGATACAATTAATTGTTTTAAAAATATTAATACTTATGCATAAAGTATTACAAAAAGCAAACACATTTTTACAGATCTCAGGGTTATAATAACAGATATTTATTGTTATTTCTTATTTACAAAACTTTAATGGTCAATTTACAAAGTTAGAACTGCTCTCTGGATAGCCTTAGCTCTTTTCCTTTTTTTCTTATCCCTTTCTTTTCTCTCAATTGTGGCGTCTCTGAAGAGTTGAACTCCTTCTTTGGCCTCAACTTCTCGTTGGAGAAACAAAAGGCCATGGTAGTTTACTCCAATTAAATCCTGCAAATCAATTCTCTGTTTTATTGCAAGATTGGTTAGCAAAATGTTGGAACCTTGTTTAATAGTTATTTGTAAATCTAGTCTGGTAATAGTATATTTCATTACTAGGACCGAAAGTGGCATTTTTTGGCGCGCGCTCAAGTTTTTGTGTGAGGCAAAGCCGAACACAAGAAGCCCCAATTTCACGTGTGAGGCGAAGCCGAGGATCAAAATAAAAGAATAAAACTTTTAACAAAACAACAGCTGATTCAAATCATAAAAATAAACCGTGACAAAACACTAGCGTGCGTAGTGAGTTAATGGAGAACTAATCAAGAGGGAGGGAAAGTAAATTTAACTTTTTCAGGAGAAGTAACTTAAAATTGATCCTTTATTTAAGTTTTGCATTAATTAATATCTTCAGTGAGCTCATGTTGCAATGTAGTAAACTAGTTCAAATCTAACACTAGCACTGTAATCTTTACTTCGTCCCTAATATTCAGCTGATTGATTTTCCCTCGCCCTAAATTAGAGCTTGGGAAACGACTACCTACTTTCATTGATGTCAGCTGTTATCGAAAATAGTTACTTTCGTTACGAAGTGATGAAAATGCATAACAAAACACACATGATAATATGCGTTCATTATCAATATATTATACTGTCGATTCTTAGCAGTTATTATGGGAGATTATTGATTTTAGCGAATTTCCCATATGGGGAATAAGCTATACCTTAGGTATCATGGTAAGACCTACACCCTGGACTGATTTTGTTTTTTGTTTTAAGGTTCCCAGAGGCCAAAAACACCATGCGTTTGAGTTCATAAAAATATAATTACTAAATTTCATAACTTACAAATTTTTTTATTATTAAAATAAAAATCCATGGCAAGATAAGAATATAAAAGTGAGTTTGGAGACAGCCATACAATTCACACTACTAGCTAAAGCTGGTCCATCAGTTTTCGACAAGAAAGTGACAAAAGTTAAGGAAACCTTGTTTGTTGGTAGGCATGTGACTGTGCGAGACCTATGACAGTACTGAAGGGATGTCTTCAAGGGGAGTAACCAACCATCTTGAATATTAGGGTCGAAGTAAAGATTACAGTGCTAGTGTTAGATTTGAACTAGTTTACTACATTGCAACATGAGCTCACTGAAGATATTAATTAATGCAAAACTTAAATAAAGGATCAATTTTAAGTTACTTCTCCTGAAAAAGTTAAATTTGATTGTGTTTACAACGGAAAACAAGGATATTATTACACCTTGAATGTACTCCAGAAATCTTTAACTACAGCAGCTTAGAAAGCTTAATTATTACTGTCCCTATCATAAACAATAATTTTTGCACATTTTTGGATAAATAACTTAGGCCTATGGCTTTTTAATAATTTGTTGATGTCATAATAAATGTTGTTAGAAAGTATCATCAATCAATGCCTAATGACAACAGAGTCCTACTAAATTGATGTGTCAATTTAAAAACATCAAAATTGACTCTTTTAATGTTAATTCTTTAAAGACATGTATATTAGAGTTGAGTGATGGTTCTCACCCTGAGTTCTGCAGCCCTAGCAGCAGCTAAGAGGCCGAGCTCTGTGATAAGAGGCTGAAGAGCCGGAGTGGCAGAGATGGGTCTGTGATGCACTCTTAACAAGAAAATTAGCAAACGACACACCAAATCACTGTGTAGAGGTCTGCATAGTAGTGGCTTGAGCAGTGGCAGTAGCTCACACACAGATGTGTACGGCAACAGCAGAAGAGTCTCTTCCAGGTCACTGTAACACAACACAGAACTAACAATCCTGGAACTGAGTGGAGGTCTTTGTAGTAGTAGCTTGAGCTGCGACAGTAACTCACACACATGTACGGCAACAACATAAGAGTCAACATCGGTACCGCTCCAGCAGTAGTCTGCAGTTCAAGACTAGTCTCAGGTTATTTTAGATTGTTTTTGTTTAAATGTTTCAACATAACTTTTAAAGAAACTAAATTGATAATCAATAAGCTATAACTTGGGTGATGATGATGGCCAATGACTAATTGAATAATGAATGATTAATCCATATAGTCTGAGCCCAGCCAAATCATAATTGAACACTGACCACACCCGCCTATGCTCATTCAAGGCTCCTAAGGTATAAATTTTACCCCATCTAAAACTAAAACCATAAAATACAAACCTGGCTTTGATCCTCTTGATAACCTCCAATAAGTAGTCATCAGCAGTCTTAGCATTGAAGGCAGCCATGATAGCCGGAGCAGGGGGAGGGGGATATCCACCTTTGGCATTCTCTGTTACAGCTGATCTATACTCTCCTCCTACCTGCAGACACTCCAGCAACAGCTCTGCCTAGAAACATCACACCAACATCAGACTGTGCTACATGCCCTTCAACTGATCCATAATCTCCTCCTACCTGCAGACACTCCAGCAACAGCTCTGCCTAAAAACATCACACCAACATCAGACTGTGCTACATGCCCTTCAACTGATCCATAATCTCCCCTACCTGCAGACACTCCAGCAACAGCTCTTCTTAACAAACACTACACCAACTTCAGACTGTGCTACATGCCCTACAACTGATCCATAATCTACCCTACCTGCAGACACTCCAGCAACAGCTCTGCCTAGGAACACCACACCAACATCAGACTGTGCTACATGCCCTACAACTGATCCATAATCTCCCCTACCTGCAGACACTCCAGCAACAGCTCTGCCTAGGAACACCACACCAACTTTAGACTGTGCTACATGCCCTTCAACTGATCCATAATCTTCCCCTACGTACAAACACTCACAGCAACATCTCTTCTTAACAAACACTACACCAACTTCAGACTGTGCTACATGCTCTACAACTGATCCATAATCTCCTCCTACCTACAGACACTCCAGCAACAGCTCTTCTTAACAAACACTACACCAACTTCAGACTGTGCTACATGCCCTACAACTGATCCATAATCTACCCTACCTGCAGACACTCCAGCAACAGCTCTGCCTAGAAACACCACACCAACTTTAGACTGTGCTACATGCCCTTCAACTGATCCATAATCTTCCCCTACGTACAAACACTCACAGCAACATCTCTTCTTAACAAACACTACACCAACTTCAGACTGTGCTACATGCTCTACAACTGATCCATAATCTCCTCCTACCTACAGACACTCCAGCAACAGCTCTTCTTAACAAACACTACACCAACTTCAGACTGTGCTACATGCCCTACAACTGATCCATAATCTACCCTACCTGCAGACACTCCAGCAACAGCTCTGCCTAGAAACACCACACCAACTTTAGACTGTGCTACATGCCCTTCAACTGATCCATAATCTTCCCCTACGTACAAACACTCACAGCAACATCTCTTCTTAACAAACACTACACCAACTTCAGACTGTGCTACATGCTCTACAACTGATCCATAATCTCCTCCTACCTACAGACACTCCAGCAACAGCTCTGCCTAGGAACACCATACCAACATCAGACTGTGCTACATGCCCTTCAACTGATCCATAATCTCCCCTACCTACAGACACTCCAGCAACAGCTCAGCCTAGGAACACCATACCAACATCAGACTGTGCTAGATGCCCTTCAACTGATCCATAATCTCCCCTACCTACAGACACTCCAGCAACAGCTCAGCCTAGGAACACCATACCAACATCAGACTGTGCTACATGCCCTTCAACTGATCCATAGTCTCCCCTACCTACAAACACTCCAGCAACATCTCTTCTTAACATACACTACACCAACTTCAGACTGGGCTACATGCTCTACAACTGATCTGTAATCTCCTCCTACTGTAGACACTCCAGCAACAGCTCTGCCTAGGAACACCACACCAACATCATACAACTCCAGGGGGGGGGGAGTTGTAGGGACAACTACATGCCCTACAATTGATCTGTAAATCTCCTCCTACCTATAGACACTCCAATAACAAGAAAGTCAAATGGTCCCCAATATTTTAAGGTCAAACTCGTGCCAAGCTGAGTTTTTATCTTTAAAATCGCAGAAAGCACCTAAAAGATGTTGGTCTGAAGCTGAATATTTTGATAAGACCCGGGAAGATGGTCTCAATTTTGCCTTGACCTTGGAATATGATCACGATTCCTCTTTCACCTCTGAAAATGTTCACTTTTTCGCCATTCCTGCAGAAGACATTCACGACTTCACTGTGACCACAAATGACGTTCTGGCTCAGTTTCACAGTGTGTTGGGTGAATTCATGCACAATATTTTATGTATAACCCAAATGTTAAAATAATGTAAAAACTGGCACGCAGACTCCTTTGACAAATAATGATTTTACTACTGAGTTCTACTTTATCCCAGCTTTAAACCCCTCTTAACAACCCTTTATTAGATTTTTTGTCAAGTGTAACAACAGTGATTTTAGCAATTCAAACAACTAACTTACAGCTTTCTCAGCAGTGACAGTCTTCCTACTGGCCAGGTTGAAGTTGGCAGGAGTGACTGTGTCAGTGCCTGTAGCCAGTGTAGCCTCCTCCTCGGCCGCTCGCTCAGCCTCCTGCTCATCTTCCAACACCAGGGGCTCCGCCGTGCGCTCATATAGCCGTAACACTCGGTCCTTGCCACAGGACACCACGTACTTACCATTCTGACTCACTGCCAGGCCCCAAGCCTCTCCGTGATGACCCTACAAGACACATGTGCTCTACTTGTCAAACTTGTTCTCATCCAAAATCAAGAATAGGTACATTTTCAAATAGTTATGAAATAGATACAACACGAAAAAAAGGAAATTAACAACAGTCTAACATTTCTTATAATAGACACCCAAAATGGTTGAATTAAGGTGTTATAGATTTCCAGAATGGTTAGCGATGAAGATAAATCGACTCGTAGGCGGTGTCTAGGCACATCTCCATGGATTAGTAGTTTAGTACCATTTTTATGAAATTGGTAAAATGTAGTAGAAGTGGCAATTATAAGAACTAGTTGATGAGTGTAAAATTTTTTCTTGGGAAACTATATTTACCAAAGTAAGGAATGGAAAACAGTGAATTTTACAAGCATCTAACATTTGACCTTGTCACTTAAATAATTCCTTAACACTTAGGTACACCATATAAAAAACACCCTCGCCACAGCAAACCAATCAAATTTCCATTTGCCTGTTTGGATTTTCACACAAATATTTCCTTAAAATTGTATTTGTATATATATGAATTTGAATGGATGGTGTTTTTGGCTTCTGGGGACATAACAAAGAAAAAGTAAATCTGTCCTTAGCCCAGGTCTTATCATGTGAATTGATTTGCTTATTCCCTATATGTACATTTACTGAAAGGATTTTTTAAATGTAAAAAATGCAATAATTCTAAATTTCTTACCCATGAAAGAAAACATTTTAGATAAGTTGAACACTTACATCCAAACTGATTATTTTTTGGAAATTATCAGCATCCCACTGTTTGACTTTGCCATCTTTGCCACAAGTGAAGAAGTAGTGAGTTTGGGGAACAAACGCTAGAGCTGTTACAGAGTCATCATGGGCAAAGATAGACTTGTGGCAATCACCAAAGTCCAAACCCCAGATCTTGACATTGCGATCTGCACTGCCCGTGGCAATAATGGTGCAGTCTGACGATATGTCCATGCACAGAACTGGCAGATTATGGCCGTACAGGTGGAGGAAAAACTGAAATCATTTGTATGAAATAAAAACACATCATATTGTAAGGAGATATTCTAGTAAAAAACATCATCTTTCGCATTTTAAGTATAAGTATTACTGGGATGCATTTACCTACACCTTAGACTATCGTAGGCTATATAAAATTAACAAAAACCATTGCAAATATCTAAGTAGTTTACAATATGGTACAATGGTTTGTTAAAAAAATAGTGAGGAGCCTCACGTTTGCTATTCAGAAAGAAATATAAATATATTATCGTGATTGTAGAAGATCTATACAAAGTTTGTACCATAAACAATTCTAAATTTTGTTGCCATTGTATGAGATTAGGCCTAACGTATACATCTATTTTCAACTAAATACTGTATTAACACTTTTTCATGATTTCAACAGGTTCTCCAAATTAATAATTCAAAATTTTTAAATCTTTTACTGAACGATAATCAGAAAAATTATCACTACACAACAATGAGATAAAAATATTAATTATGAATGAGGTATTCATAATGGTTTATAACTAACTACAGTATGTGTGCAGATGTTTTGCATTTTAAATATATACAGTTAAAAATCTAATTTGATATTGGCATTACAAAAAAGCCTATTTTTTAAAAACTAAGCATGTGGTACAGCTCAGTAATTACACATTATTGACCAGCAAACCATACTCTAAAAAGCGTATCAATCATTCTTACGTAGTAAGAAAAAAAGCATAAGACTTACCTTTAGAGTGTCTACAAAGAAGATTTTAACTGTAGAGTCTAGCAGAGCAACAGCCAGAAGTTTGGAATTAGAAGACACACGAACACAAAGAACTGCATCATCAACTTGCAAAGTCCTTGTGTGAAGCAAACTCAGCACTCGGGCCTTGGTGTTGGTGACAGAGTCTGGGACCAACTCTAGCTGCCAGAACTTGACAGTGCAATCACCACCACCTGTCACTACACCAGTCTGTCAGAAAACAAACTGCATCATCAATAGTGGTTTTTTCCTCTGGGTACATCAGAGTGAAGAAGTAAATCGGTCCCGGGTCTAGGTATTTCTGTGCCACCCACAGTAATAGCTTCTTACTAAGGATGGGTTGGTTCCAAGAGTCGATTTTTGATTCCACCGATTCTTGTCTTTGAATCCGAATTGAGAATCGACCGCTGAAAGTCCATTTCGATACCGATACCCGAAGCGTCAGCCAAGATTGCGGGCCGGAAATTTACAGCTATCGCCGCGATTGCGCAAGATGACAATTACGTTTCTGTGACCGCGGGAGACGATGATGATACATGGCCACAGGAGATAATCAGAATTTTGTCACAATCGCGGAAGATGACGATAATGTCTTCACAACCGCACGAGATATTCATGATTTTGCTGCTGTCGCGGAAGAAGACGATGACGTTGATCCGTTACCGCGGAAGTTATTCAGGGTTTTGCCGTTATGGCGGGATACAATGACAATGTCCATACGACTGCGGGAATTGTTTTAACATAATGGAAATCGATGGAATCGAACATTTCTGGAATCAACCCATCACTACTTCTAACTTATATTCTTACTTATTCTTAGCTACAGGGATATTTTCTAACAATAGTATCAGCAAACTGACACATTTTCCAACCTTAAAATTTAAAACTCTTCTACTTAAAAAAAAAAATAAAGCAATTACTGAATAACTTGAGGAGGTAACTTAAAAAAATTACCAAAAAGTTAGTGACAAGTATCTTGGAATGTAAAGCAACAGCAACATCCTTAAATGATAAACCTCATTACTATACTCAAACATATCCCTAATCAATTAAATAAACCTTATAGGTTAATAGATTTTAAGTGAGTGTGAATTAATGTAAAAAATGTAATAGGCATTTTCTGGCCGAAAAACAAAGAGAATCATGGGCGTCCATCTAACTTTTTAATTGAGGGGGGGATCTTGCAAGGTAAGGCATTCACCCCCCTCTACCAGTAAAAGAGGGTGTTTTGTGGGTTCCTGGGAAATGTTTACAATTTAGTTCCTAATTAGTACCATTTTGTACCTACCTAAATTTAATTTGCTCAGTTACTTTAATTAGTTTTTTACAGTTTCACTGTAAAATTAGAAAAAAGTTTTGCGTAGGGCATTATAGTGAGGGGGGGGGGCTGGAAGAATTTTTTTTTGTCCCATTATCCTCCCTCTTTGGGGGTATTCAAAATTTTCAAAATCATATAATTTCCTGCCAAGGCTGCATGACCACCCCCGATGGGTAAATTATTCTTTTCACAAGAAAATTATCTGGTTTCCACCATTCTTAAGGTTTTTTATAACACTTCAAAATTAGATGTCACTTGAAGGGGATTTACATTAAAAAATGTTAAATTGCCCCCAAAATCCCCAATTTTTGGGGGACATTCAAAACTTTCAAAATCATTAAATGAAACTTCCTGCTAAGATTGCACGACCACCAAAACGACATCTCTGTATATTTACTAAGAAAAATATTGGGGGGGGTCTTGACTTTTTATTCACCCTGTATACAAGACTATCTGTTTCCATATACAAGACTATCTTTGTCCATATACGTGACTATCCGTATCCATGTTATCGACACTACTGTGACATTGCCTAGCCATATAAGTTATTATTGACATCAACATATATTGTGACATTAACTATCCGTATCCGCAATGAGACATTATTGAAGTCCACATATATTGTGACATTGCCTAGCCATATAATTTTTGACGTCGACATATACTGTGACATTGCCGAGCCATATAAGTTATTATTGACATCAACATATATTGTGACATTAACTATCCGTATCCGCAATGAGACATTATTGAAGTCCACATATATTGTGGCATTGCCTAGCCATATAATTTTTGACGTCGACATATACTGTGACATTGCCGAGCCATATTAGTTTTTTACGTTGACAAATACTGTGACATTGCCAAGCCATATAATTTATAGACGTCGACATATTCTGTGAAATTGCCTAGAATGTTGATGTAATAAGATATAGAATAAGCTATATTATTCTATATTTTATTACATCAACCTTTAAACAATAAATTTAATTTCAAACAGTATGATTTGAATTGGATTTCTGTAAATATTAATTTTTTTTACCCGTCCTTATGACAGTACGTATCTGGATCCGGAACCGACATTTTCTTGGATCCGCCTATCACTAGAAAGAACATAGCTAATTTATATAATATTAATTTCAAAGATTAGAACATAAAACAAAATAATATAAAGAAGAGATGTATATAAAAACTGTTAAAATAAAATAAAATGCTGATCTTTATCTAAACCTTCAAACTCAAACATAATGGAAAGATTAGGTTTGGAGAGAAAGGGCTAATTGCCTGAGAATAGGTGTGAGAAAGGATAGGATAAGCAGGCTTACCTTAAAAAATGTAGGCATCCCACTTCATTCACTACAGAACACAGAAGAAAACACAAACAAACAAAATAAGCACTGGATATTTCGAGGCCACTGGCCCCTTTCTCAACATGGAGAGTCACATTAGATATTAAGAGTCTTTCACTGGTAAGGAAGCAGTGTTGCCAACACACTATGAATTTACAAATGAATATTTACAGGTTATGAGTCATTGATTTTATTTACACTTAGTCTAAGCCTGCTTTTTAGGTGTGGAAGGGGAAAGGAAAATGTTAGGCCTATCTGAGATTGAGGTTTGAGGGCTCCCTGGATTTGGTGAACCATTGATAAGAGAGTTCCCATCTCCTTAGTTGTGATGGGTTACAGGTGGGGGGGAAGGATCTTATTATTTTTGAATTGAAACAACTGTTTAAATCTTGCATATTGTGGCTGGTAGCATGAATAGGCACTTAGTCCAGTCAATGAATGCTCAAAAGAGGGGTGTAGAGGACATGGAGAGGGGGAAATTTTTTTTCTGCGGGAATGTGTTTGGGGTAGTTAGAAGATAAAAATACCAAAAGTCCCCGCCCCTGGCCCTGCTGCTTCAGCGGGGGGAGGGGGGGAAAGACCCCATTTCTTAGTTTTTTACTTCTACACTGAAAACCGTGCATCGTACGGAAAAAATGTAAATTATAAAAAGAAAGATGATGAAATTCTCTACAAGAATTATCATATTCATTTCTGCTGTATATGCATTAGTTTAAAAGATATTATCAAAACAATATAAAAATTCTTTTATAAATTGATTTTTCACGCGTTTTTTGTCAAATAGTTCATATAATCCATTAGCCTGTTGTTGTTTTACATTAATCAGGATAAAAAATAGGTTTTTAAGCAATAACCTATATAATATAATATATCAGTCGTATATATTTTGTTAAAAACAGTTTATATCAATTTAAATAAGTTATGTATATTTGTCATGGAAACAAGTAATTTTGGCATAATTATCACACTAAAAATGAAAAAAATTATGTTTGTAGCTATATTTGTCCAGGTTTATTTATAACAATTACCGAAACCAAGACTTAATACTATTGTACATGGTCTGGCTCACTTGGGACGAGAGGTTCCGACTTCTGTCTCGAAAACAGGTGCCATCCGGATCTGAGAATCGCCATCGAGGGCATCTCCATAATCCAATTCTTGTTCATTAGACTCAATATCTGCTATCGATGTAAGAGTGCAGTGTTTATATTCTTCATCGTCCTCATTTATCAGAATTGGCATAAACGGTCCCCTTAGAATTTCTGGTATAACGGCCAACGAGGAATAATTAATGGACATTTCATTGCATGTACATCTTTCATTGCTACAATCTTTAGTATATTAGCAAAAAACGAGCCCAATATTTCTAGTGGGTTTGGTGGTTCATTGGTTAAAACTGTGAACAGATTTTTTTTGTGCTCCCAATCCCACATTTCTGAGGCTGAGGGTAGTTTTACAAACAGATTTGTCCTTGATTAAATGATACAAATGGTGAAATGTCATATATTTCTAAACTGATAGCAATGTTTGAAAATCACCCACTCTTCCCTGAAACTCAAGACATCATATCAATAGCATCTGGGGTTGAAAGAGATGAATCCGTTAACGGTTACGATGCTGCATTACGTAGTCAGCAAGTAATTAATCAAATGTTGTCATTTTCAGACAACAAGTTGTCACGGGAAAATATGGCTCTCCCTTTGTCCTCTACGAGTTTAACCATCGATATCAATGATTAAAACGTTTGAGCGAAACCTTTAATTCTGTTTCAAAGGATTTGTATAAGTTAAAAAAGTTATCAAGATTTAAAGGATTGTTTTTTGGAAATGTACTGAAGATTATAACAGTGCCACATGTGCAATTTGTGCATACAAGAACATGTCCAATTGTACCCCGTTATGCCAGAACTGCTAAGGGAACTTTTTACATGGAATGCCCATTCTGATGAATGAGGAAGATAAAGAATATATAGGCCTACACCGCATTATTACTTCGATAACCGATATTGAGTCTAATCAACAAGAATTGAATGATGGAAATGTCCTAGATGGTGGTTCTCAGTTCCAGATGGCACCTGTTTTTGGGACAGAAGTCGGACCCTCTCGTCCCAAGTGAGTTAGATCATGAACAATAGTATTAAAAGTCTTGGTTTCGGTAATTGTTATAAATAAACCTGGACAAATGTAGCTACAAACATAATCTTTTTCATTTTTAGAGTAATAATTATGCCAAAAATTATGACATTGTTATTATTAAATAATTATTAATTAGTTAAATAAATTATTAATTATGACATAACTTAAATAAATTTATATAAACTATTTTTAACACAATATACACGATGGATATATTATATTATATAGTTAAGTGCTCCAAAACCTGTTTTCTATCCTTACTAATGTAAAACAACAGCAGGCTAATCGATTATATGAATTTATTTGGAAAAAAACGTCTGAAAAATCAATTTAGAAAATAATTTTTATATTATTTTGAGAATATCTTTAAAACTAATGCATAAACATAAGAAACGATTATGACCATTCTTGTAGAGAATTTCATCATCTTTCTTTTTATAATTTACATTTTTTCCGTACGATGCACGGTTTTCAGTGTAGAAGTAAAAAACTAAAAAATGGGGTCTTTCCCCCCCTCCCCCCGCTGAAGCAGCAGGGCCAGGGGCGGGGACTTTTGGTATTTTTATCTTCTAACTACCCCGAACACATTCCCGCAGAAACAAATTTTCCCCCTCTCCATGTCCTCTACAATCCCTTTATTGACTGGACTAACTGGTTTTTCTGGATGGTTGTTTTTTATATCTGTCCTATGATTGTTCATTCTTGTTCTAAAACTGGTGGTGGTAAGTCCAATGTATTGAGATGGGCAATGGTTGCATTGAAGTTGATATACAACATTTTTCGTGGAGCATGTATTGTGTCCTTTAATTTTGAAGGTTTCTCCTGTTGATGTGCTTGTAAATGTTGTGCTGGGCCTATTAATGTGGCAGGTTTTGCATCTTGCCATGTCACATGGGAATGAGCCTTCTATGGGTTTATCTTGGCCTTTGTTAGGTTTTGACTGTTTAGGGTGAACTAACAACTTTTTTAAATTGGCTGGTTGTCGGAATGTAGTTGTGGGAGGTTTTTCCAAGAAGTCTGTGGTGTGTGGGGATGCTCTGAGGATTTTGAAACCGTCTTTTAAAATTGTGTTTAAGGATTGGAGGCCGTGGTGGTAGGTCGTGATAAGCGGCAGGTTTTGTTGGGAGTTTCTTTTTTGAGTAGGCCTAACGTTGGTGGTTTCTGATTGAGCCAGACGGATCTGGTTTTCAACTAGATTGGCCGGATAACCTCTTTTAGTAAGGGAGTTTTTCATTCTGCTATTGAACTTTTCCAGTTCTATGTCAGAGGAACAAATTCTTTTGGCTCTCATGGCTTGGCTGTAAGGAATTGAACGTTTAGTGTTGGTAGGATGGCAGCTATTGAAGTGAAGGTATTGCAGGTGGTTGGTTGGTTTAATATGAATTCCAGTTTCGATGACACCATTCTGTAATTTTAAATTTACATCCAGGAAAGTGATTTCTGTGGTGGACGTGGTGTGGGTGAATTGGAGGGGACTGAAATTGGAGAGGTCATTCAGAAATTTAGTCAGATCCTCCTCTGAATTTGTCCAGATCATGAAGATATCGTCAATGAAACAAAACCAGCAGGTGGGTTGGGTTTTTTGTGTTTTCAGGAATGATTGCTCAAGGCGGCCCATGAATAAATTGGCATATGATGGGGCCATTCTAGTGCCCATTGCAGTACCCTTTATTTGTAGAAAATTTGTGCCTTCAAATTGAAAGTTATTTTTTTCTAGGATAAATTTGGCTAAGTTAACTAAAAAAGCTGTACTCGGAGACGTATTGTTAGGCCTTTGGTCCAGGAAATGTTCTATAGCAGCTAGGCCATGTACATGAGGGATGTTTGTGTATAGTGAAGTGACGTCTATTGTTACCAATATGGTATTTGGTGGTAGAGGGGTGGTTATTGAAGATAGGCGGTCCAGAAAGTGGTTTGTGTCCTTAATATGAGAGGGTAGGCTAATGACATGTGGCTGAAGATAAGAATCTACGTAGGCTGAGATGCGTTCCGTTGCTGAGTTGCATCCAGCTACTATTGGGCGTCCTGGAGGAGGTGTAATGTTTTTATGAATCTTAGGGAGGATGTAAAACTGTGGAGTGGTGGGACTTTGGTTTATTAGTAGATTTAAAGATTCCGGAGAGATATTTAAAAAAATTCTGAAAATTTAGAATATATCTAAGAAATATTAATTAAGTGTGATCTATATTGACTAATGTGTTATGAATCTGATCCAAAAATACTGAAACTTTCCCTTAACAGTCTCTTTACCCTTGGTTATACAAATATTGATGTTTCATTGCTAAATTTGTGTAAAGGAGACAAGCGAACATACTTGGTCTGGCAGATGACATATGGACCACAGCTCAGATGAGTGAGCCGGGATCTCTTCGAGAATATCACCAACTGAGATGTCTATGATGAGAAGCTTTCCATTGTTGAGTCCCGCCAGCACATGTCTATCTCCAGGCACAAATGTCACACACAACACATATCCAGTGTCTACTGTGCGAAGGCTGGACATGGACGGCCTACACACAACACACATGTACATTATGATTAGGTGTGAACCTCAAACTGTCCAATATTGCAGTTAGTCTGAAATGATTCCCCAGCCTCTGGCAGCGTGTGACTTTTTCCTATTTCCTTGAATATAGAGAACCTTAAAGGGCTGTCGTTTTACAACTGTAGACGTGTCTTTATAAGCGCATTACTGAAAGAACTAAAGACTAGGGATGGATGGGTCTCGAATGTTTGATAATTTGCGAGATTAAAATAATCTTGTATTGCTCCAAGACTTTTTTGAGACTAGATTTAAAAAAAATCAATTAAAAATGTCCATTGTTTTTATTTATATTTAGTAGGGGTCTGCGGTGCACCGAAAAAGTCGGTACGGTACGGTACAAGCTTAATTACCGTCATCGGTTCGGTACAGCATTTTACACGGTACAAATTCGGTTCGGTACAGCCTATTATAATAATAAATTACTTTCAGTTTACTATCGTAGTCAACGGCAGTTGGTTCCGAGCACATAAAAGTCTTATCAGATGTTTGTTTACGATCTTTATAATTTATTACTAGCGTGATGATGCAATAAAAAACCCATTAGCAGTCCCAAATCCATTAACATTTTATCACGACAATAATTGTTGTATTGAAGTACTTCCAAGAACTGTTGAGTTTTATCACTTTTATTTCTTTACGACTTTCCCCAATTCTGTTTTATCATAAAAATAATAGTTTTATGATGACTAGGGGTGTGCGAAGCAGCAAAAAATTTTCGATTCGAAGCAACGATTCGATTCAAAAGATTTTCGATTCGATTCGATGCAACTCGATTCGAAGCAATACGGTATTTTTCTATTCATAATTGTCAATTGAGTGGATTAACAATAATTAAAATGTATCACATTTGTGTAATACAAATTTTTGTTGATGTGGTATTAGGCCTATTTCATACTTAACATATGAATTTTAGGTGAAAAAATATTTATTTTCAATCATATGTATTAGAATAACTGCTGGAAATACCAGTGAGCTGCTTTACTTGCCTATTTCATAATTTTTACTTGAATTGGCTCAACTGCAAGAAAGAAGAAAATATTTTTTTTATCAAGACATTCATTCTCATTTTAATAACTGTTTAAATAACTAAATAGGTGCCGGTAGCTAAATTACAACAAATTTGAATGGAACTTAATATAAAAAGACCATTAAGAAATAAATTTACATATCACAAGTTTAGGGCCTGTGGACCGGCTTCAGGACTGCAAGCAAGAAGAAAATAAAAATAATATGTTTCCACCATGCAATATGTATCATTCATTCCCTGCCTCCTAACCTCCTTAGTATAATAACCTCACACTTACATTATTTGTTACATCATCATAAATAAATAATTATTATTGGCATCAGTAGGCCTACAGCTTTACCTAGGCATTATTTTTATAGGGCCTAAAATAGTAATAGGCTAGAAGCAACATGTCAAGTGGAGAACTCATTGAAGAAAAGATATTGTGTAAACTAATTTCCTATAAAACTCAAAAACAGTAAATAACATACAAACATTGTTTATGGTATAATTAATAAGGACTAAAAAATGCATATCATGTCATACAGTAGTATAGACCTACTGCAAGAGATTAAAATCCTAAAACAACTGATTTTGATAGCTAATGAATGAAAAGAATTAAAAATCCATCAAATAAAGCCAAACAATATCACAACTAATTAGGTACCCGAAAAGTAACTCTTAAATAATATATAGAAGATTAAAATAATATTAAATCAAGAGACAAGAAAGTTAAATGCTATCTTCTAGCCTAGTGCCCTTGGCAACACAGGTCAATGTTTTTAAACTACCCTCAATGTTTTTGGAACAGCAGGGCCTTTTTCTCTTAAGGAAGGGTAGTAGTATGTCAACAAAAACAATGAATCAGTCTCACCAGCCAGGCCCGGGCAACGATGTGTGAATTCAAGGTCATAGACCCTCCCCCTCCCCTCTTACACCACCCGGTTGCTACCCAGTTGCTTCAATTGCTGACAAAATGCAAGTGATGAAACAAGGAAGTAGAGACAAAGAAATATATTTCTTTATTCAAAAACACAAAACTGTTAGAGATTATTTTCAAAGAAATTAATTCAATGTAATTTGTGAGTTGTAAATATTGTATTGGATCTTAGAAATATATTTTTTTAACCCCATCTAACCAAGATACAGATCTGTTCACTATATCAGATATTTCTTTTGTTTATAATTTATTATGTAAAATAATAAAATATATTTTTAATTAGGTATTGAATAAACAATAAATGATTATACTAGTATGTCTGGATAAATAGTCTTTCTATTCTTTTGACTTTGTTTTCTTTGCACTGTTAGTGTTGCGTCACGGCTTTTGTTACTCTTATCAGTAGACGACTAGACCTGGCTCTGGCTAGTGGCAGTGCGGCAATTGCTCTGTTGTGTCTTTATTCTTAAAGGTCGTGAGCCAACTTAATTTTTAATTCTCATTTGAACATTTTAATTCCTCTGTAATAATAGATATAATAATATAAGAGTGTTTCTTTGGAAATAAATTATTCTTTTTTTTTCTTTTGCCCCAACAAAAATTCGGGGACGGGGACCGGCAGACACCTAACAAAAATACCAAATGAATCAGTCTATAACATTAATCTTACTAGTTAAGTATTAAGTAACAATTTTTCAGACTTATTTTTAAAATGATTTTGGAGTAACCTACCTTGTTTTGGCTAGGTTCACAGTAGTAAAATATTTCACACTCTGCTTACATCAAGACAAAAAACAAACCTCTAATCATTTGCAATGTCAAAACAAAAAAATATAAAACAATTAAAGCTATATTTAATGCAAAGAATGTATTAAATAAGAACGCCTTCGTAAAGGAAACGCAACAGCAACGCGCTCCTGTATTGCGGGTATTGCATTGACTTTCTGCAGGCGTTTTTCGTATATGGATACTGACTCCCTCGTGAATCGAATCGTTTTTTGACCACCACTGAATCGAATCGCGATTCGATGCATCGAATCGAATCGAATCGAAATTTCGATGCATTTTCGATGCATCGCACACCCCTAATGATGACTGTTAAATGTTATCTCTAATTTAATCAGTATTTTGGTGAATATTGAATTTGCCGCTGGCCATTGCCTACTGCCATAAAACTGTTTATGGCTACATATAAAACTTGTAACTAATCTACAATCTTATTTTATAAATTAAATATTTGTTATGGATATTTTATCTTTCTATTGACGACCATGGATATATACAAACTTTTGTCGTGATTTTAATTTCAACATCAAAATACAATATTGCACAATCGTGATATTTTAGGCCATTGACCTTTATTATGCATCCGGTATTGCTGTTTCAGAAGAGAAGCAAGTTGATAAATTATAAATTGATATTCCCGTAGTTAAAAAGAATTATTTTATAAACCTATAAAACAAAATCATAAAATCTTACATAAAGATAACAATAACGGAAATTGTAAAAAGGGTATAAAGATAACGTCGTTATTCTTTCTCTTTGTTCTTCTATTTCTTGGGTTTCCCTTCATCACGCATTCAACAAGTTGCCATGGTTACTAATCACCCATGTCGTTATCAGCTTTTGTGACATAGCGCACAGCAGGTGGTAAAACTTGACGAAAATCGGTAAATTTTTACCTATTATTTAATTACCAATGAATGTACGGTACAGATTTTTGTCAAATTTTACACCAAATTTATTGAAATTTCAAGGTGAATATTAATAAAACAATTATTACCAAATATTTGTATTCATTTAAAAGATTGATTTGTGGTATTGGGTTCCCCACTGAGTGCAGCCGAGCGGCACTAATGAGGGTCGGACCTTCTTGGGGGTGAACAATAGACGGCTTATCAGACCCTCCCCTCCCCCGTGGTCTGGAGAAAGCATGTAAACAAACTATTGCACAAGCGTGACTTGACATTGAGCTGCTTCAACTATAATTTTGTCAAATGAACTGTGATGTTTCAAAATCAAAAACAATAATTTGGGACCATACTGCTTAACACTAATGGACTGCAATTATTGTTGAACATACAATCCATTTTTAACAAACTAAGATTGTACGATTCAAATACAATTATAAAAATTATCTTGGTATTTTACTTGGGGTAATGAAGTTATGTAGGCAAGTGTAATTCTCGGTTCATCAAGGTTCTACTGAATTATGTTTGGCAGTGAATAAGTGTAGAATGCAATTTATAAATTCAGGGATACACACCTTTTACACAGTTATAAAGTCTAATTGCCCAACATCAAATCTTACTCTGTGATAATCCAAATTTTAGTTTCAGAAAAAACTTTGCAAGAATTGTATCCATCTTATAACTTAACTAGTTTTGAAGCTGATAAAAAAAAAATGGTCTTTGCCATTACTTCATCATAACCTCAAGTTTTCCATTGTCATCTGCTGTGAACAGCTGGCAAAACTACACTGTCTTCTACTGAATGCTTTTATATGTTTTTAAAATTAAAAAAAAACAACTAGACATTGTGTTGGTTGGAAATAATTTACCAGTTTTGTGAAATTATCTTGTCAATAAATGTTTCAAACATGTTTATTCATAAAAACTCTTATCCTATTTTTAAACTACTTTATCATGGTTATTCAAAGTATCTCAGAGTAAAATAGGTAAAGCCTTTATCTCAACTGTGATTTTTCTTGACACAATCCTCGTAGTAGTAAAAGGTTTGGCTTGGTTTGGTTTGGTTTGGTTGACCAACAGGATCACTCTGGCAGTACTCAGGTAATTTTATACCTTTTATAGTTTGTTCTGTGATCCAGAGACAAAAACAACTCAAAATATAAAAGGTTTTGTTTTAATAATATGTGGTACAGTAATTGTTGTTAGAAAACCATGAATGTAGGATAATATCCATTTTCATATTAATGTCTATGTATTAAAGTTAAAAATAATGGTTTAGATACAGTTCTGAGAAGAAAACCGCAAAAATACGGGTAGCCGCGTACCGTACCGATTTTGTACCGAGAACCGAGGTACAAAATATTGTACCGTGCCGAACCGTACCGACCTTAAATTTTCTGTGCCGCAGACCCCTAATATTTAGTTTGATTTAGTTCTATTTTGCTCAGTTTAGTGTAGGCTGAATGGATTGCATTAACATTTTGTTTTGTGTAGAGGATATGATCCATGTTATATCCCTTCTGTATTCTATTGTAATTATATAACAATAATAATAGTTCTAGGCCCGGAAACACAACATTACCAGCACGTGAACAGAAAGGGACTCAGGCCTATCTTTATACAAAAATTATTTTATGTATTATCATATCTTAATGTGTCGTGTGTTGAACGTGTGTTTGTTTGTATTTTTAAAACTAGCAAAGCTAATCTAGCGGATTCAATGTATTTATTCCCTGGAATGAAGTGTCTGACGATGGCATCTCGCCAAAACATGTTAACACTATTGCTACTTTTGCTAACGTCTGCATGACAGGTAATAAAAAAAAATATTGTCTTGAACTTAAAATCCAGTCTGGTCCATCCCTACTTAAGACTATCTCTAAAATTAGGGATTGTTTAGGGGATTGGAAGAAACTGGCACAAGTGCATAATCTCTAATGAGGACTACTATTTTCAAGGCAACAACCTTGATGTAAACAAATAATATATTGATTATTATTTTGTACAAAAAATAAAATACTCGTAATTTTTTTCACAATTAATACAACATCTAGACCTTTTTAGGTATATCAAGACATTACCTGTTCCACATTTTAATCTGATCTCCGCTACCTGACACTATTGCCAGATTGTCTGAGCTGAAGGCTACAGCTTTTACATCAGAGTGATGGCCACTAGCAGCAATGTGTCTCAGCCTGGTAGGCTCAGGCTGCTTGCTGCTACTTTCCAATGTCATTCCATGCAGCTCCACTGTGTTGTTGGCCAGACAAGCTGCCACCTGTATACACATCAAACACACATCAGAGTGGTGGCCACTAGCAGCAATGTGTCTCAGTCTGCTTGCTGCTACTTTCCAAGGTCATTCCATGCAGCTCCACTGTGTTGTTGGCCAGACAGGATGCCAAATGTATACACATCAAAATTGTCAACATTAATTGCAGAAATGTGTCTGCTTACTTTGATGAATCTATATCTATAAAAACCAATGTATGTATGTTTGTTTGTCCTTTATTAACTCCGAAACCGCTTGACAGATTGTAATGAAACTTTCAGGCATTACTAAGCGTTATTCAAGGATGGTTTGTGTGAAGTTTGGTGCAGATTCGTCAAAAGGGCTCCGCCCCAGTGGCTCTGGAGTTTCCCATGTTAACCTTATGAGTACTCATATTTAAATGGAATTAAAGAATCTTAACAGCTGGTTCAACTAAACAATTTGGTTTACCAACAGGGTGCAGCACTGTTATTTTTTTTATGCCAACAGCTAATTTGCAACCAAAAGTCGAGTGAGCGAACTACAACCTGGAGGTGAGTTAGTGTAGCGAATGAGCTAACGAGCTCATCTTGAAAATGAACGAGCATTGACATAAAACCACATTAGGACAGGACGACGTCTGTCGGGCCAGCTAGTATAAGATAAAAACAGAACTCTGTAATTCATTCTATGAAAAGGTTATGAACATGTCCTTCCATCCATACAAAGCTGCAGCACAGATGACAATGGTGGATACTCCATTTTTTTTCCATTTCCATTTTTTTTTGTCGAAAGAGCCGAAACCCCTCAACTGCAACCCTGTACCTATAATTAAACATACCCGGGCCCCATGGTGTAGGCCGGAGCTTACGCACCAACCTTGGCAAACCATGGGCGTATGACTTAAGGTCATCAGGCTCACCGGCTGCCGAAGCAACTCTTCGGAAAGAGGGTTGCCCCTCAATCCTAACCAAGGATACCGGCTACTTGGTTAAGCGTCACTCCACCTGGAACCAGCAGGTACAAAACCTGAAGGCCCATAATGAAATGCCCTGACGCATTTAGTGCAAGTAACACTCGGGACCTATCCAATCCCTGACAGGCCAAAATGGTGGATACTGTTTGCAGGATCACAATTTGCTGTATGTTGCACAAGGCTCTTGTTTCTCAGTAGCCAGGTGGAGGTCTCTCATTGCAGAACCTGCCATGGAAGTCTCATGCTTCACTATCTAGACTGAGGCTTAAGTACTTCTGCCCAATGTTGTACGAGCTCCCCTCTGGTCTCCAAACGGCAAACTTAAACTCTTTTTCCTGATTTAGAAAATACCCTCGCTGCAGCTAACCTGCAGATTAGAGAATATACATTTACCTGGTTGGATTTTCACTTTCACGGCCGTTCAACTGGCCGTTGAGGTTATTCCACTTCATACAAAATCTATACATTAATGGGCAAGCATGTTTCTTTAAAACCTTTTTTCTCAGCTCGTGTGCCCCGCAGGGAAAATCTATGCATACTGTTGGGAAGATACTTTTCCTGTAGATGTGCAGAATCCCTTTTTAAATTCAAATAGGCTCGAAAATAAGCACAAAAAGAAAAAAATAATTTAAAGTTTATAAAAATATAACATGGGCCTTATGAGTTGACATCCTGGTGACGAAATAACAACAAAATATAAACAGAAAATCAAAAAACAAATGGAAGAAATTACAATCACATGTTTTATTTACAGTGTGGGGTGAAGATAGTAGAAGCCTGTACGATAGATAAAACATACTCCCTTAGTAGATTTCTCATCCTTATGGAACAGCTGAAGACAATTTTATTGTTAGTTCTGTACGGTTTTCTGTAGAGGTGTTTTGTCTACAATTTGTTTCCCGTTATTACAGCCATTTAAAACCTCGTTTAACCAAATAATACGATCTAATCATAAACAATAACCTGTCCCCAAGTTATATAACCAAACAGTAAAGCACAAATCAAGAAATTGACCCTAAAATAATAGAAACAAAATTTCGTCGACACTAGCAACTAGTGTGGCGTACATGAACTAGACATGAAAAACGAGCTTCAAAATTTACAATGGGATGAGAAGTCTACTTGTGTTGGTTAGTCTATGCCTGTACATTACATATTTTTGGTCGAGTTTTCGATCTCTAGTATTGATTAAACACTACAATAAATCTCAAATTAAAAATGTTAGTAAATATGCAAAAAGAAAAATAGAATCAATCTTTAACTAACATATGTTTTGAAATAAAAACAAAGCAAAAGTTTTCCATTTAATCTTTAATCGTTTATTATTTAGTCAATGAGTTTATTTCATGTCAAACATTCCATTAACACAACAATAACCTTAACAACAGACAAAGTTCTTAAATAGCAACATACAACTATGAACATAAAAAATGTAGGATTATTGTAAGAAGCGCTAGCGTCGCCAGCCAAACCTTCGTCAACTATCGCTAGCAGCAATCTTCGTAGTGTCGCGTCTTTTAATACGGCGGTTTTGCTTCTTATAAGGTCCTGTATTCATTGATTCTACTAACTGACCTTGAATTAGATACCAAACTCGACCTATGCTGATATTTAAGAACTTTGTCTGTTCTGTTGTTTATACAACAGATTTTAGCTACATACAAAATTAAATGCATTTCATTTTGAAACATTATTTAACAACATTGACTTTTGGAATAAATGCAACTATTGCAAATAAATAAGTAACATCTGATTAGAATGCAGATGTTTTTCCGTCCCCATGCTTTTCTTATGGTGGATATTTTATGTCATATCTTGTTTTCTGGTAACTTTATGGGAATTCTGCTATTTTTCCCGTGTCCCTGGGGTTAAGACCTTTAATTTAAGACCCCTCCCACTTTTCAGCAACTTACCAGACATCCACAATTTTCTGGTAAAAATGTTGTCTTACAGAATTATATACAGTATAAGGATTAGTAAAACAATCTATTCATGGACTGCAAAGTGTACTGTAAACTTTAGAACTGATTTAGAAGGAATTAAAACCAAATTTAATGGTGTTCAATATAAGTGAACTTATTAAATAAATATGACTTCAGTAATTACATTTCACTTACCCTTAACTGATATCCCTTTCCTAATACTAAATGTACAGATTTTACTTTGGCTGAGCACTTTATGACAGGTAACCTCCTCACAACGTCCTTTAGGCTGACAGCTGCACTAGTGACATCTTTCTTGTCTTCACCAGAGCTACAAAGCAATTCATCACATTAAAACTTTTAGAAACTGGTATAAAACCATTGAGTAACATATTTTACCTAACCCGTCATGTTAATCTTCCCTATCCCAAGCGTGATGTATACAACTTCCTTACTTCTCGAGTGATGTAAAGTATCAAAAACTCACTCGGTGATGTAAAGAAACCCATTTAAATAACATTGAGTGCTTAACTTAAAAAATATACCTCTATGGAGCCAACGACGTTCAACGCTAGAAATCAGCTGTGGGCTTGAATGTTATTGTTATGCTTTAAAGTATTTTCCTAACCTAGCTTTTATTTGTAAAAGAACGTTACTGTTAGAAGACGAGTGAAATGGATAATGAAAAATATTGTACTTAAACCCATATATATTGTCGGGTCAGGTAAAATCTTGTACGTTACGCGTTACGCAAGAGCGTGTTTACATCACTTAGGTAAATTATGCAACGAGCGGCCTGCGTGATGTAAAAACGCTCTTACTACACTTGTAATGTAAATAGCTATTTCCTACCACTGCATGGAAAGGATAACATTGCCACACCTGTGAACAGTACGCAAAATAGCTCATTTACACTCTAGAGTGGGAATGGAACATTCTTGCTCCCTAATCAGCTGATTATACTGTTGGTGTTTTTACACCAAACACAGCTGCGGATCAGGTACGTTAACAACCGGTAAGCATATAACATAACCTAAAAAAACATAACCTAAATTAAATTATATATATAACTAAAAAGAAAAATGTAATCTGCATTTGATAAGTTAATTATGGTAGTAGAAAAAATTGTGTGTGTATTATGAGCACAAATAGTAATTGCCACTCTTGAATGTATAACCGCACTCAGCTTACAGTTCTCGAGCCAGCAATGACGTACTTTGTGCTCTTAATACAAAAATAGCTGTTGTGATTTAGTACAAGTAACTTAAGTAGTGTAAGAGAAACGGCTTGCAATAGCCATATTATATGCTATTTGACATACTATATTTGACATATAAATGATAATATTCAATACTAGCTGTGTGCCCATTTTACGTAAGGGAATCTTGTAGTAAGTTGAAACCTTCTTATTTTCAGAACAGGAGTTGGTTTGCATATTTAGTGTGAATTTTTTTCAGATATGCTGACAAACTAAGTTACTTTTCACACTGGTTAAAATTAGTTAAAATACTACCTCAACCTCACTACTGCACACTTTATTCGGGTTGAAATTTTCATTAACAAAGGTGCTCTTGTATTTTCCTCAAACACTGAGAAATAAGGACGTAAATGCGTTACTAAGACATACACACACAAATACAGAATTGAGTTAGGGGATTTGCTACGCTTTAACAAAAAAAATTAACCAAACAAAATAATTATTTGAAAGGTTTGATAGTGTCATCTAATTTTATGATAATCATACTTTAGGCCTAATCAAACTGTAAAATTGGTGTAAATCAGTTGCACAGGCCACAAAAACATTGATAAGTTAACAACATAAAGCTTTAAAAATTCATGATGGTTTGCTAAAAAAATCTTTCACTATTGTTTTATCATTTTCGTAGCATAAACTAACATTTTGGAGTCCAGACAGAAAACGCAAAAATTATACAGTAGCAGTGGCGGATCTAGAACAGTTACAAGGGCGGGGCCAACCGGGGGGTCTGGAGGGTACCCGAAAAATTTGTGTAAACTAAGTCTCCAAAATGGCAGTTTTATACCATTTCTTTGTTCAAAGTTAGTGTGGCAAATTATTTTATGCAATTTGTATGCACTACTGTATTACATGCAGTAAAAATAGCCCTGCTGCAGCAAAACTGCTGACTTAGCAAATTTCCATTCGTCTGGATTGATTTTTAATTATTAATCTATTAAATTAACATTTATGTTTAACGAGTACCTAGATTATCTGCTACAGAGAAACTAATAAAGTGTGTTTTTTATTAAATTATCAATAGCTTAGTATGAAATAAATGAAAACGCCAAGTTTGATCAAAATTTATCCATAAACAAGCCAACTACAACATATTATAATATTCTCCATAAGAATAACATGGGAATTTTAAATAACAATTTTTTGAATTTTCTCCGTAACCAATTATTGTACAAATACATTTTGGTATACTAAATTATTTGTTTTTTAAGCTCTTTAAAAAGGTCTGGAGAAAAATTTATAAATTGTGTGTTTTAAGGGTGAAAAATGAGAAAACCCCATTTTTACCCCATAAAACCCCCCGTTAAACCCCGTTCCCATGGTCCGATCATGCTGGTTCGCGAACTCATTTAAGTTTATCCCGCCTTGCACCTTCAAACCAAATTTTATCAAAATCTGACAAAAATTACTCAAGTTATTGTGCGGATGGATACATATATAAAAATTTGAGCGAATGGTGTTTTTGGCCTCTGAGGACATCAAAATGAAAAAGTAAATCGGTCCCGGGCCTAGGTGACCTACGGTAATAGCTACTTCCCTATAGGGAAATTTGCTAAAAATATATTATGTATGCCCGAGGGGGGGGGGGGGGCGGTCGCCCCCTTTGCCCCACTCTGAATCTGCCACTGTACAGTAGGTAAGGCATCAATTAAATTTAATAAGAAATCCCATTCCACACACAGATCTGTAGTCTATGTAGACGGGCAAATGCAAGGTTAAAAGAGGCCGCCAACCTCTTTAATATATATATATATATGTATAAATAAGGTGCACCACTAATAAGTAAGTTGTAAATAGTGTTGTGTTTGTACCTAACAATGATTCTTACTGGTTCTAAGGAAAAGTACCAGTACCAAAAACCAACGTTTACAGTTAAGAAAAAAACTATAGTACTTACAACCATTTCAAACTGTCCATGTAATCAAACTGTATTATAGGTGTGAATCCGTTGGCAAATATATAAATAAATAAATACACAGGCCACAAAACATTGATACGTTAACAACCTAAAGCTTTAAAAATTCATGATGGTTTGCTCAAAATATCTTTCACTTGATGTGGTATCAGTACCGAATTTATTACTCTCCCTTGGTTTTGGATTTTTTTTAAGTTTTGAAGAAACCACCTTTATCCGAACAAAGGTTTCTTATTTAAAAGATTACGTTATCTCTAAACGATGATCGGTATATCTAGCAAACATTCGGAGGAAATGTGACAAAAACCGTACAAATCTTTACTTTAGTTTTACTTCCCAAGTAGGAAGGCTATGTATTCTAGGGAAAATTGCCGATATTGTTGTCGAAATATGGTTGTCAATGATTAGGCCTACGTAGGGCCTATCCAAGAGATGGGCTATGGGCCAAGATTTGCGCTATGGTCCAGCGATTGCAGCACAAAGAGGTAAGTAGAAACCAAAAGTGACACATTGTAAAAGTGAATTTAGCTACATCTGTAAGTTAAACCTCTGTTACGATCACAGTAAAATCAGAAAGATCTTCCAAGATCGCAGCAACATCCACGATCACCCACTGCAGTTGTTATTTTTTACTTTGCACTTTACACAACTCTCCTTGAAGTGCCGTCAATGAATAGAAACCTTTTTTGTAAGCTATTGGTGACGATGAATTAAAAAATGTAATTTTCCCAGCACTTTACAACACTGATTCACAGTCTTTTCCCCAGTTATAAAAACTCAAGAACAATCGTTGCACTTGCGATTAATTAAACCGGTTAAGTAAGTCACGACGTTTTTAATCTCACTTAGTTTGGATGAGCTTACAAAACTTGATTGGAAATGGTTGCGGTATTTGTAAACAGTATTTAATGTAAACATATCAGTGACAGCTAGAAGTGAGAACTAATCCAAACAGCTGATCGTTATTTCATGAAATGTAATAGTGAACATTGGGAGCAAATTTGACAAAAATCAAACAAAATTGGGTTTTTGATGGATTGTTATTTTGTTTTCAAAAAAGCGAGGCCACGTTTTTATAGCCAAAGACACTCTCACCAATCCAGTAAATACAGAAAAATGATTTGAACCTTGATCAGTACTCTAGTTTTCTAGGAGTAGGCCGCGTAAAATGTCATTTTGGCGTCACAGACAGAATGACAGAATGGACAGACAGACAAACAGACAGACAGAAATTGATATAAGACTCGTTTCAGCTTTCTTAGGCTATGAAACGTAAAAATAAATAAAAACTGCATGATTCTAAGCAATATACAGACAAAACTGTAATTTTATTTATATAGATTTTTCAGTTTAAAATATTTTCAAAAAGTAATTTTTTGACAATTTTTGTTTTTGGTATATTATTGTAATATTGTAAATTAAATTAAAGCTTAGCTTGTAGGGAATGCAATTGTAATTGTAATTAGAGTACAGATGTCTATTTTTGCAAGAAAATAAAGGATATTCAAAATAGAAACACATGTTTTACAAAAAGAACTGCAATTTTTTAACTAATAAAAATAGTCAAACAAATCTGATTCCACCAAAACGTTTGTATTGCAGGCCTAGAGCTTCAAAATAATGTATAACACAACAAATGTTTATACTAGCAGAGTACCCGTTCTTCGTACGGGGTTGGCATAAGTATAAAATGCTTATTACAGTTATACTCAAGCTTTGCGTTTTCAATGGGGGAGGACACAGTTTGATAAAATTTGCTTCTTTAAATTTACGGTATCTACCATAGCCATAATGTTCTACCACTTCACCTTAACAATAAAGAAAAATAACTTATAAAAAATTCACAAAATATCACAAATTATTCATGAAATTAAACATAACTGTAAACAATCCTACTTTGACAGTTCTTATTGCATATCACAGTTTTTTGTTGCTGCTGAGTTCAAATTAGCTGTTTCATAAATGCAAAAAAAATAATAGTGCTGCACCCTGTTGGTAATTCTTATAACTTTTGCATATCATAGAAGCAACTTTTTTAGTTGAAACAGCTGACTAAATTCTTTAATTCCCTTTAAATATGAATACTCATAAGGTTAACATGGGGAACTACAGGGCAACTGGGGCGGAGCCCGAAAAGATTTTTGAGATAAGAATATGCCTATATGTTAATCGGGAATGTGAGCTATCATCATGCCAAATTTCAGCCTAATCCGTCCAGTAGTTAATGCGTGAACTTCAAACAAACAAACTTTCAGATTTATAATATTAGTAAGATAAGATTTTACAGTTGTGAGATTTAAACTAGTAAACCTATGGTTTTGGTACGTCCTGCATTAAAAAAACATTTAAAATATTTAAACTTTATTCCTAGGGGTTGGTTTGGAGGGCAAAAATTCCATTTCATCAATAATAATTATACACCAACGGTTGGTATGAAATCAATAGTGGATAACTTACGTGATTCACCCTACATATAAACATACATATTTTTTTCTACATATTTTGATATATAGCTTTAAAGTCCAATGGAGTTAGTTCTATGATATCCAAAAATTAACTTTGTTTCGATTGTGTTTGGCTAGAAGTGATGCATCAACACCAATTGCAAGCCATTTCTCTTAGGTTCTCTTATTGTACTATATGCTGCAAAGAGGCTGGGTTAATTTGTTCTAACACTAAATGGATAATCATATTTTTTTATGAATTTTAAAATGGCTACCTACATTATTATTTTATAAAGTGAAATGTACTAATCCTACTAATGCTTGGATTACCTGGCTGCTTTTTTATTTTCCTTCCTTAACCTTTTCTTTAGTTTTATTTTAGATTCTTCTTGAGATAAAAACTGGAAGAGTTCAACAATGTTGTCATTGCCATGTATAGCCACCACCGATTTGTTTGGATCACTCACGAGTGAGAATACTCTGCCTTTGCCTGTGCGTAGGATCGAACCTGCCTTGGCACAAGTCAGCAGAGACTAAAATGGAAAATAACACAATATTTATAATATCAAGATAACGATTATTAGGTACATAAAGAAAAACTCAAATCATAGAAAAATTTTGTAGATTCCAAAATACAAATCTTTTTACTGAAATTATTTAAATGGTATATTTTGTAGCCTGCTTTTCTATGAGTAAATATAAAAACAAGGGTTCTATTCAATCACCGGAACACGTTTTATCATAAAATTTTTAATTCATCAATGAATTATTTTAATTAGTTAAGAATTTCAAGTTGCAACAAAAAGGCATTGATTAACAAAAAGTGTCAATGTAGGGTAGTCAATGTAGGGTATGGTTTAATACGGCTGGGTGGCAGAATTGTCGATCCAGTTTTGTAATCTATATATTAATAGGCAAGCATGATTCTTTAAAACCTTTTTTCTCAGCTAGTGTGAATCACAGAGACAATCTACGCATACTGTTAGAAAGATATTTTCCTGTAGATGTGCAATAAGCTAAAAAAGCACAAACAATTAATTGGATTTTTTTATTAACATGGGCCTTATGGGTTGCCATTCTGGTGATGAAACAACAACAAAGTATAAACTTAAAATCAAAACAAATGGAAGAAATTACAATCACATGTTTTATTTACAGCGTGTGGTGAAAATAGAAAAGCCTGTACATTACAATTTTTCTCGAGTTTTTGACCACTGGACGACCACTAGTTTCCCTTATTGTGTGGTGTTTGTGTTTCCCTTAAAATGTGTACTATAGGTAGTTTCGGGTATTTCTCTTTGAAAATACCCAAAATGCCCACTAAGCACATAAACATAATCCTGGATAAAAATTAAGCTGGTCTTGACCAGGTCACGTGCTATCATCTCTTCATTTTACATTCTTCCTCTAATCATCTAGTACTTATGTATGTGTTGCAATAGTTCTCAGTGATTCAATTGAGTAAAATGAAATTTGGTAAAAAGTAGTTTCTTACCAGTTTACTAGAGCAGTCATCTATGGTTTGGTTTTCTTTGTTACCTTCTTCTTGTTTAATTTCAGATACTTGCCACACCCGCATTTCAGTATCTGCACTGCCAGCCACAATAAAGTCATCATCACGGACCAAACTGAGACCCCATACCTAAAAAATTATCAAAGTATTGCTGTAATTTCTTAAATCAAATGTTACAAGTTTTAAAAAGGTCACAACATAACGATGCAGCAAAATCTCCATCATCGGAGGAAGAAGAGGATGATACCACTGTAAAATTTCCAAGAGAAATCTATTCACACCCTAAAGAGATAACATTAGAACATGACGATGCAGCAAAATCTCCATCATCACATATCAGACCAATATCTCCTAAATGTTCATCAACCAATATCCCTGTTACTACAAACAATGACACACTATCAGATGCTGTCATTCGACGCTCTCAAAGAACCTGCAGAATGCCAGCAAAATTAGATCTATAAACAAATTCCTCCCTCTGTCTCAATATATATATATTTTTATTATTTTTCATTTTGTCTTGGAAGGAGTTGTTGTAAAGTATATTTATGTTTCATATATATAACCAGAAGATTTGTTATTTGTTATGATTTAATTTAGAAGGCATAAGGAGATGCTTACCAACAATAGATGATTAATATTATCAGAGTTTGGATTCTAGTGACTTTTAAGATCACTCCAGTAATTTTATCAGTTAATAAATTATCCATTATTCATTTATTTTAACTATTTCATGTTATAATAATTTTAAATTATCCGAGATGGCCTCTAGCCTACAAGGACTCTTAAATAGGAAAACTAAGTAGTTTTTGACCTGATCAGACTTCGGGCTCCACCCCAGTGGCTCTGGAGTTTCCCATTTTAACCTTATGAGTATATTTAAAGGAATTAATGAATCTTAACAGCTGTTTCAGTTAAACAAGTTGGTTCTATAATGTTCAATAGCATTATAAAGTTACAATACAAGGTTTACTAACAGGGTGCAGCACTATTAATTTTTTGTTTGATGTATGACAACAGCTAATTTGAATCGTTTATTCTAGAAACCCAATTACCAATTTTTTTTTCGATTTTTACTTTTTAGTATATTGATGTAGGCTACAAATTGAAATACGTTGTTTGGTGCAGAAATCACACAACTGCAAAAGTTGGTTATGGGGTTTCTGCAATATTCAAATGAACTAAGCAGCAACAAGCTGTGATACACAACAAGAACTGTTAAGTTGTGTTTATGTTTTTAATAAATAATTTGTAGTATTGTGCGAATAGGGCGATTTTATTTTTAAGTGCATAATTCATTAACTTATTGACTTAATCCAAAATTTGTATTTAAAAAACTAGGCTATTGTGTTTCTTTTACCCCAAAGAAACTTCTGGGAAACGAATTGGCGTGTTAATAATGTTAGTGCATTACTGATCAAGTCATTGACTTGGTTGGAAGGAACTAATATTATAGATATGAATGTTTAGGGTATGTCAATAAAGAGAAAACTACATGACCAATTGAGATGATTTTTTTCTTGAGTAGAGCCAATATAACCACAGGCTTAAAGGCATAGTCAGCTTTTATTTTAATAATCAACTAGGGCTCTGCCCTGACAGTTATTAAGTGCAATGTTGTTCTTCAAAGTAACCATGAAAAGCCTTTTGAAATGCCACTCAAACCGGTACAGCAACCGATTTTTTTACTAACACAAAGCAGTCTGTATCACTGTACAACCCCGATTTGTTTACTAACACCAGCGCCGTCCTTAGGGTGGAGCGAGTGGAGCGGCCGCTCCAGGCCTCGCGCCGGAGAAGGCCTTGCGCAGCGAGGCCTGCCCGGCGAGGCCTGCCCGCCGATGCCTTACTATCGCTAGAAATAAGTTAATGTTTTGGAATGAAAATAAAAAAATAAAGGACAGACAGATACATGTGCCTAAAATATGTCTTATTTATTATGAATTCGCCTATATCAATTGTTGTATCGATTAAAAACCTACGAACGACATTTAAAACACAAAAGAATATCAAACAACGTTTGACAGCTCGGCGGCGATGACGGAACCCGAGCCTCACGGCAGCCACCGAGCCACCCCGGTGAATGTGAGTGAGTCATACGCTTACTCTTACTGGTACTGGTGCCATTAAACTTCTATTGTATTATTAATTAAGTTCAATTTATTTACAGATGTAAATGTTTACTGGATTTAATGGATAATCAGCGTGGATAAGACTGACTGTAAACTACTCGCATTTTGCAATAAACATAAACCTATGACAATATTTTTCATTAAAGTAAAAAGTAATACTGTGAATCAATTACACTGTAATGATACTACCTCTTTTAATTTATTATTAAAAACTCATTGAAAATTATAGGTAATATTTTTTTACCTTTAAAACCACAATTACAGACCAACTGCCGAAAACACAATAAACCTAACTTGACAAAAAATAAATAAACAAGATAGCCTATAAGCTTTTACTATTAATTGTCGTCCCGCCACTTTGTTTAATTTACAAAGTGTTAATTCAATTCACAATCCACAGTAAAGGAGAAGTGTTAATTTTTTTTTATTAATGATTGTAAAGAATTTCGTGTGCAATATTTATGATATCCACTTTGGAATTGGAACAATAATATGTGTAATTAGCAATAATATTCACGCCTATTTTCAGAGTGTAAAATATTCATTTTTTTTCATCAAAGTGCTTAAAATGACGACTTTACAAGTATAATTTTACAAAGATTTTCCCCCCCTCAGCAGGGGGGTACTCCGTACCCCCCAGACCCCCCGGTGAGCTTGGTTAAACAAGGCCTCGCAATTATGTATTGCCCCAGGCCTCGCATTTTATAAAGACGGCTCTGACTAACACAAAGCTGTCTGTATCACTGTACAACCCCGATTTGTGATACAGACAGCTTTGTGTTAGTAAACAAATCGGGGTTGTACAGTGATACAGCTTTGTGTTAGTATACAAATCGGGATTGTACAATGATACAGACAGCTTTGTTAGTAAAAGAATCGGGGATGTACAGTGATACAGACTGCTTTGTTAGTAAAAAAATCAGGGTTGTACAGTGATACAGACAGCTTTGTGTTAGTAAAAGAATCGGGGTTGTACAGTGATACAGACTGCTTTGTTAGTAAAAAAATCGGGGTTGTACAGTGATATAGACAGCTTTGTGTTAGTAAAAGAATCGGGGATGTACAGTGATACAGACTGCTTTGTTAGTACAAAAATCAGGGTTGTAAAGTGATACAGACAGCTTTGTGTTAGTAAAAGAATCGGGGTTGTACAGTGATACAGACTGCTTTGTTAGTAAAAAAATCGGGGTTGTACAGTGATATAGACAGCTTTGTGTTAGTAAAAGAATCGGGGTTGTACAGTGATACAGACAGCTTTGTGTTATTAAACAAATCGGGGTTGTACAGTGATACAGACAGCGTTGTGTTAGTAAACAAATCGGGGTTTTTATTTGTTGTCAAGACTCTTTTTATATGCTTATTTGATTTAAATTTCTGTAAATTATGCATCTGAAATGAAAATAACACGAACAATAGTTATTTCCTTACAGTAACCTAACAAAGTGGCCTTCCTTGCACTGATTAAAGCACAGAAAGTGGCTAATTGTTTTTTTGTGACAATTACTCCTCCGAAACTAATCAACCGATTGACATGTTTTCGGCGTCATTGGAAAGAGCGTAACGTGAAGTTGTGCAGGAAACTTTCTTTTTAGGGAAATAATTAGAGAGTGAGGCCCTAGGGCCTTTTAAAGTTTAGTATTTCTCCATAAGATTAACATGGTAAACAAACATTGTTATGAAACTCCAGCTGTTGTCAGAAATGCTGTTCTGCTATTTAATTTAATTTGTTTACAAGGAGAATTGTTTCTTGGTGCCATGTGGTCAATGAATTAGTATTTTGCGTATAATGCAATACACTATATAATTATAAAGTGATAGTAATATGTTCTCCATTTAAATAACCAATAAGCACAATTGAGCCTTTGCCTAGATATGTTTCCTGGTAAGTGTGTTGTAACTGTTGCTTATAGTATCTTATAGTAAAACCAAATTATTATTTTCTGCATTTTCACTCCGTAGCGAAGCACGGGCAGAGCAACTAGTTTACTATAAAGCATATAAATAATTAGTCTTTCAAACACTGTACAACACGTTTTTAGGTTAGGTTAAATCCAAACATTGAAAAAAATAGGATACACTGTACCAGCTGATCGTAGTCGTAATATCTTTAAGTGTTACCAACTTATTTTTAAGCGTACATGGATTACGTGCCTAATAAAAGCTCGTAAGTTTAACTTTTTAGTAGATTAAATTTAGTCGGTTAAATAGTTGTGGGTCTACATACATTTGGAAAGGCAGTTACTGCTGATTTATATTTTATATGTAAACTATAAAGAAATGGGTTGAGTACGAATTAGTCTTCATTGGAGTAAAATATCAGCACCTCTGTAATATGGCCAGCAATCGTCTTGAAGCAGTGTCCGGTTGAAACGTCCCACAGCTTTATAAATGTGTCCTTGGATGATGAGACCAATATGTCTTTGTCAGTAAAGAACTGCACTTGTGTGACAACACCCTTGTGTCCACTGAGACGCCTTAGTCCACTTTCGGCCACCAAGTCCCACACAACAATCTCTGCATCCTGTAAACAATAAATTCCTTTCATAAATAATCATTGAAATTCACTATACAGTTAAAACTTTTATGGGTAGGTCTTAATAAAATACCCCCACCGCAGCAAACCTGAAGACTAAGTGAATTTCCATTTACCTGGCTGGATTTCTATTAAAATATTCCCTTAGAATTGTAAGATTTTTTTATATTTAAACAACATTAATTTTAATGAACACTTAGGTTTGCTGCTACAGGGAAGGTATTGAGATATGTTTTTACTTTTTTTATTAAAATGTTGATAGTTTATTATAAAATTTTAAAAATTTCCAAATTTGATTAAAAAATATCCATAAACAAGCAAACAAAGACAGTTTATTTATTCTCCATCAGATGAGAATTTAAACTAACATTTTTTAATTAGGCTATGTCTGTCTCCGCTAGGCATACAACAAAGCTTCAATATACAAAATCATTTCTTTTTTAAGCTCTACAAAATGGTTTGGAAAGAAATTTGGACATTTTATGTTTTTAGAGTCAAAATGGGAAAACCCAATTTTTACTCCATAAAGGCCCCCATAAACCCCTGTTCTCATAGTCCGATTATGCTGGTTCGCGAACTTGTTCAAATGGAACATAGGTATAGTCAAAGAGTCAGTCAGTGAGTCAGGGCTTTGCATTTTATAGGTATAGATTAAGCTCTACAAAATGGTTTGGAAAGAAATCATTAAGTTTTATGTTTTGAAGGCTTAAAAAGGTGAACCCTATTTTTACCCTATAAAACCCTTTTGCCCTGGTTTGCATTAAAATTAACGTGGGATTTCACGTTTTTTTTTCATTTGTACCAAATTTCATAAAAATTGAATCAGTTTTATTTGAGTTGTTGCTAACGGACACACATATATCTAGACATATTTTAACACATAATTAATAACTGTGGGTCTTTTTTGAATGCATTTTTAACCCTCTATCTGGCGCTGGTCGATTTTCGACCACTAAAACGTGAGTTCTCAGTGGCGCTGGTCGATTATAGACCAAGATGACATGGGTCGGGTTTTTCTATTATAAAAATATGAAAACAGTTTTAAAACGCAATAAATCTTATACCATTAGAAAGATGAGATTTTGAGGATTCATTTTCATGCATAAAACATTATTGAGTGAGTATTATGTAGCGAGAAACGGTAGTTTGAAAAAATAGAGAGTTCAAAATAGATTTTGGCGGTGGAAAGTTTTGGTCACCTGACTACAAAAACAGCTGTTTTTGGTGATTGTCAAATAAATTGTATACAATATTAGTACATATTCTGAAACTACAATAAATTCCCTACAATTCCCTGTGAAACTATAAGGTTGATTGTAAAAACTTCATTTGTTTTTAAAAATGTCATAAATATTATGTTTTCGTAAAAAAATCTTCAAAATTTTACATTCTGACGTAAATTTCTCCGACATTTTAGAATTCAACTAAATATAACTATATATTTTCAGAAAGATCTTTTTATTACCTATTGTACAGTATCATTTCATTTTTTGTTGACGCATTCTATTATTTCCTACGTGACAAAAAGAAATTTGGTAGTTTTTCAAAAAAGAAAATATGTATGAAGAATTAATTTTTTTATAATTTTATTTTTATGAGTATTTAAAAAACATAGAAATTTCTACGTAGGGAATCATATTTCACACAAACTTTACATTTATTTGAAATTTCTAATTTGCATAATCCCAAAATTTGCAAACCTTTTGCTACCACGCCTAAACGCATTGCTAGGAAAAGAATATTTTTATATTATTATATTCTAAATTCATCACTGAAATAGAAAATATATATATGTGTGTACTTATATTCACAAATAAATGTTCTGTGGCAAAATATATTATACCACTACAAAAGTGCCAAAATATACCCGCCACTGGTGAATAAAATGACCGCCAGATCTAGGGTTAATAAAATAGTAGCCTTAATTACCACCATTTCTTTTATATGTATATGAATTTGAACGGATAAAATTCCCTAGCTTACAAACCCTAGGCCTACTTTATTTTTAGACCTTACCAGTGCTCCAGATGCGACTCTGTGGCCGTGACAATCAAATGCAAAACAGGTGACTGCTGAACGATGGCCAGAGAATGTGTTCAGGTTTTCAGCGTTTTCCAGATTAAATGTCTTGACAGAACCATCACTATATCCCGCGATGAGAGTCACTTTGTTAGGACTGACTGCAAGCTGTGTAACTTCATGTTTTTCACCAGGAATCACAAGCCTCTGTAAAAGATAATATCATTTAAATATAAAAGTTTGAATCATTTAATATAGGCCTGTAGAAAAATTAGCCTCTGAAAATGTCCCTGTTGATAAAATAAAAACATAATTATCATTCTTTTCATGATGCAGTAAACACTCGTGAATCTGAAAAGATTGGTTTAAATATGGTTTAAATGAAATTATGCCTAAGCTAATATTATTTAGAGACAGTGGTATTCTGGGGTTAAGGTACCTCTTTATATACAATGAACAACATTTTACAGAAAAAAACTTGACTAATATTTCTCAATTAAAAAAACAGTAGGTAGGTACTGAAATATATGAATCAGTGAAAATTTGACATGGGCCATTCCTAACTTTGACATTCTTAGGCGATAAAAGAGTCCGCAGGCCCCCCCCCGCAAGTTTGATCGCTGGGCCCCCTTCTCCCAATAATCTTTTAAAACATTATATCACTCGTATTAGTTACTGCCTTAAATTGTACTTAAGCTTGGCACAGCTTCTACCGAGGCACCGAGGCGTCATCATCGTCTTCCATGATCGTGGCAAAATCGTGAATACTTCCCGTAGTCATGGAAGAAACATTGTGATTGCAACCAAACCTATGTCATCATCAGATAACAACATCGTTGTCTCCTGCGTTCACGGCCCAATCCCTAATATCTCCCGCGACCTGTGGCGACAGGGAAATAATTTTTTTCCGCAATCGTGGCAAAATCCTAAATATCTTGCTCGCGGAAAAAGAAACGTCAATAACGTCTTCCTTATTCCGGCAATAGGCAAAATATTGAACGTCTCCTGTGGCCGCGGAGACATCGTCATCGTCACCTGCGGGGAAATGTTCTCGTTGATATACGCGATTGTGGCAAAAATATAGGCCTAATCTTTCAATTTTGTGAGCGTGATCCTCGCGGACATAAAAGCTTTTACTTTTAATTGGGCATTATTGCATTGAGTACTGAGAAAATAGGCTCGAGCTTGATTTTCTGACTTTGTGCTTGATCTCTCAAGTTTGTAGGCCAGGCTCTGCTCGGCTCCGAAAATTCTACATTATACAAAAATCAACAGTTTCCAAAGCAAAACGATTTTGAACTGATCTGATTTGGTCAGCGGCCTATAAAAGTAAATAGAATTGCGGGCCCGTGTCCCGGTAATATTTCCCAAAAAATCCCCGTCAAGGCTCACGGGCCCCCCTAGCTCGTGATCCCCCCCCCCCCACCACAGGCCCTATTGCCGCCACTGATTCTTACAATCTTCTGTGAAAGGACAGTCCATATAAAGCAATGTCTTTAATAAATCTGTCATTGATTTATGACAAACATCTATCAATGTCATATGACATTGATTTAGTCTTTAATGTCAACAAGACTAAAACTGCTTGGCAAATTGTAAAAACAGAAACGAATACTTCCGCCAGTAAAATAGATAAATTTCCATTTTTATCCGAATCTGTAAACATAAAAAATCAGTTAAATTATGTTAACAAATTCTTTACAGAAACTTGCAAACTTCTAAATGTTAATTCTGATCCTGAAAGCTCAATAAATTTTTTACAACAAGGGGTCCGACCTAATTCCATGTTAATATCTTTCAAAACTACAGATCCTCAAGAAATTCAGCAAATAATTAACGAATTAAAACCTTCCAAATCGTGTGGATGGGATGAAATATCACCCTTCATCTTAAAACAATGTTCATCTTTTATTTCAATCCCACTTGCTCATTTAATCAACACTTCACTCTATACAGGTGTGTTTCCGGATGTACTTAAGCTCTCAAACGTGATAACAGTTATAAAAAAAGGCAATCCAAAAGAACTAACTAATTATAGGCCCATTTCATTACTGCCGACATTCTCAAAAATTTTTGAAAAGATAGTTTTTAATAGGTTGTATAATTACCTTGATAAATGTCAACTCTTCAACATGAATCAGTATGGGTTTAGAAGGGGTAAAAGCACTGTAGATGCCATATTCAGTTTTGTATCTGAGGTTGCGGATGCTCTTGACAGGTCGCAGAATGTATCTGGTCTCTTCTGTGACCTGTCAAGAGCGTTCGACTGTGTAAACCATAATATACTGATTCGGAAGTTGCAGTTTTATGGTATATCGGGCAGGACCAGTAAATGGTTGGTTTCATTTCTATCCAACAGAAAACAGTGTATAAATTTGCAGTCACTGGGAATTAAATCTGATTATAGATTAATCACAGATGGTGTACCTCAAGGGTCCATTCTTGGACCCTTACTCTTCCTGGTTTATGTCAATGACTTGCCCATGACCTTAAATTCTAAATTGGTTATGTTTGCTGACGATACTTCTGCTATCTTCACCCATCCAGATAAATCAATGTTTCCACAGCTTATAAAACAAGAATTCCAAAAGCTGGAAAGTTGGTTTCAAGCTAATGGACTTTTACTAAATCAATCCAAGTCTCTTTTAATGAACTTTAAAAAAAATTATTTTAATAACAATTTTTTACACGAAAACACCACTCTATCTTGCAACCTTGCTAACTCCACCAAATTTTTAGGAATAACAGTAGATCATAAATTAACCTGGAAAACTCACATAACAGACGTCATCAAAAAGTTAAATAAAGCATATTTTGTAACTCTCATTCTTTCTAGATCAGTTGATATTTCTACTCTTATGATGGTATACTATGGACATGTTTATCCTATTCTCAATTACGGAATTATTTTTTGGGGAAATTCCGACAAAAATAAAAAAGTTTTTAAATTGCAAAAAAGAATAATTAGAACAATTTATTCTATCAAAGCTAGGGGTTCTTGTAAAAATACATTTAAAAGCAATAATATCCTTACTTTTCCCAGTCTGTATATCTACAATTTATTAATTTTTATGAAACAAAATATTTCTAAATTTTCTGTTAATTCGGACAATCATAATTATAATACCCGACACAAAAGCTGCCTTTTATACCCTAAACATAAATCCTCAACTTTAGAATCTTCTCCCCACTATACTAAATGAATAAAGGATAATTTGATTTGATTTGATTTGAAATAGGTCCAGATTAAAGAGGGGTTACTGTAGCAGTAAAACCTTTTGGGTTGTTTGAGGAAATTTCAATAGATCAATCCTGTGAAGTGGAACTACAAACTAATTGTTTACAATCACTTGTTTGTCACTTAACTGCTTAAACATTATAAAAAGATCATACCTCCGCCGCAGCAAACCTGCAGACTTTCCATTTGCCTGCTTGGATTTACACTAAAATGTCTCCTTAACAATATCACATTTATTCCTATTTAAATAGAATTAGTTTAACGAGTACTTAGGTTTGCTGCAACAGGGAGGTTATAAAAGTGTTTTTGATGTAAAATGTTAGTAAAACCCCCCATAAACCCCCGTTTCCATAGTCCGATCATGCTGGTTCGTTCGCAAACTCGTTCGAATAAATGTAGGTTAATAATTTGTAGCAAATTTCATCAAAATCGGATAATCTTTGCTCGAGTTATCGTGCTTACCGACAGATATGTATATATACAGGGAGCGGCAGAAATATCTGACGGTTTTCAAGCGAGTACCGTCCGGCAGCCAAGTGGAGGAGGGTGGTGGGGAGCGGCTCATTCTCAAGGCCAAGTGAGACAATTTTAGTCGCCATAGAGCAGTGGACCGGTATACATCGCGCAATTGTCGTTGAGGCGTATTTTAAAAATGGCGATTTTGTTGTTGATAGCAACGTAAGTTTCGTAGGCATTTTAATGTGGCTCGTGGGGAACCTATCCCATCCCGAAACACAATCGGATACCTTTAGATCCACAGGATCAACTGCAAAACGTAGGCCTACAGGCCGTCCAATTTCAGTGAGGACGCCGGAGAACGTGGAGCGAGTCCGACAAACTGTGCTAACGAGCCCGCATCGCCCGGCGCGTGGACAAGCTGCTGCTCATGGCATGTCTGAGCGCTCTATTCGACAAATTTTGCTGAAGTTGTTGGACGATTGCTATTTTATATGGGTGAAAGTGAAGGTCTGAGTGCAAAATTCGTCGAGTAGAGCGCTCAGACATGCCATGAGCAGCAGATTGTCCACGCGCCGGGCGATGCGGGCTCGTTAGCACAGTTTGTCGCACTCGCTCCACGTTCTCCGGCGTCCTCACTGACCTTGGACGGCCTGTAGGCCTACGTTTTGCAGTTGATCCTGTGGATCTAAAGGTATCCGATTGTGTTTCGGGATGGGATAGGTTCCCCACGAGCCACATTAAAATGCCTACGAAACTTACGTTGCTATCAACAACAAAATCGCCATTTTTAAAATACGCCTCAACGACAAACGCGCGATGTATACCGGTCCACTGCTCTATGGCCACTAAAATTGTCACACTTGGCCTTGAGAATGAGCCGCTCCCCACCACCCTCCTCCACTTGGCTGTCGGATGGTACTCGCTTGAAAACCGTCAGATATTTCTGCCGCTCCCTGTATATATGTATGAATTTTAACGGGTGGTGTTTTTGGCCACTAAGGACTTCAAAACGAAAAAGTAAATTGGTCCCGGGTCCAGGACTTACCATGAGTACTACGGTAATAGCTTATTCCCTCAACGGGAAATTCGCTAAAAACTTTTAAATGTTTCAGTGATGGTGGGTAACTAATTAGCTATTACATTCCCTTCATATTTGTAAATAGATGTGATTTTTAAATGTCATTAGCAGTTAATGTTTATGTTTTTACTCAACAAAGGTCAATTCAGTCGGACAAAATAACCAGTGGGTGTGTTGTAAGGCAATTAAAGTATTTTTTGTCATACTGCAGCAAAAACAGCCGTTTTTATTGCATGCGATGCGGGTCTAAAGTTTAATTTTTACTCTCTAGGGCGTAAAAGGCATTTTTAGCCAAGGCGTATAAAAGAAGGTGTGTGCATAGTGGCGTCACGTGCGACCTGAACACGATTTTACAAATTTTAAAATCAGTAAATAACATTGCAAATACTTCTTTTGGGCAGTTCAATAACTCCCAATAAACGTGTGCTGTTTAAAATACAATTTAAGAATTAACAGCTGTTTAATTCAAAAGTATTATCCACATGATAAAAATGTAAACAAATCTGTGGAGGGATTTTTAAGGGCTTCTGGGGCAGAGCCCTAACGGGATTCACTTCGTTTTTCTTTTGATAACTCATCTAGAGACCAAGACCTTTCTTTGGACACCTCTACCAAGTTTCTACGCCCAGCCGTTCTCTCAAATTAGTGGAGACAAAGTTTCCAATTAAATATTTGGATTCCCCCATGGTAATCTTATGGGAGAAAACCCAACATTGATGTATGATCCTGCCCAAACTAATAAAGATTTCAAAAAATGAAAAAAACACTTTGCAAAACTACAGATCAGGGCCATTATTTTGACTTTTTAACCATTAAAATCGGTCCAAAAATGAAGGACGAAGTTCTGTTTACGAAAATCGGCTTAGCGTATTATATTTTATATAGATTCGCTATTTTTTCCTACCGTACCTAAGTAATTTGTTTTAAAGATATTATTAATGCTTTGTTTTCTCCTTATTTTGCTTTAAATTTTACTCTTTACATGTTTTTCCATAACTTTACTCCTTGACTCCCAAAATTTAAGTTTAATGTCAGAATTTTATATATTTTACCACTTTTACGAGGTTATAACAGATCCTTTACCTGTTTTATGGGCGCACGGGTATTGAAAGCTGTACACATTTTACTGTATTAGAGCTAACACCATGGTATGAATGTTAAGAAGGACCATATAAAAATTCCCCCTCTAAAATCGATTTCCCCCTTATATCCTATAGCCACCATAGGTGTTACGGTCTTAATCACATTTACTCAGTTCTAGATTAGCTGGAGATCTGGAATTTAGCTCGTTTGTAAGTCTTGCGCCTTTTTTGAAAAGTTACATTTTGCAATATTAAAACCCCCCTGAAATATCGAATTCCCCCCCCCCCCCTTGTTAATCTTATGGGGAATAACATTGAAAGTGGCCGACTTTGGTATGCGGATCTAAAAGTTTTGAATCGTGCTAGAGATTTAAAACTTTACAATAGTGTACAACATTACCAAAAAAATACCCCCGCCGCAGCAAACCTGCCGACTAAGCGAATTTCCATTTGTCTGAATTGATTTTCAGTTAAATATATTTTAATAACATTAGGTTTAACGAGTACCTAGGTTTGCTGCTACAAGGAAACTAATAAAGTGTGTTTTTGAGTAAAATATTGATAGCTTAGTACAAAATAAATAAATTTGCCAAGTTTGATCAAAATATATTCATAAACAAGCAAACTACAACATTTGACAATTTTCTCCATAAGAATAACATGGGAATTTTAAATTTACAATTTTTTTAATTTTCTCCGTTACTAATATTCGAACAAAAATACTTTTATATACTAAATTATTTGTTTTTTTAAGCTCTTTAAAAAGGTCTAAAGAGAAATTGGGAAATTTTGTGTTTTGAGGGTCAAAAGTGAGAAAAACCAATTTTTACCCCATAAAACCCCCCGTAAAGCCCCGTTCCCATGGTCCGATCGTGCTGGTTCGCGAACTCATTCAAGTTTATCCCGCTTTACACCTTTAAACCAAATTTCATCAAAATCGGACAAAAATTACTCAAGTTATCGCGTTCACGGACGTATATATATATATATATATATATATATATAAGTCTATATATATATATATATATATATATATATATATATATATATATATACATATATAAAAATTTGAACGAATAGTGTTTTTGGCCTCTGGGGACATCAAAATGAAAAAGTAAATCGGTCCCGGGTCTAGGTCTTACCGTGCCACCTACGGTAATAGCTACTTCCCTATAGGGAAATTCGCTAAAATAACCCTTACAATTTTCAAAAGCCCCATTTTAAAGTTTTAACCCCCTCCTCCCGAAATCCAAAATGAAGGACATTTGAAAACCACACATAACGTTTTTCTTAAAGCCCCCTATTTAATATGAACCCCCTATTTAATAAACGCCCTATATTACAGGGATTTAGAAATTTGTGTATGTAACGCCCTCAACAAACAATTGAACCCCCCCCCAACCAGTTCTTGAACCACTGTCTTTCATCGTGGTAAAAATTTAAAAACTTTCACCCACACAACACGTTTTTATAAACTGCAATTACCAACTTAAAGCCCCCTAATTAATAATAAGGGCCCTTAAGCCCCCTTATTTTATAAACCATAGGGGTTTAGAATTTTTTGTATGTAACCCCTTCAGAGTTACTAGTCTTCGTTTTAAAACCAACGAATAATTTAGACAAGTGTAAACAATTTACAACCCCCCCCCGAAATCAAACCCCCCCACTATAATTTTTCTGAATCAAATACACATTAGGCCTAGTTGCATTAGACTACAGTGCTTAGAATTTTACCAACTTTTTTATTATTGTATTATTTTACTCAGTAGCCTACCGGTAACAGATTTTTTCCAGGGATATTTCCAACAATCCCCCAACCAACCTAGGGAGCCTGGGGGAGTATGTTTTATATAATTGAAAAACTCTAATTTAAGTAGCCTTAGTGGAAAATAAATAGTTACAAATAAATTGGCAAGATTGTATTTATACATATTTAACAGAAACAGCACAAAACGTCATACAGGATAGCTCAAGTTGTAGAGATTTTATTACACTTTAGTGACATCACTAAACCCAAGCACTAAACTACTAAACCTGTAGGGGAACCCCTCAGACTATGGTCGGACTACGTCACATTTTGGCTGATTGGAGGGGTGGGGGATGCGCGTGCACACAGCTTCTTTTATACGCCTTGCCGTCCCGGGTCCAGGTCTTACCATGAGTACTACAGTAATAGTTTATTCCCTATATGTTAAATTCACTAAAAGGCCACCAACCTCTTAAAAACAAAAAATTTATATATATAGCCATGTGTGATCGTTACTTGCGATGGTGGCAATGCCATAATAATTGAAGTCACGTTATTCGCGTCTAACACAATCGCGGCAACATCCGCGATAATCTCCAGCGATTATCTCAGCATCCATGACTATAGGCCTATTTGTGATTGCGGTCATATCTCTGATTATATTTCAATCGCGGCGAGATTCGTGATGATTTTCTGTATCGCGGCAACAGCCGTGATGATTTCTGGCGATTGTGGTGACGTCCTGTATTCGTAATTGTTTGCTGCGGTCAAGATTTTCCACTTCGCAAAACGAGAGAGGCTATTTAGTAGGCCTAAGCGTCTCGTAAATTTTTGAAGTTATTAAAAAAACCATAGTCCGAGGGGTTCCCCTACGGCACAAAAAACATACTACTATAACCCAGAATGCCAACCGTATGATAAAAAGCGTTAAGTACTTTGAGAGAGCCTTTTTCTCATTTTCTGGTAGATTTGGACATAATCTGCTATCTTTCCCGATTCCCTGGGACCAAGACCTTTAGTTTAAGCCCTCTCCCATCATCCTGCAAGCTGTCAAACTCTCACAATTTTGATTTAAAAAAAATTGTTTACAGAATTAATAATATAAATAGACAAAACAATTGAATCACTTTAACTTTAACAACTGTTTTTTTTTTTTTTAATTAGCAAATTAAATTGAAAACAAGCTAGGCCTATGAAAACTATTTCAGTTTTGTAACATAGTTTGTTTAATAGTGCAATATGACAAAAAATATAGGGTAACTTAGTTCATCTCACGGACAAAAAGAGTATTTTTAACCCTCGCTCATTTTCCATCCTTGGCTTGGCCTCGATCATAAAACTTTAGTTCGGATTAAAAATAGTCACTTTAGGCCCCAAAGTGATGAAATATCCTACTATTAAACTCAAAAGCACCATACCATGATACCATTAACAATATAAGTTAGGGGCTTCTTAAGTATATGTTAAAAGGTCTACCTTTTCACAAAGACGCATGTCCCACACAATGATGTCTTCTGATGCACCAACAGCAACAAATCTTCCACTTTCATTGTCAATGACAACAAATGTAGTATTACAATTACGGCTTGCTATTATGTTAAAATTTCCAGAGGGAGCATACCTCAAGTACTGTTTGGTGAGACCCATTTTTTTACCTAAAACAACATAAACTTAAAAGTCTTAACTACAAACTGTACAATAACATTACAATATAGTTACATTAATTAATTCTTGAATGTGGCAGATTGCGTGAAACTATAGCCTATAAATATATACACCTATCCGAACTGTCTTCGAAATCAGAGGTAGGCCTATACTTCATACGGTTGTTTCAGAGATTACCCTGTTGTCGGGTACGTATAAATACACTAAGAGCTTGTTTTTACACTTAACATGAAATGACTTTATTTGCATTGCGCGATTAGTTATATAGAAATTGGCCATATAAAAACAGGAGGTAAATTAGTAGAGTCTGATTATAAAGACAGTAAACTTAGACCCAATCAATGGTACGAGTTTGAGGTTATTACGGTTCAAAGAGACCTAACACAGACGTTTCCTACTTTATGTTGTTAAGTCTACTGTCATCTTAAAATCTAACTTACAAATATTCTCAGTTAGGCTTCCGTATCTGTTGTCAAAAACAACCGAATGAAAATATTGATCAATACGGTAGGCCTAAGTTATTTTGATTATTTCATTTGATCATTTGGTTTGGATACATCATTAACCAAACGATATCCCAAACAAAATGTTTTTCTTAACATAATAATTAACCTCAAGTGTTTGGCTTACTGTACATAATAAATTAAGCAGCCCACTACACTTCATGGAGTCAAGTAGGCTACACTATCATGTGAGTAGGGAAATAGGCCTGATTAAATTTGAGTTACTTGCCTTACACTTCGCTCTGTTTACAACAGTTAAGTTTTCTTTGATTACATTGATAAAATTTTATGAATAAACACGTATTAAAAATCACTCGAGACAAAAGAAAAGCGATTAGGCTATGGTGGAAATACCAGAAATCAAATTCTTGGTTAAGTTAACACAATACACAAACACTTTAGATTGAGGTTAAGGTTATGTTTGCTTTTGTTTATTTTTATATATTTTTCCCTTTTTTCCTCTAAATGCCACAAATTTGGTGGCCTTGATTACAAGTCATGAGGCCCCAGTGTTCACTTTTTGTGGTAATCCATCTTCTCTTTTGTTTATTTGGTATTTATCAGGAGAATGATATTGACACATTGTATTTTGTGATTTTATTATTTACAGACATAAATGTTGACATCACATCAATCATCACATTCCGCTTCTTCTGACACTCTTAACTCTTTCCAGCACGGAAAATACAGGTGTCAGGTGAGGGGACCCCAACCAGCACGGATTTTTTTTGTTGAAATGTTTGTAAATACTTTATAATTTGTGTTTAGAACCATATAAGGTTTTATAAAAATGCATTAATAATTTTTTTTTGTTATCAGTTAGTGATAAAAGGGAGTTACACATATGTAACACCGTGCAGCAAATTGAACATATCTTGTTGAATCCCCAAAATATTCAAAATCAAGATAGAGGGTTCTTTGGGTATTTTATAAATACAAATGCAAATACAATATAAGAAAGTATATATTTTACACATATACAATAATAAAACATTACAATATCATATGGAGACCTGAATAAAATGTAGTAAAAAAATATTCACACACTGATAAATGTAAAAAAAAGTTAATGTAAAAGTTACTTAGCCAAACAAAGTAATATAGGGTGGGTTCCATATTTTCGACAACCGTAGAAATTGATCGAAACTGAATTATTCCAAGTTTGTCGACACTGAAATATTCCCATTTAACCGACATCCCAAATAACCGACGTCGCAAATTATCGACACCGCAAATTGTCGACGTTCCATACTGTCGACAATGAAATAGTTTGAAATAGACATGAAATCGACAATGAAAAGACATCTCAAATAACCGACATCCCACTTTACAGACATCCCACTTTACAGCCATCCCATATTACCGACACTGTCGATATTTTGAGTTGTCGACAATATGGGACTATTTCAGTGTCGATCTTTTGGGATGTCGATAAACTGGGACACCACGGAATCGGGCATGCTATGTTATGACTATGGGGACTGGACTAAAGAGTGAGTGAGATAAAGTAAAAGCAAAGATTACATTATGCTAACGCAAAATTTTGCGTTAGCATATGTAATCTTTGGTAAAAGTAAAGTACCCACTCAGTGACACTAGCGGCTAGTCCCTGCCCACCAAATCTGTTCGGGAGCGAAACTTCTACCCTCCCTCCAGCTGATTTTTTGTCATTTGGAGGCTTCTGGTTGACTATAATGAAGGTTTACTAATTGAAAAAATAGTTTTGTTCAAAAAATAAAACTATAAATGCCTCAAATTCAATTTTATAATTTTTTTATTAAGAAATAAACTGTCATAACCTAACCATACCAACCAAACGCGCTGATGATTAAAAAATCCAATAAAGGTTTAACTTATTAATCGAAAAAATAGTTCTGTTCATAAAATAAAATTATAAATGCCTCAAATTCAATTTTTTTATTATAATTAAACTGTCATAACCTAATAAACTTGCTGATAATGAAAAAAATCCGAGACAAAAAGATTGTGCCGTGGGTGAGATTCGAACACGGCTCTTTCAGTTCATCAGTCCAACACTTTATCCACTATACCACTTCTCTCAGCAAATCAGAAGCCTCCAAAAATAACAGCTGAGCTGGAGGGAGGGTAGAAGTTTCGCTCCCGAACAGATTAAGGCTTGTCGCACACTACGGCAGACCAGCTCAGGCAGATCAGGTCAGACCGTTCCGGCAAAATTCGGAAGCCATATATTCAAATGTAGAGCCGCACACTACGTCAGGTCAGACCGCTCAGTTCAGTCCGGTCAGACCGTCTCCGGCACTTTTCGGTCAGCGAGCGATTTTTGCCGGAGCTGCCGGAGCGAGACGCCGGCCCGCGGCCAGTGAACCAGTGTTGTGCAATAGCTCGTGCGGTACACAAAACGTGTATCACATCTTTTTATTTCAGGTTCAATAATATGTAGCAGCTCCAAAAACTTTTCGTAACTCATACGAAAATATCTAAGGAATCTTACGTTGTCGTTTTTACTTTCTCCCCCTATACCATAGTATATGGAGAAAGTATTGTTTTCGTCAAAATTTTCGAGTTTGAGTTTTGAGTGGATATATTCGTTTTGGGTCCCCCTAGACCCAAAAAAGTGGTTTTCGAAGTGATGTCTGTGTGTGTGTGTCTGTGTGTCTGGATGTGTACAGAGCTAGAGACTACACCTGTGGTCTGATTTCGATGAAATTTGGTATGTAGGTTTTAATCCATGGTATCTCCAGGCGTTTTTTTCATTTTTTCGAAATTTTGATTTTTAATGGGGATTTCCCCATAAAAACCCATAAAAAACAGGAAAAATCAAATTTTCTCAAAAATGGCCCGAACGATTTTGATAAAAATGTAGTATGTTGTAGCCCTTAAAAATCTGAACAAAATGGTACAAATCCCATTTCTCTAAAAATTACGGTTCAAAAGTTATGGTAAAATATGTTATTTTCCCATAAAAACCCCATAAAATAACGAAAAATATGATTTTAGAAAAGAATTTGGGTTTTATTTAACATAGTATGTCATGGTCCTTACAATTTTAATAGTTTTTTCAATTTTTTTAGAAATTTTGATTTTTAATTGGATTTTCCCATAAAACCCCATAAAATAACGGAAAAATTTTCTCAAAAACGGCCCGAACGATTTTGATAAAAATTTAGTATGTTATAGTCCTTTATATTCTGAACAAAATGGTACAAATCCCATTTCTGTAAAAAATACGGTTCAAAAGTTATTGTAAATTATCTTATTTTCCCATAAAACCCCCATAAAATAACGGGAAAATCGGATTTAAAAAAAAAATGGCCTGAATGATTTTGATAAAAATTTAGTATGTTATAGTCCATTAAATTCTGATTAAAATTGTACTAATCCCATTTCCGTATATTTACTCTATCCGCTTACACATGATAAAGGTTGTTGACAAACTTATGGGAGAAAGTATGTGTCAGAATTCTGATACCGTTTATTTAATCTTGGGAAAAGAGTATGATACTCTCCCTCACTATCCCGTGCGACATTAATACTGTGCACCCAAAATTTCCTCCTTTTTTCTCCTGGTTTTTTGGGCCTTCTCGTCCTCTTCCGCAGCAAGTGCTAATGCTACTATAGCAGTTTCTTCATCACTACTACTAGAACCCATCGCACAATCGCATCGCACTGAACAAGAAGACACAAAGCATACATGCAGCCAATGCCGCTGTCTGTCGACTACTGACTGAGGTTGGCGCTCAAAAGCTATGTCTACACTCGTGCGCTTTTGTGTGCGCCAAGCGCATGCCTCTTAACGCATGCCTTGATGCAGATGGACGCAAGTGACGCTTGCCTCAAGGCATGCACGAAATGAGTCCGAAGGGGCTCCACTCCATAGCGCAAGACAATCCACCAGCCTTGGATTTCTGTGCGTTTCAACTTGCAACTGCTTTACATTTTTGACAAGTCATCAGTGTTGCAGTTGTTTGAAGCATATTGAATAACTAAGAAACCTCAGAATTCATAGAAGATTGTTGCTCTTATTTATGTTAGCGGGACATACGGAGTAATAAAAAAATTAAAATAAATTGAATAAATTAAGATTACATTAAGAGAATTAATAAATTAAAATAAAATTAGAAAATTTTGAGTACTATATAGTACTTCTTCATCTATATTATCCGATATGGTTTCTTACGGTTTGGAATTATTTTGACACTAAATCTGCCGCACCATCCCTCCTATCAGAATATTGACGTCTTAATCGAATTAGGAAAAGGTATCTAGAAAGTGAGGATGGTGGCGCATGAGTGTGGACAGCTAAAAGGCATGCCTCAAGGGGAGTGCAATATTGTTTGCGTTGATGCATGTTGAATTGAATATTGAATTGAAAGCTGAAAGGCACTAGGCACATTGAAATTGAAAGCGCAGGAGTGTGGACATAGCTATTAAACGCCTGAGCTGAGCGGACTGACCGGACGTAGTGTGTGGGAAAACTGCCGGACCTGAGCCTGAGCGGTCTGACCTGATCTGCCTGAGCTGGTCTGCCGTAGCCGTAGTGACAAGCCTAAGTGGGCAGGGACTAGCCGCTAGTCTCAGTGACTCAGCACTCAGTCCGAATCATTAACCTAGGTGTATGTATAGTCAATTCAATGCCCTAACCTTATTCCTAATCCTAATCTCTGAGTAACCAATCTATAGTTCCTAACCCAATCTTAACTCCTATCATCATTATTTATTATTATTTTTATTTAGCCTAGTAAAAATTTTATTATTGGCAAATTTACTGATTTTTGGCCGTTGTCTATTCGATTTTTATGAGAAAATTTTATAATGATACTCTGAAGTCTGAACACTGAACAGTGACAGTGGAGTAAATGAAATGAATACCTCCTAACCTAAGTCCTAACTTAGTTCAGGTTTGTTTGTTGCTTGAGCTTGAGGAGGTAAGTTAGTTCAAAACAAATGTCTTGGCTATTTTACTAAATAATTTAGGGTACAGTTTCTTAACTGGGCTATGCTAATATTGATTGAAACTATCGATTCGATTAGTAAATCTTCATGCGATTTTTTCACCATCAGCAAGTTTGGTTGGTTAGGTTAGGTTATGATAGTTTTATTTTATAATAGATATATTTAAAAATATCGATTATTAATCAATATTTTCAATTCGATAGTTTCAATCAATATTAGCATAGGGCCTAGCCCAGTTAAGAAACTGTACCCATAAGTTATATTATCAGATGAAATATTAGTTTGATATTTAGGGGTCAATCCATGTCAAGTGATCAAATACCAATTAGGCCTACCTCACCATTTTTTAACCGTCGTGAAGTTAGCGGCTCTTTTCATCGGCTCTTTTTCGGTTTGTAATAGATGTGGGTTGGTACTCCTGCGGACGCCTCAAACGTGTTTTGCAGGGATGTCGGAAACACAATTCAATGACAATACGGTGCGAAATGATGTTTTTATATTTATATAATGTCAATTATACATTAATAAAACGTGTATACAAGTTAAAACTAATTAATTGACGTATTTTAAAAGGCATATTTGAGACCGTAGTGTACATTATACGTAGATATGGCTTAACATAACGCGATCAATTAAAACTCCGAACATAAAAAGTGCATAATCTTTTTTCCCAAGCCCATCACATCAACTTTGAGCTATTCTAATGGTAATATACAATGTGTAGAATACTCAGTATAAATATGATTGCGGCAGTCCAGTAAATTACGAAGTTATATGGCAAAATGTATATAGTTGATAGGAACTCGCATCAGGAAAAGTGCACAATCTTTTTCCTAAGCCCATCACATCAATTTTGAGGTATTCTAATGGTAATATACAATGTGTAGAATAATCAGTATGAGTATGATTGCGGCAGTCCAGTGAATTACGAAGCTATAAGGCAAAATCTATATGGTTGATAGGAATTTGCGTCAGGAAAAGTGCACAATCTTTTTCCTAAGCCCATCACAAAAATTTTGAGGTGTTCTAATGGTAATATACAATGTTTAGAATAATCAGTATGAGTATGATTGCGGCAGTCCAGTGAATTACGAAGTTATATGGCAAAATGTATATGGTTGATAGGAACTCGCATCAGGAAAAGTGCACAATCTTTTTCCTAAGCCCATCAAATTAACTTTGAGGTATTCTAATGCTAATATACAATGTATAGAATAATCAGTATGAGTATGATTGCGGCAGTCCAGTGAATTACGAAGTTATATGGCAAAATCTATATGGTTGATAGGAATTTGCGTCAGGAAAAGTGCACAATCTTTTTCCTAAGCCCATCACATCAACTTTGAGGTATTCTAATGCTAATATACAATGTGTAGAATACTCAGGGTAAATATGATTGCGGCAGTCCTGTAAATTACGAAGTTATATGGCAAAATGTATATGGTTGATAGGAACTCGCATCAGGAAAAGTGCACAATCTTTTTCCTAAGCCCATCACATCAACTTTGAGGTATTCTAATGCTAATATACAATGTGTAGAATACTCAGGGTAAATATGATTGCGGCAGTCCTGTAAATTACGAAGTTATATGGCAAAATGTATATGGTTGATAGGAACTCGCATCAGGAAAAGTGCACAATCTTTTTCCTAAGCCCATCACATCAACTTTGAGGTATTCTAATGCTAATATACAATGTGTAGAATACTCAGGGTAAATATGATTGCGGCAGTCCAGTTAATTACGAAGTTATATGGAAAAATGAATATGGTTGATAGGAACTCGGATCAGGAAAAGTGCACAATCTTTTTCCTAAGCCCATCACATCAACTTTGAGGTATTCTAATTGTAATATACAATGTGTAGAACACTCAGTATAAATATGATTGAGGCAGTCCAGTAAATTACGAAGTTATATGGCAAAATGTATATGGTTGATAGGAACTCGCATCAGGAAAAGTGCACAATCTTTTTCCTAAGCCCATCACATCAATTTTGAGGTTTTCAAATGGTAATATACAATGTTTAGAATAATCAGTATGAGTATGATTGCGGCAGTCCAGTGAATTACGAAGTTATATGGCAAAATGTATATGGTTGATAGGAACTCGCATCAGGAAGAGTGCACAATCTTTTTCCTAAGCCCATTACATCAATTTTGAGGTTTTCTAATGGTAATATACAATGTTTAGAATAATCAGTATGAGTATGATTGCGGCAGTCCAGTGAATTACGAAGTTATATGGCAAAATGTATATGGTTGATAGGAACTCGCATCAGGAAGAGTGCACAATCTTTTTCCTAAGCCCATTACATCAATTTTGAGGTTTTCTAATGGTAATATACAATGTTTAGAATAATCAGTATGAGTATGATTGCGGCAGTCCAGTAAATTACGAAGTTATATGGCAAAATGTATATGGTTGATAGGAACTCACATCAGGAAAAAGTTCACAATCTATATGGTTTATAGGAATTTGCGTCAGGAAAAGTTTCGGTTTGTAATAGATGTGGGTTGGTACGCCTGCGGACGCCACAAACGTGTTTTGCAGGGATGTCGGAAGCACAAATCAATGACAATACGGTGCGAAATGATGTTTTTATATTTATATAATGTCAATTATACATTGATAAATTTGTATACAAGTTAAAACTAATTAATTGACGTATTTTAAAAGGCATATTTGAGACCGTACTGTACATTATACGTAGCTTAGGCTTAACATAACGCGATCAATTAAAACTCCGAACATAAAAAGTACTATACAAAGGCTTTAAGGCTTTAATGGCTTTATTCAGGTGAAAAGGATCCATACAAAGTCGTATCTTGTTAGGTTTCTTCACTACTACTAAACTACTGACCCAATCAGTAGGCTCTGTTACCTTGACGATGACTCCGAGCTGTTCAAGTCTATCTAATTCAGCACATATTTCTTTCTTCAATGCTAGAGGTTGTCGCCTGGGTGCTGCTATTGAAGGTGGTACCGACGGGTCAGTTCTTATGCTGCAAAGACCTTCAAAACACCCTAATCCTTCAAATACAGTAGGAAATTGATCAAATATCGTATGTTGATGTGTGGCTGTTTGGTTAGATGCTGTGAGAGCCTGGAAAACCTCTTCATCTGTCGTAATCAAACCTATTTGAAGACAATCTGCTGCTCCTATAAGAGGATTTCTCTCAGAATTCAGAATTTCAAACTTTAAATCAAAAATATTCTTTTTGAATTTTGCTTTCAGCACAATGCTGCCTAGTGAGTTTTGGGATGACCCGCCATAGAAACACAAAGTAGTGGAGCTACTGTTAAGTTTAGGATTCTCATTGTCAAGAATAGTTTTTAGATCTCGTAGCCCCATAACGTTACAAGTTGCACCTGAGTCAAGCTGGAACTTTCTGAGCTTTTTGTTGCCCATCATTTTCACAAAAAGTCGTTTTTTATACTGGATATCGTTAAGTTCCATCACTTCCTCTTCACCTTGGCTATCTTGATTTGATTCACTGTCATTATCTTGCACCAGATTAATTTTACCGGAACTTCGACACACGCTGCTAAAATGGTTCTTCCTTTTACAGGTGGTGCAAACTTTGCCAAACGCAGGGCAGTTTTTTGCTCCCTTAATATGTTTTTACCACAAAAACGACACTTCCATTTGTTATCTAAGTGTCTACTCTTTGCTTGAAATGCCGCATCTTCTGATTTCACTGCCATTTTTGTAACAAACCTTTCAGTTGTTTCATGATGCATACATATTTCTATAGCCTCATCAAGTTTTAGGTCTTTTCTACGCAAAAGTGTTCTTTTTAATTCAGTATTGGTTATACCTACTACAAGTTGGTCGCAAATTAGAGTATCTTCAAGGCCTGTCTTGTCGAGATTTGCTAAAGAATCAATGTCACACAATCGTATTTGCTCTTTTAGACGACCTATAAAGTATTTAATCGTTTCATCAGTCTTTTGAACAATGCCATTAAAAATAAATCTCTCATACAAAGAATTGTTTGTCCCTAAAAAATACTTATCCAAAGCTTCAATTACCTGATCCAGGGTCAATTCATTGGAGCCAAGTATTCTTTCAATCAAACATAGTCCATCACGGCCAATTACAGTTGAAAACATGGCCATCTTCAGTTTAGGTGTACTTAACCTTGTACCACCTAATGCTCCTGCTTCAGCTAATATCAAATAGTTCTTCCATTGTTTCTAGAACACTTCCCAGTTTTCTCGTACTCGCGTTGGGTCACTTAAGTCCAGTGGATTCGGTACTACTGACACCATGTTCATTTATGTATTAATTAAAACTATTTTAATTAAATAATCAATTCGAAACAAGATAGTGTTTATTCTTAGAAATCATAACATAATATCTTTAACAACTCGAGATCAGCTGGTTATAGCAATACCAACAGTTTGTTTCCCACTTATGGAGGAATACAAAACTTTAAAGGACCTCAGGGCCTCACTATCTAATTATTTTCCTAAAAAGAAAGTTTCCTGCACAACTTCACGTTGCGCTCTTTCCAATAACACCAAAAACATTTACAACTTAATTTGTAAAAAAACGGAAACCCTACAAAAATTATGTTCATCAAGCAATGTTCAGGGTTTGCTTAAAAAAACACAGGACAGTGATACGTTCATGATATTATCAAGTAAAAAATAGATGATTTTCAACTTACATCAGAGCAGTAGAAAATGTGAATTTATTAAAATATCACGAATTTTAAGTCACTACGTGACACTGGCTACTACAATATAAACCCGAAGGATAAATATGAGATAAATATGTAGTTATAATAATCTATATATTTAAATGCGAAATTCCGATCAACGCACAGGCCAAACCACAGCACCTACAAGTATGAGATTTTGCATACATATTCCTCTCATAGCGTAGGCAGAAAATAAGAAGCGATTTTGCCAAATGCCCAATGGGCCTCGCCCCACAGAAGGTCAAAGTTAGCATGGAGTTCGTAT